AAAAGCAATGCAGATTACAAAGGAGCAACATTATAAGGTTTATTGACATATCACTGTTACCAATCTTGCAGCTCTGTTTTTTAAAAAAATTAAGGTCCTGAAACAATTTGAAGGCTGCCCCACACTCAACATAAGCAATTAATTATTCAAACAACAGGCTATCAAACGTGTATAACTGTAACTTTCTGCCTCTATGCAGAAAGGACACTAACTGTAACAGATTAATTGATAAGAACTTCTCCATATCTCAGAGATCCCTCATCTGCTCAGTTCCAGTGCTTCATTTAAGAGCAAACCTGGAATATAAACTTGATTCTTAGAATATGATCTTCTCCTAAACTGATTGAACCTGTATCTCAGCTGAGTTTCCATCTTTGTTCCTCAGTGCATTGCATCCACTGCCTTGTCTTTGTTTAATGAAAAGAAGAGAAAGAATTAAATGCATTTGACCTTTTTAAGATAGCTGATCTGGCCTATGGATATCAACAGTATGATTGCCAAGAGCAAAGCAGTTGTACTATAGCACCACCTTCTGGTATCAAACACCCAACCAGAACTGGATTTGTACAATACAGTCCTTCAATACCCAATCCAGATGGCAAAAAGAGGTTTGTAGGGTACAAAGAGGAAGCATTCTGCGGTCCAGAAGAAGAGCCTTCTTTGCTGTGGCTTCTGCCCTTTGGAACATCATGCCCCCCCTCCCCAGAGGGAGATCTACTCCCATCATCCTAACTTTCTTGTAAGGGCTCTGCCAGTTGGCTTGGGGCCCCAATGGGGGAGTGCCACACTGGAAGTGGTTGATGGACTAATAGCAGATCCTACCTCAACCCTGCACACCATGTTCTCTTCATCTTTTTATCGTAACTTATAATATTATATATATATATATATGTTTTCTGAGGTTTTCGCAGGTGTTTTATGTAGGTCTTTGGTTATTCGGGTTTTCTCCCGTGTAAAATTGGAAGTGTCTTGGTGACATTTCGATGAAGATGACGAATGGGACTTCGTCGAAACGTCGCCAAGATACTTCCAATTTTACGCGGAGAAAACCCGAATAACCAAAGACCTATATATATCTTGTAGATTTTCATGGGTACAGGTATGCAGGTCTTGGCGTTCGGGTCTTTTCCCGTGTAAGATTGAGAATATTGTCGAAAGGTCACCAAGATAATCTCAATCTTACATGGGAAAAGACTCGAATACGCCAAGACTTGCATACATATATATATATATATATATATATATATATATATATATATATATATATATATATATATATATATATAAAATTATATTATTCTACTATTAATCTTCTAAGCCACCCAGAGTCTCCTTATGGTGAGATGGGCAGCAAATACATTTAATAAATTGATAAAAATAAATAAAATAAATAAATCATAGTTAAAATCACAAATGGTTCCAAGAGAATCAATAGGATCGTGACCATTCAATGCATGCTTGTAAAGAGTCCTCCTATGGCTAGCTGTGTCAATTTGCAGCCTCACAACATATTGTGAAGGATAGACCCAAAATGCTTTTTTTTAAAAAATTAGAGGCTCGAGGTTCAAAGAGTGAAATGGGTTTCTGAAGTCAGACCCATACTTAAGGCATATCTTTCATTTCTTAAACCCATTTAATTTCAAATCGGTCCAAATAATATAATACAGAGTTTCCTGCTTGAGTAGGGGGTTGAACTAGAAGACCTCCAAGGTCCCTTCCAACTCTATTGTTCTGTTAATCCCTTATGTGGTGTCATCATCATCAATCATGTCCCTGCTGCTCAGATGCAAAATATCAACTGCTGATCTAGCTTATTGCCTTGTACCTGTATTTTCTTTCTCAGCAAGACATTTTCAACCTCTAGTATCCAGCAAGACTCCTTCTCCATATTAGCTATAATACACCATGTAGCACAAACATCATAGATGGACTACAAGTTGTCCTAAATTTGCAATCATTTGTTTAGTGACCGTTCGAAGTTACAGCGACACTGAAAAAGTGACTTATGACCATTTTTCATACTTGGTTGCCATGTGGTCAAAATTTGGATGCTTGTCAACAGACTCATATTAATGACGGTTGCTGTGTCCTGGGGTCATGTGATCACCTTTTGCAACTTTGACAAGCAAAGTGAATAGGGAAGCCTGATTCACTTAACAACTGTGTTATTAACTTAAAAACTGTAATGATTCACTGACAGTTAGAACAATTGGCAATTACTGACAATTAGAACAATTAATCAGTGGAACAACTTGCCTCCAGAAGTTGTGAATGTGCCAACACTGGAAGTTTTTAAGAAGAGACTGGACAGCCATTTGTCTGAAATGGTAAAGGGTTTCCTGCCTGAGCAGGGGGTTGGACTAGATGATCTCTAAGGTCCCTTCCAACTTTTTTTATTTTTATTATTATGATGATGATGATCATCATCATTATCATCATCATCATCACACAGTCAGCCAGATGTTCAGACTGGATTTGGCATTTTGTCTACCTATTGAGTTGTATTACAGATATTGTCGCAGGATGGAAGCAGTTCCTAGTAAGGCCGCCTTTTGCAATTGACTAATGGCAAATTTGTCAATGCCAATGGTGTTTAAGTGGTGCTCCAGTTGTTTTGGAATTGCACCCAAGATCCCTATACTATCGGTACTACCCTTGCTTGCTTTTGCCACAGTCTTTCTATTTCTATTTGTAGGTCTTTATATTTTGTTATTTTCTCCAGTTCTTTCTCATCTATTCTGCTGTCTCCAGGCACTGCCACGTCTACTATCCAGACTTTTTTGTCTTTTTTATTGACAATTGTTAAGTCTGGGATGTTATGTTGCAGGTGCTTGTCTGTTTGAATTCTGAAGTCCCAGTTTAATTTTATCATTTTCTATGACTTTCTCTATTTTATGATCCCACCAGTTTTTGCTTACAGGCAAAATAATAATAATAACAATTATTATTATTATTATTATTTAAAAAAGGTCTTTAAAAGGGTCAAAATTTACTTAACCACTGTCTTGCTTAACAAAAATTTCAGGCTCAATTGTGGTCATATGGCGACAACTAACTGTACTAAATTATTCCTTGTTGAAGCCTGCATCCTTAAGACTTTAACAGTCAAAAGTTGTCTAATAAGACTAGAGTCATCCCTGTTTTTCCTATTACTGCTCATAGATTTATGAATTGGTTTATATGATTTATAGAGCCACCCAATTCACACAAGTGACTTTTGGCAGATTATAAAGATTAAAACGCAGAAAAACACACAATACATAACTCCAAGCACCCAAGGACAAACCATAACCCTACTCACAGGGGGGGAAAAACACATCCATAAGAGCAGAATGTATCTAATGGTTTGATCCAAGTGCCTGTGGAAACAATCAGACTTTCAATACCTGTCAGCCCTATCAGGTAGACAAGACATAGAAACAGACACCATACAGACCTAAAGCTACTTTTATTAGTACAGATATAGAAACAGCTTCTTGCAAGTCTGAATGTGTTACATAGCAGATCTTCCCTCTACCCTTCAAGGCCATCTTGTTTATTTATTACATTGGGACCATCCAAATCTTGGGTGAGGTGGTAAATCCTGTTCTATAGGGCAGGCGATGCCACTGAGATTTGGGGATCCGACAGGATGACATTGTTTAAGAGAAATCACCTTGACCTGGTGGGATAAACAGAAACAATCTGCACTCACTCTGCGGCCCAAATCACATGGTGACAATATATTTAAACCATTTCACAAATTTCTTACAGCCATCTACGAAGCCATTTGTTGTTGTTTTAAATCATCTCTTTCTTTAGTTCAGATTGCAGCACACCTAGACTGCTAGAAATTGAGAAAATGGAATAACAATGAAAAGTAAAGCTCTTTCTGCTGGCATCATGATTAAAGAGCTTAATGATTAATTGAAACAGACCAGTTTTGATTCAATTTTTTCACCAGTGTCTTCCCTCTCTCTCCATTGCCCCAGGCTCAGGTATATTTTAAAAAGCTGCCTGAATTCTCTTTCAGAGAAACAGGTTTTTGAGTGTGATAATATTAACTGTCTGAGTCTTTCAGCATTCAAAATTGTTTATTTACATTCAGTTAGTATCCACTGATCAATTCATACCAAACCATAGTTATTCACAAACAGTCATCTAAGGATCTACTCAGCAGGAACAACAACCACAAAAAACAAAATAGTTCTATAAATTCATTTTTCTACAATGCAAATATATCACATATTGCTCACATATACTGGAAATGAGATAACAAAGTATGTGCGCGCGTACACACAAACACACACAAACTGTTGACCTTTCGTAAAACTGAAGCCAAAATTATGCCCTTTTTAATTCTCAATAATTCTGAATAAAAGGGTGGGCTAGATGATAGACAAAGCTGATGAATTCCATATTCCGGGAATTCAAATATTTTCAGGATGGGAACGTCCTGCAAAAATGAATACGCATGTGTTTGCTTTAATGTCTTCTGGTATATCCCCGAAGGACACACAAATATTATTTGATTTTAAAACATCTTTGCTGTGTTTTTCTCTCTAATTATATTTCGCATTAAGTGTTGTTATTTCAGACTGCTGTCAATGCAAGTTGTTATAATTAAGTTTAAAGATGGCTCAAATAAAACGGCATAAATTTACACACCAGTATATGCTATATGAGTGAGAGTGAGAAATAATGGATTAAGATTTTATAAATAATTGGGTTTTTGTTGCCATACTAGTGCTTGTTCAATTTTTTATTTAAAAAATAAGAAACTATCTGCACCTTGTAATAGAGAAGAAAGCCATATTTTTTATCAGATAATAAGGTCTTGCTTTCATTTGGCAAGCCAATTTATATTGAACGATTAGTTCTTTTCAGATGATAGAGATTTGGAATTACAATTCTGAGATGGTCTGTGGCATATGTGTTTCTTATCAGGTCTTGCTGGGGTGTTTACTCACCAAACCACTTTTATTTTTATATTTCTGCAATTTCTCACAGCTCATTACTGCGAACAGACTCTGGAGGATAACCAACAGTGATGCAACAGACAGGTGAGCATTTTAAAATGATTTTTTTTGCCAACTTGTCCTTTCCGAAAGGGTTAGTTAGACTATATTTTGTATAATTCCCAACTAGTGGTTTTTGTATAATTCCCAACTAGTATCAACTTGATTGTAGCCCCATCGAGGCAACGCTGTAATGCATAATGTGCTAATATGTAGCAGATTAAGGGAAGGAAGCATTGGCTTTTGCAAAGGCTTCCACTTGACTGGGAACATAGCATGATTTGGGTTCTCAACTCCATTAGTATTCGACTCATACTCTAGACCAGGGCTTTTCAACCTTTTCACCCATTGTACCACTTTTAGGATATGTCAGTATCCGAGTACCACCAGTCGCCTGACCAAAAAAAAAAAAAAGTGATGAAGTACTGGTAGTTCTCGACTTACAACAATTCGCTTAGTGACTGTTCGAAGTTACAATGGCACTGAAAAAAGTGCCCCTTCAAGCCACAGCCAAGCAAGACACCTGCTTGCCCACCCGATGGCGCTCTTCCTCCTGTCCAAGGTTTCCATTGTTGTGAGCATTTCTGTTGAGGATTGGCAGCAGGGGTGGGGTGGGGTAGTGTTTGGTTTTTAAATGCCTCGAGAAGTAATAATAATAATAATGATAAAGTTGGAAGGGACCTTGGAGGTCATTTAGTCCAACCCCCTGCTCAGGCAGGAAACCCTATTTGACAATGGCTGTCCAGTTTCTTCTTTAAAACTTCCAGTGTTGGAGTATTCACCGTTTCTGGAGGCAGGTTGTTCCACTGGTTAATTGTTCTGTCAGGAAGTTTCTCCTTGGTTCTAGGTTGCTTCTCTCTTTGGTTAGTTTCCATCCATTGCTTCTTGTCCTGCCTTCAGGTGCTTTGGAAAATAGCTTTACTCCCTCTTTTTTGTGGCAGCCCCTGAGATATTGGAACACAACTATCATGTCCCTCCTCGTCTTTCTTTGTTAAACTAGACATACCCAATTCCAGCAACCGTTCCTTATATGTTTTAGCCTCCAGCCCCCTAATCATCTTTGTTGCTCTTCTCTGTACTCTTTCTAGAGTCTCAACATCTTTTTTACATTGTGGTGACCAAAACTGGATGCAGTATTCCACGTGTGGCCTTACCAAGGCATTGAAGAGTGGTATTAATACTTCACGTGATCTTGATTCTATCCCTCTGTTAATGCAACCTAGCACTGTGTTGTCTTTTTTGGCAGCTGCAGCACACTGCTGGCTCATATTTAAATGATTGTCCACTAGGACTCTGAGATCCCTCTCACAGTTACTACTGTTGAGCAAGGTACCCTCTATACTATACCTGTGCATTTGGTTTTTCTTGCCTAAATGTAGAACCTTACTTTTTTCACCATTGAATTTCATTTTGTTAGATAGCGCCCAGTGTTCAAGTCTGTCCAGATCCTCCTGTATCCTAAGCCTGTTTTCTGGAGTGTTGGCTATTCCTGCCAGCTTGGTGTCGTCTGCAAATTTGATGAGTTCCCCATCTATCCCCTCGTCCAGATTGTTGATGAAGATGTTGAAGAGTACTGGGCCCAGAACAGAGCCCTGGGACACCCCACTATACACTTTCCTCCATGTAGGTGCGGTTCCATTGAGGATCACACATTGAGTATGGCCGGTCAGCCAGCTACGGATCCATCTGGTGGTGGTGCTGTCTAGCTTGCATTTTTCTATCTTATCAAGTAGTAGGTTGTGATCTACCTTGTCAAATGCCTTACTGAAGTTTAACTAAATTATATCCACAGCATTCCTCTGGTCTACTAATTTTGTCACTTGGTCAAAGAATGCAATAAGATTTGTCTGGCATGATCTGTTTTTGACAAACCCGTGTTGGCTTCTAGTAATGACTTTGTTTGTTTGGTGAATGCTCCAACACTGGAAGTTTTTAAGAAGAGACTGGACAGCATAATAATTATTATTATTATTATGGATCATCGCACAGTCAGCTAGATGTTCAGACTGGATTTGGCATTTTGTCTACCTATCGAGTCCTTACCCAGGACCTGGGATAGGCAGATGTGGATGTTTGATGGTATTACAGATATCGTCGCAGGATGGAAGCAGTTGTTGTTGTTGTTGTTGTTGTTGTTGTTGTTATTATTATTATTATATCAAAATCCACAATTATTTGGTTTTAAAGGTCTGCACCTACCTACTATAATTTCATAAGATTGCACAAGCTATTCCAAGGTCCATGAAAACACTGCCTGGTTTATATTTTGAAAGAACGCTTTTTCCCAAAGACGATTGTATAATCTCCAAAAGAATGACCAAAGAATAATGAAAATATCAACTTTAATGGCATAAATAAATATCCATAGTCTACTGTCAGGAATAAAAATGTAGAAACAAGATTGTTTCCATTTTCATGTCTTATTTACTTCTTTTCCATTTTTTTTTTATCCAAGCCCAACATAACACATTTCCTTCCTTGTCTTTCTCTTCTTTCACACAACTCAGGACTAATCCTGGGATACTTGATGACTTCGGTTTAGCCTAAAACCTAGTTTGTTTTTTGAATGCTGAACAATGAAGGCTGCGGCATTAAAATGTATTTGGGGGGAAAAAAAAGAGTAGAAAGAGGCAGTGCTGAAGAATTTACAACAAATTTGCTAAGCAGGATAATGGATACACCATTATCCCATTGTCTTCTATGGCTTTTTATTCCTATGTGATTATATTACTAATTTCATATAGGGATTGAAGCCATGCAATACATTGGGGGCTTGCAACAGAGAATATTCATCTTTAAATGCCTCGCTCAGTGGAGAGAACTCGGTTCTTCATAAACAGGGGGGAAAATTGTCTCCATTAATCTTTATCAAGCGTGGTTGCTATATCCTACTTTTAACTGCTCAACTATATCAGTGACCATTTTTCCTTCTTTCCCTATAGTAAGCAAAGCCTCCTGCTAAACAAGGAAACTAGCAGGATGTTTGTTTTTTTTGCAGTTTGACTTGTTCATGTAACGTGCAGAATTGACTGGATATCATTGCATACGGCTGGCTTCTTTTCTGTTGTGGGATTATGCTGAAGCCATGCACCACAGAGTAAACGTATGAGAGCACTGAACTTTTCTAAAACCACAGTACAACTTCTTTTAAGGGGTTCTTGCCCTTATCAGGCTGTTCGGGCTCAGGCAAAGGGAGCCTAGGTGGCAGGGAGTGGGGAAAGCCAAGTACATTGGCTGCTCCTATGGAAAGATGGGAAGGAAGTACTGGGGAACCTTGGGGCTGAACATGTCAATTTGGAGGTGATGCACAGACAGGCTGGCTTCTCCTGTTGGGGACACTGTAGCAAGTGGCTACAGCTGAACAGAGGAAGGGAAAGGGAAGGGCTTAAGGAAGGGCTGGCTCTCTTCCTTCCAGATTTTGTTTCTGCGTCTGATTGAAATGCTTCAGCTGAAGTGCAGAAATACAAGAGTTTTTACTGACTTCAAAGGAAAAAAAAGATTTTGTGCTCACCTCTACCATTTAAAGATATATGATGATAATATAAGAATGTCATTCATCTGAATTGAGCTTTTACTATGTCCGTCAGAGAAACAGTTGAGGTGTCAGTGTTTTCTGTTGCAACAGTTTAAAAATTAAACAAAAAACTGGTAATGGTGAAAATCTTTTTCAAATTGAGAAGAGCTCTGTAAAAATACATGGATGTGAGAATTATTTCTGACTCTCACTAAATTACCTGGCGTGTTGTTTTAAAACCAAGAAGAAATCAGATGCCACTAATAATTATCCAGTTCTGATGGTACATTGAACTGTACCATTTTCCTGTGTTAGCCCTTCCTTCCCTTCCCTTCCTTCCTTCCTTCCTTCCTTCCTTCCTTCCTTCCTTCCTTCCTTCCTCAAATCCTATTTTATCCAGAATCTCTCAAGTGAAATCATCTACACAAAGGTACTTTACTGGTACGTAGTTCTTCATCCTTAACTACAGGAAACATGCCTAGAGCAGTATTTTCAAGCACCTGCATCTAAGCAGTTTTCTGAAGTGGTTCTCCACCATCATTTGAAGAGAAGCACAAACAATGGCAGAAATACGTTCAAGAGACAGTGTTTTATTTATTTATATGTATGCATTTATACTTGTTTAAAATGTGCATGCCACTTCCTATTTTAAAATATCTCAGAGCTCATATCTGGAGTAGAATGGTTATGCTTTTACACTCCACCCTTTAGCGTCTGTGTTCAACAGTGAGCTAAGCTGCTTTTTCTCTGAAAAGCTGAGGCCAAAGGCGGATCTTCTGAAGGGGAACTCTTCTCTTTAGCACGGGGTGAAGTCACGTCCTGCCACTGAGCCTGCCTGATAAAGAAGCAACAGACAAATATTTTTTTATCTGCAGCCAAGAAGTATCATTGGCTTTTTATGAGTTGGGGAAGTGGAAAGCTGAAATACGATGCTGTGGCAGAATTATTACTGCAGTTATATAATCTTTCCAAAACTTTCTGAGGCATCATCAGGGGCTTTTATAAAGAACGTGTTAAATCTGTCACATTAGTGAAAATGGCAAAATTAGTTTGTGAAAGAGATTATTGGAGAACCCCTTCTGCTCACCTCATAAAGCACCCATTAACACCTTGTGAAACATTAACCATTAATCAGAATCTGGGCAGAATAAACTACCCATACATATCATTATCTGATCCTTAATGAAGTGATAATAAGAATGCTGAGGAGAAGGGATATTAATGTCTCCTAAGAGTCCAGAACAGTGGAAAGGCTAGAAGCCAAGGTTTTTAATTTAGTGCCAAAAGCTTCCACTGTTAATAAGGTAGTTACTTATCCTCAGCCATTAGCACTGTTTGGCCACAAGTGTTCCACTTACATAAATGAGCTCAGCCCCGAGAAAGTGCCAGCTGTTGGGCTGTTGATCCTCTTCCCATCTGGCTCTATTCTGCCTGGTGGAATTGGTGTCTATTTCATTCTACCCAACTGACAGTGTCATTCAAGCCACTGCTTTGTTTTCTTGTTTGGTCTTGATGGCAGCACAGGATCTATCCTTCCGCAGAGAGAATACTTCGAGAACATAAACTGTCAGCCTCTGTGCCACACTTGACTGACCTGTCTCACCTAACACTATCAAAGTCTAGCAAAATCTTTGAACCATTTTTCTGTAGAAAAAAAAAAACCATTCCATATTTTGAAAGGATAAAATCAACTTTAGAAAGGGTATTCTTCTTCCTGGGGCTTCTTTACAGTGTGAAGACTTTGGTTAAAGATTGAAGGACTGCAAGCAATAGAAGGGAATAATGCAATTGTTCTCCAGTCAAAACATTTTTGCAGATTTTGGAACTTCTACAAAAAAACAGCCTGAATGACATATATAGTAAACTTACATATAAAAGACTTCTTAAAATGGACTCCAAATCCTGGAAATTCTATCAATATACTGTATCTATGGAACACAGTTGGCAGCAACAGAGACACAACTGACAAATCTTTCTTCCTAAACATTTTCTCAGCTTTACATTCTTGCTTTGGGCATTTCTGCCAAAGACTAAGCAGGTGCCACTCTGCTTTGGGATCTGCCAGTGACAGGTGAACACAGATCCATCAAAGTGATTCTCAGCCTGAGGTTCTCCAGATGCACCAGATTACAATTAATAGAATCCCCATCTGGGTTTAGGAAGGATGCTATATCACAGTGATGGTGAACCTTTTAGAGACCGAGTGCCCAAACTGCAACCCAAAACTCACCTATGCATCGTCGAGTGCTGGGCGGATGTGGCCCACTGGCTGGGTGTGGCCCATTGGGTGGGCATGGCTGCAGTGGTAACAGACTGGGTGGGACTAAAAAGTTCAATCAATCAATTCCAATTTTGCAAGATCTTTTTTTTTTCTCGCAAGAAGTTAAAATTGACTGATTGAACCTTTTTTTTTTTTTTGCACATGGCGGCGGAAGCCTAAAGTGAAAAGGTTTTATAAAACCCAGCTGAAGGCCTAGGACTGGGGCGATGGCGCTCGTGCCCAAGAGAGGGCTCTGAGTGCCGCCTCTGGCACCCGTGCCATAGGTTCGCCACCACTGCTATATCATATTGTTCTCATTCTGGAAAAAAAATGGGGAAATGTTACAAGAATATTTTAGAATGCTAAGAACCACGTAAGATCTGCCACTCTATTGTGATTTCCCTTTTCTTTTCCTTTCCTTGTAGGGGTAGTGTAGAAACTGTCCATAGAGACTTTTCCCTGCCTTAGCTATTTTGGAATAAGGTAGATCTATTTATGGACGTATATCCTATCTAGATGAAGAAATGCTCATATGATCATTGACACAAAAAAAGGTACGTAAGTACTATAATCTTCTGGTACTCTATTTTTCTTACTCTGATACTTGCCTTCTTACTATTTTTCTAAGTCACTATTACTGCAGATGGTAAATGTGCTAACACTTTACTATTGGATTAGTATTTATACAGTTCTTGCAGTGCTGGCAGAACCGGTTTCTAGCAAAACCATTAGTATGAAATGAAAGGAAATTACGAATTCACAGGTCTTCTTCTTATCATGTAGAGCAAAATCACCAGATGCCAATGCGTATTCTGGTGGATATGACAATGACTTATATGCCTTCAGTACAATAATTAAACCAATGACTTCCCATGACTCCACTCCCAGCCAGAAACTACTGAATAATGATATATGATGTTGTAGATTAAAAAAAAAATATGGAACTTGGCATGGGTGTTAGCAGATCAGACTTTTACTTTCATTGTGCAAATGTCCTAGTAGTTCATAAAATGCATTTGTAAGCCTCCCCCTTTGGTCACTTCTATTTGCAAAGGAACCCGTAGAAGATATGATAGAAAGATTACATGGAGATTCTTAATCAGCAGGGTCAGAAGAATGGAAGGAATTAGTGGTGGAGTCTAGCTTTATCCCCCTGCCATCCCTCTTATACACAGCCCTTCCTAGGACTGTTCTACTATGGAAGCAAGAGAAGACCCAAATTTACTTACATCCTGAGTGTTTTTCTTTCTTTATCTCCAATGACAGTAAGAGTTGCAAAACATCACATTTCAAAAATGCGTTCTTATAGTTTTGTTGTCCTTGACTAACTTTCCCCATTTCTAGTTTCACCTCATTAAAGGAAAGGAGAGTGGGAAATAAAGATATTCACAGAGAAGAAAAGTCAAGAGAACACTGATGTGAAGTATGCTTCAAGCAACAACGTTCTTTCATCTGTTTTCATCAGCGTTTCCTTTTTGAAAAAGGTATTTAGTTTAATAATCAGTGAAATGTTCATTTTAAACACACACACACACACACACACAACTTTAAGAGCAATGGGATTACCCTGAAGAAGTAGCTGTTGCCAAGGCTTTGAGAATGAGCCTGAGATCACGCATGAACAGCATCTCCAAGGATTAATGAAGAACTCTGCTGATATAAAGAAACTGTTTTGGGTTTGTTTGTTTTTAAACTCTCCTGAAGCTGTTGCTGTGGGGGGAATATAGAAAACACAACGAAGACACAAAATTGGTTCAAACCTGTGCAGGAAGGCAGATATAAGTAGGCTTTCATCCTTGAGTGATTTTAGCAATACAATCCTTAATTCCTGGTCCTCTAGCACAAAGGTTCTTCACTTAAACTTTGGCAAAAAAAAAAAAAAAAATCATCTCGTTTGCCATTAACTCCTCGTATGCCATTAAGGGCTCAAAGTGTGATATATTCACTGGAAGCTAAATGGAGTACAGTAAAATGAAAAAAACAAAAACAAAGATAGACTGCTTCTACTACAGAAATATTCCAAACGTAGTAATTACCTGCTAGGAACACTCTGTGTTATATTAGGTAACCTGATGGGAGAACAAGTGACAAATATTTAGCACCCCCTATACCCCAATTGAAATAGGTTTGCTTGATTATATATCCTAACTTTCTGTTAATAATGATGTGGTTTTTACATTGCTATTTTGTAAATAACAAGTTAGAAGTCAATGCTTTAATCTTACATCTCTTGATCAAAATGCAAGAATGTAATGTTTAGAGAAGATACACAATTTAACTCTCAAACTATTTCTAGACTGCCTCTAAAGACCAAAATGTCCAAAGGAATATGTTTCATTTTTAATATGTTTTCTACATTTTGTTGGATTTTAAATTACAGAATTTAACTGTGGAGGGCGATTTTCTCTGAAGAATGAGAGGGATCATCTTTCAAATGTTGCCAACTAGATGGAAGATATTTATTCATGAACGGCCCTGAAATATTTGGGAAATGATTTTAGCGACAAACGCTTTTGAAGAAAGCCTGATTACATGGATCTGTTTCCCACCTGGCTGTTTTCTAAGCTAAGAAGCCTCTAGCCTAGTCTTAGATGCATGGGATCCATGTAGATAAATGATCAGCTAAAGGACATCTGAGTCATGCAATAATCTCTATTTATTTACTACAGTTTTTTAAAAATTTGGTCATAGGTGTTTCAACAGGAAAGAGCAAACAAATATTTGCAGAATTATTTTTATTTTGACTGGGGTCCATGCAGAGAGCCTTCTCTGCTTTGGAACATTCTGGTCCCCCCTCCCCCCCATTTCTGGCTTTCTGGAAATGTCTGAAGATCTGGCTCTGACAAATTGTTTGATGCCCAAAGGAGCATGCAACCATGGGGCTGCTTAGTGCCTTGAAGGCCCTCCTCACTTTTAAATTTAATTTTGAATTTTAATTACTCTGTTATTGTTTAACTGTCTGTTATAATATTTATATATAGCTTTTAGGTTTTTATGTCTCATTTTTACATTGGCCAGGGTCACTCTGTGAGGGAGATGGGTGATTTCTAAATGTGATACATAAATATAGAAATGCTGAAGGAGAAAAGCTTAGTTTTTTTTTCTAAGCATTTCACATTGTGCACTCTATTTCAGTGAAATAAAAAGATGTGCTGGCAGATTTCCAAACACTAATATACCAGCAAAAAGTTCTGCATCCAGCTGGATGGAACAACTCTTGGGCTTGTCTAAATGTTATTGATTGAAATCTAATGGAAACCCAGGAAAACTTAGGATCCAGCAAATCTTTGAGTATTTTCCAAGTCTGGGGATTTTGATTCAGGAAGATACCAATATAGAAGTCAATGGGAGGATAGAATCAAATATAAATTTCCTTCTTTTTATTTAAGTGGCAAGTTTGATCTAGTCTATGATTCCCAAGGACCTTAAGATTGTTCTCTGAGTATGTGTGTTTAAAAAAAGGGAGGTTACCAGAGAGGCACCATTTTAGTTTGTTGCAAAACATGGATAGAATATTGTAGTAACAAAAACTAAGTTGTGGTTAACTTATGGAATATTCAATTTACTGTTGTCATTAAAGTACCACAAGCCTAATTTAAAAATGGATTGGTATTCTAATTCATCCTTTCTGCTGAAAAGAAACAGCAAGAGTTAGCTTAGATGAATCATAACGGGTGACTTTTGTGAAAGTCAATATGTTACCTGTATGATCAAAAATCGGTATTTTGTTCAGCTTATCCAAGTGACCAGATGAATTAGGTGATGTTGCTCCAATAGTGGACTGCTTTGTGCAATGCAGCAATTTGGCAACAGTTGCCTGTGTGGGGCTTTCCTGTCTTTGTTCTCTAGGATTAGAGGAGTTAATCAAAACGACAGTGACTTCTGGCTTGATATAGTTAGAAAGGTCACAAACCTGAGGCTCAATTGTTTTCCAGTCAATGGTAAACTGGTACATAAAATGCTTGCAGCTTCCATTCTGCACAATGCATTCCGCCATGAAATTATCAATCAGCAAGAAAAAGCCATTACAAAAGGTGAACAAGGTCAAGGTTACATTAGTTTCAGCACATCTAGCCCATTTTTCAAACTCTTCTTCCAATAACAGGTAGTAATGCTGAAAGGGAGCAGGTGTTAAAAAAATGCATATCCTGCCTGAATTTGATGGAAATTAGATTCTCAGTTCCAGCCTCATTCAATGTGGACTCTAGAGCTGAACAAAGGAAATTTGGAGCTCTCAGTTTCCACTAGGATGAGTTAACATACAATGACAAGCTGATTTTTCATGTTGGGAAACCAGAAGTATAGAGCTAATGCAAACCTGGAATCACTGATTTGAAGCTTTTTCTCTTATTAGTTTTCAGATCTGACAGGGAAATTGTCTCGTATATGAATTTAGGGTAGATGTTCCGACGTCCCGTGGCAGAGTGTAATAAACAATTCTTGAAGAAAATGCTTTATTTTGCAACGATACACAAAAAGTTAAGCTATACTGTATTAGCTTCAAAAACTACAGCAAATCCAGAGAGAAAAGAGTTACAAGGTTAGCGCAGTATTGCTTCCATATGAAACCATTCCTCCCAATGTCATCTCTCTTACTACTGTGTCTCTGTGTACATCAAATCTGAAAGGCAGGAAACTGTCCCATGTGAATGTCAAGCTAAAAAGATGCCTTGCTTTAGGGAGGGAGAAGGTTTGGAGTGCACAGGTGGTTGTTATCAGTGTGAAAGCTGAGGTCATCGAAGAGATGTTTGGGCAATAGAGGTTTTCTTCTCATAACAAACATTTGAAGACTTAATTGGACAATGTGACCTGAATTGTCAGAGAGGGGAGGGCAGGTTTTACTCTTTTAATTACTTTTTCCCGCCATATTGTCAGAGCTGGTATTCCTTCTATCGTGCTGGTATGCTTTGCCTAATAAAGTATTACATTAGAGATCGTAATGTCTCTGGTATGTTTACTTTGTTGGGCTTTTCAGCCAGAACCGTGACTGTGAATCCCAAGGGAGCAAGCACCTAGTGACCAAGTACCTTTGCCTATCCCAGTTCCTGCTTGCATGGCTGAACAACTACACAAACTCTCCCCACTACCTACAGACAGGCACCATGTACTTCTATATGACTAAAAGAAAATATCATTGCATGCATGAAAGCTGGGGTGTGGGTGGCGGAAGCCAGCCCCGTGTGAGACAAACATGTTTAACACCTGAAACGGATACAGTTTCAAAATATTGTGGGTCAATCTTAGATGACAGAAGATTACAAAATTAAGGTGCCCTCTTCATGGCATCCTCAAAATAAATAGAGTTTTGTTAGCTCCTCGTTTTCAGCCTAGCCCGCTCAAACTGACCAGAAGAAATTTCTTCGTCACAGTACTGAAAAAATTTGTTATAAAAATGTAATTGTGATAGTTTCAAGTAGCTGTTCTAGGATTTAATTGAAACAACAAAGTGACCCTTATTTGTCTTATCAGTAACCGTCCATTTAGGTCCTTGTTATCAACAGCCTGGAGAGAGACATTCCATTCGGGTTGCCTACAGATTCCTTCTGAATCAAAACAGCTAAATGTCTGTTGCATCACTAAGTTCTCCGGGTTCTGATTAAAACAGCGTGAATGTCCATGACATTTGTACCTGTCAGTCCTGTCACCAAAAGGCGATGTCCATTTTGGAACTTGGTGAAAAATGTGTAAGAATCATTATTGCTCAACGTGCTTTCCACGTCAAAGCCTGCCTGCTCGGCCTCCTCTACCAGATCCTGGCTGCAGAAGGCCCCAGCAGCCTCTGTTGGCCCATCTTGTCCATCAGTTCCACCACTCAAAAACATGACTTCGTATTTGTTAAGACAACTTCCCTCCATGGTGGATTTAGCTCTGTGCAGTTCCAAGGCCACTCGCAGAGCCAGTTCCTGGTTCCTTCCACCCTTCCCACTTCCTTGAACCTGCACGGTGGTCTCTCCACCTGCCAGAAGACAAATGGGGTTTTCCACATGGGGTTCTTTCATTGTTGTTAGAGGGTCTATCAGGCTCAAGACTGGAATCTCCAGCTGTCCTGCAATGGTTGTGAGCATTTCTTTCACAGAGTCCCTTAAAGGTCTACTTCCAGCATCTTTTATAATGCTCAAGCACACGAACTGAATCAATAGGCTGTAGAAACGGGCAACTGTGCTGACCTCCCCACACACAGCATCACTCAAAAGGATAGTCAGGTAACCCAACTGTTCTGCCTGGTATTTGGCTCCCTCCAAAGCTAGCCTGTTGGATCCAATCACAACATTGTAGACATGGGAATAATCTTGCTGGGTGCTATGCTTTGTGACAGAGCTAGAGAGGACTGTCAACACAGACTTTGGCAAGGTATTCAATACATCATACTTGGCCAGTATCTGAAAACAGTCCTGCCTGCTGTGAGAACTGGCAACAGTCGGGCCACTTGCTATAATGTCCAATGGATCTCCAATGACATCAGAAAGAATGAGGCTCAAAACCTGAAAAAATAAGCAAATATTGTTCATGTTGTATTGGAATTTGGTTTTATTTTTAGCTATGCCTCTACCCTGATTTTTTGAAAATATATATTTGAATTTTAATATGCCGATAATATTTGAAATAAGTTGTTTTCAGGTATAACTTGTATAACAAATGACATTTCACCGTTCCTTATAAAACAACATTTCTCTACTTTGGACTGTAACAGAATGGATTTTAATCAGATACTTTTCAAAGACTACATCCCCTCTTTTCACCTATATCCTTTGAAATATTACCCAAATAAATCCATTGTTTAGCAAAGACTAAGCTGCCTGCTATAAGCCACCATAAAAAGTAGATTTTTTGCTTTGCAATTTCTTATTCTGGCCATCGAAAATGCATAGCAATCTTAGCTTTGGGTAGAATTGAATCTTTGAATTTCAGCTACTACTGAGCACAAGTTCACCTTCACAGTTATTCTCTTTTGTGTCTGAAGATCAGATGAAGCCAAAAGTCAAATACTATGTGGAATATTTTATGTTCTCTAATACTAACTTGAGAGCCAATTTTATGGAAGAGTTAAGGCATCACACTAGAAGTCAGGAGATGGTGAGTTCTAATCCCACCTTAGGCAGGAAGGGTGATCTTGGGCCAGTCATTTTCTCTCAGCCCAAGAAAGGAGGCAATGGCAAACCACTTCCTAAAAACCTTGCCAAGAAAACTGCAGGGACTTGTTCAGGCAGTTGCCAGGAATTAAAAATGGTGAGAGATGGTGCCCACGGAGGGGGAGAGGTTGTGATGGACTACAGTGAGTGGCAATTTCCCAGAAAGGACCAAGTTACAGAACGGGGGGGGGCACAAAAGGTAGCACAGCCCAGAGCTGTATAGGAGACAGAGGAAGAGGAAAGAATAGTCACTTCCTAGGGCACAAGTCGGCAACCTGCGGCTCCGGAGCCACATGCGGCTCTTTGAGCCTTCCCCTGTGGCTCCCAGCCTCCTCTGCCTTTGCAGAGAGAGACAGAGACAGAGAGAGGCAATTGCACGTCCCTGCTTCTCTCTCTCTCTCTCTCTCTCTCTGTGTGTGTGTGTGTCTGGGTGTGTGTTTTGTGTGTGTGTGTGTGTGTGTGTATGTGTAAAAGAGAGTGCACTCACAGTGTTCTCCGAGGAGCTGAAAAGCTTTCTGGGCGGAGCTCCTCCCTTTGCTGGTCTCTGAAGGAAGCAGGAAGCAGGAAGGGCAGGAGAGAGCTAGCTAGCCCAGCTAGGCTGACTCAGGAATTCTGGGAGTTGAAGTCCATGAGTCATAAAAGAGACGAGGTTGCCCACTCCTGAGCTTGTTGGACAACAGCTTGAAGCTTGCCAGGTGAGCAGCAGATAGGAAGGGGGGAGAAAGAGAGGGAGAGAAAGAGAGAGTGGGAGGGAGGGAGAGAGAGACAGAGAGAGACAGAGAGAGAAAGAGAGAGGGGGGGGGAAGAGAGAGAGAAAGAGAGTGGGAGAAGAGGAGTGGCAGACCAAGGGCAGATAGAGAGGGAGGGAGGGAGAGAGAGAGAGACCCTTTTGACATCTAAAATGAAGATAACACTGCATATATCCTTTTTTTACCTGTGTGTGTATGTAATTTTATTCTCTTAAAGCATTCTCTTGGTGATCATTGTTTTAATAGTATGAATATTCCCAAGAGTCATATTTTTACTTTTATTTTTAATGTGTATATATGTGTGTATGTATGTATACACACACACACACACACACACACACACACCTATAATAAAAGTAAAAAAGGATATATGCAGTGTTATCTTCATTTTAGATATCAAAAGGGTTTTGCGGCTCCCAGTGTTTTGTTTTTGGTGGGAAACGGGTCCAAGTGGCTCTTTGAGTGTTTTGGGTTGCCTACCCGTCCTAGGGTGTCAGCAATAAGAGTTTAGTCTGGGAAGTTTCTGTCTATTGCAGGGGTCCCTAACCCCTGGTCCGGGGACCGGCAACGGTCTGCGGCATACCAGCAATTGGGCCACACAAACAAGTTGAAGCCCCTTCTGCTGGATGCAGGCAGCACACAAAACCATGCCTCCTCTGGGCCGTGGAAAAACCTCTCTCCAAGGAACTGGTCCCTGGTGCCCAAAAGATTGGGAGCTGCTGGTCTATTGTGTACAGGCAAATAAAGAACTGAACTCTGGCTGAATTGCTCTTCATTATTCTCTGACAAAAACTGACTTGAAGGCACCAAAAAAAAAAAAAAAAACAACCCACCAAAAAACTCTGCCTAGAAACTATGGGTTCCAATTGGAGACATTTTAGAAGCTCAGTTATAAACCTAAGCCAATTTAATCACAAGACTGATAGGCTAAAATAAAATAATTACATTAATATTGTAAGAGACTTTAGTTGGTTAATTGCGCTACTTGGAATCATGCCCTAAATAAGGCATACATTTGAATCTGCACTAAAAGGGATTTGGAGAAATCCTATATCTCTGAAATGAAGTTCAGCCAAGAGTCCTAGGACAGGAAAGACAGCCACCTTCACATTTCCTGCCTGCTGAAAAACTGGGAATGAACGATGTAGCTAATCTATGTCTTCATATACTATATGATTCCTGCTGTAAAAAAAAAACAAAAACATCTCAGTGTGTTACTAATAGAAGGAGCTGTGTTCGACATATAAAGTATGAATCATTCTTCAATTTCTTTCCTATTGCTCTGACTTTTTGTCCTTTGCTTTTATGAAAAATAGGTTATATTTCACAGTTTACATGGGTAGTCCTTGACTTACAATCAAAATTGGGACCAGAATTTCTTGTCATAGGTTTTTGCAGTTATTGGATTCAATTTTATGATTATTTTTAAATCACTGTAGACATTAAGCTATTCCACAATTGTTAAGTGAAGGCTGCAGTTGTTAAGTGTGAATCCATTCTTCCCAATGGGCAGTTTTTTGCTGGAAACTGGCGAAAAAAGTTACAAATCATGATCATGTGACCACGTGATTGCAATCACATTGCAATCACACGACCATGGTGGTGGTGTAACAGTTGTAAGTGAGAGCATTGGTCATAAGTATGAGGACCAAGCTTTTTTTCAACACCATTGTAACTTCAAACATTGGTTAAACCATTTCTGAAATGTACATGCAAAGTATGCAAAACAGAAAAGTGTTTTAAAAGTTAAATCCCTCAAACCCAAATGATTTACAAATTGTGTAAAAGAAAAATTAAGCAATAAGGCATCGTTTTTACTTAATTCACATTATTCATTACGGCTGAAAAATCAGAATTTTTGATGGAAAGCTTTGGCATTTTTAGCACAGAACTTTAGGTCCCCTGCTCAAATATTCTATTTGCCTCAAAGGCTAGAATTTGTCAAATGTAATTTTTGAAAAAAAAAAAAACTCTGAGCCCTTATGATCATGCAAAGGAAATAAAATTATGCAAGGACTTCTGGAAAGGCTTTAGATGAAAGTTGGTGCACTAAAACTGAGATCTATCAGATTTGTACCAAATTAGCCTGTGCTGCCATGATTTTTATAAACAAATCACTGTTGTTGCAAAATTTATTCTGTGGGTATTAATTTATATTTACTGCATTATTCTGTATGCACGTTCCTTAGTTCAATCTAAAGCTAAAAGATTTCAAGAACACTAAAAATACGTTAAGAACCAATCACAACTATTTCCCTACATTCTTTAGAGCAGTGGTTCTCAACCTTTTCATCATGGACCCCCTTTAAATACCTTTTGTGGCCACAGACCATGGCCACTGACCACCAAGACTTAACTCAAGATTTATATCATAACATTTCTTCAAGCCTGTGATGACATTGTGGACCCCAGAGAACCACAATGTTTCTGATTGCTCAAAAAGTTTAAACATCAGAGCTGACTGAGATAATGTCCCTGATATTGATGAGGATTGAAATTATCCTGATCTTCGGCACCAAAATTTATCCCTCTCTCAACCACACTGAGCTTAGAGAACTACAACTGCCATTCCTTTTGTAACTAAGAGTTATTGGGTCAAGACAGCATTTAATACACTTACCTGGGCAGGATGAGCTATCTGGGCCAGCCCTCCACCTTTTGATAAAGAGAGAGCCTTTCGACTGGTATTCAGCTCTTGAATGGTGGCTCCTTTTGAAGCGAGTAACCTGGTGATCGCAGTCTTGTCTTCGAGGGTGACAGGAGGGATAGGTGCAGGTAAAAGGGCAGACCCACCTCCTGAAAGGCAGAAAAGTATGCGTTTAGGTAACAAGGCTCCTTTCTTGCGAAGGTTAGCCCTTATCAGAAGACAATAGTCTCCACTATCAAGGCAGCATTTTTCTCTTTGCCTCTTTCCACCCTTTGGAACGGAAGCAATTTTTCTCCTCCCGCTTTTCAGTTGATTATTTTACAGAATGACAACTGGAGATACTTTTCTATCAAGTGATTAAAACAGAGGTTCACATATTAAACTCCTTCTAAAGGCAATTTTCCTCCCATGCATATTAAAAGTAGAGAGCCAATTTGCTGCAGTGGTTAAGACATCAGACTAGAAACCTGAGACTGTGAGTTCTAATCCTGACTTAGGCATGTAGACATCGGAGTGACCTTGGGCCAGTCATTCTCAGCCCTAGAAAGGAGTAAAGGGCAAGCCACTTCTAAAATACATTGACAAGAAAATTGCAAGTAGGCTGCGTTAATATCTCACAAAATTCATCTTTGCAAGTGCTGGATAGAAAACTTGGAAATGATGGTGTGGTGGCAGCAGTATGGGCAAAGGAAAGCTAACTACGGATTGTTGAGTGTGACGGATTGTGTTTATGAAGGGGGAGATGGACTACAGTGATGGGCAGATTCTCAGAAAGAAGAGAGAATATCCCAAGGAGGGGAACAAGACAAGAGGCAGCACAGCCCAAATCTGGATCAGAAAAAAAAGTTAGGATAGCCACTCCCTAGAATCTAGTAAGGGTGAGAGTAGTATAGGTTTAGTCTGGCAAGATTCTGCCTAAATGATGGAGCAAATAAATAACTGAATTTTGGCTGTATTGTTTTATCTCATTCTTGAGCTGGACCTGACAATGAGATATAATAGGGATCATTCACTTCCTGATCTAAACACTCTTCCCCTCCCCAAATCTATAAGATTCAGAAGTGCCTCTGAACTCAGATGATTGCAACCTATCTCTGCTAGTCACTAAAGCTCCCCACTTTTTTGTGTAAGTCTGAAAAAAAGATGATTATAGTTTAAGGAATCCACAGATTTAATTTAACATGTCTCTTCAAACAGTGGCATTTTTTTTCATATAAAGACGGGTGAATGTTGCTGAGAAGTATTGAGCTCACAAAAAATCCAACACCCTTCTTAAGAATTATTTTCAGAGCGCACCATTCTCAGAATTAGACTCCTGATAATCTAGTGAATTTGAAAGTTTCATCCTAAAATCCATTCGGGTTTACTTATCTAAAGAAAGCCACAGACTAACAAGGCTTTCTGCACATCACATGTACAGATGAGAACCCCTTTTTACAGTGTTTGTTATTTCTGCATAAAAACAGTTCTAAACATAGTGCCAGTTTAAGCAAAAGAGAGAAGTGAAATGAACTGCAACCGAACACTTCAGCCAGGTGTCAGGGATAGATGGATTATAGGGAGACAATCCATTAAAGCAGGGGTTCTCAACCTTGGCAACTTTAAGACTTGTGGACTTCAACTCCCAGAACACTATCTTCTCCACCCAAGAATCAAGAACAATTCATATGTCAGAATCAGATCCTACTATGTCTGCTTGTGTTCTGATGTTACAGAAGGGCTTCCATTCATAGAGGAGATATTAACAAGTTCTTTAGTAGATTAAGACAAATTACACATACCCTTGACCTTGTCTTTTCTATCTAAGGCAACCATGGAAGATCCAGTCAACTTGATGGCCAATACTTTACTTTACTGAACATCCAGCCTTTTTTGGGAGGGGGCTAATAAACTTCTAATAAAAAAAAATTCTTTAAGTCCTTTCTAACAATCCATCCTGTTAGATAATTTCCAATTTGCTATTCTTGGACAAGGTGGCTAATCATATGGCACCTGAGATTCAGAAAATCCTGAATAAAACAGGTTGCTTAGACTCATTGGGAATGAGGCTGAAAATTTTTGGGGGTTGCCTTGGTAAATAATCCACAGTGAAATCAAGACAAGGAGACTTCTGCTGGACCTCTCAGTGGCATGTAGCTCCGCTTCTTTTTTTAGGTATGGTGTTGGTTCTAACTTGAGTTCTAGTGGGGTACCACAAGGCTCCGTCTTCAATATCTTCATCAATGACTTAGAATAGATGAGGGAATAGAAGGGGAACTCATCAAATTTGCAGATGACACTAAATTGGCAGGAGTAGCCAACACCTCAGAAGACAAGCTCAGGATTCAAAAAGATCTTGACAAACTTGAACAATGGGCCCTATCCAACAAAATGAATTTTAATGTAGAGAAGAGCAAAGTTTTACATTTAGACTGGAAAAACCAAAGGTATAAGTACAGATTAGGTGAGACCTGGCTCAAAAACAGTAACTGTGAGAGGGACCTTGGAGTCCTAGTGGACTTGACTACGAGCCAGCAGTGTGCAGCAGCCGCCAAAAAAGCTAATACAATCCTGGGTTGTAGAAACAGAGGCATAGAATCAAGATCACGCAAAGTATTAGTACCGCTTTATAAAACCCCAGTGAGACCACACCTGGCATACTACAACCAATTTTGGTCACCATAGTACAAAAAAGATGTTGAGATCTTGGAACAGGTTCAGAGAAGAGCAGTTAAGATAATTAAAGCCTGGAGACTAAAACATATGAAGAACGGCTGCAGGACTTGGGTTTGGCTAGTCTAAAGAAAAGAAGAAATAGGGGAGACATGATAGCAGTATTCCAGTATTTGAGAGGCTGCCACAAAGAAGAGTGGAATTATTCTCCAAAGCACTAGAGGGCAGGACAAGAAACAATGGCTGGAAACTGACCAAAGAGAGAAGCAACTTGGAATTAAGGAGAAAGTTCCTAACAAGTGCTGACAATTAACCAGTGGAACAGCTTGCCTTCAGAAATCGTGGGCGCTCCATCACTGGAGGTTTTTAAGAAGAGACTGGACAGCCACTTCTCTGAGATGGTGTAGGTTCTCCTGCTTGAGCAGGGAGCTGGACTAGATGACCTCCAAGATCCCTTCCAGCTCTATTCTATTATGTTCTGTTCTGTTCTATTCTATTTGCAATAGGTTAGGTAAATGGGTTAGATGTCTGCAGGCATTGCTATACCCCAGTACTGTACCTCTTTGTTTTGAGGCACAATTCAAAGTGCTGAGAGTAATTTTGAAAGCATTAAAGGCTTAGGGTCCAAAATATCTCAGGGTTTGCCTTCTCAATGGTAGCCCTCAAACTATGGAACCCTCTTTTTAGGAGTCTAGACTGCTACTCTATTGGATAATGTTTTGCAAATGGGTAAAACCTTTCTATTTTAGGAAGGCATTCAATATCCGGTTCGGTTTTAGAAGACATGTTTATTTCTATTAGATGTCTTTGTACATTTTTGGAGCTCTGCCAACATTTAAATCTTGCATTTATTTCAAGTGTTTTAAATTGCCCCGAGTGATGCATATGCATTAAAGGGCAGGAACACAATGTGCATATACATATAAAAATAAAATCAGTATCCATACTGATTAATTTCTGCCTCTCTAATCTGGAATTCCTTCTGCACGCAACCTATGTTCTTATATTTATAGAATGTAAATTTTACACATATAAAATGCAAAACCTCAAAAAGGTTGATTGTGGCCAGTGGTGGAGGATGAGTGAGGAGAAAGCGTGAATGTATTTTTAAAAGATCTGCCTGAAAGTTCCCACATAGCCGATACTGCCACTGAATAAAGAACATGCTACTCAAGCTTGCAGAATTGTGCCAATTTAAGCGGAAAGGCATTGTGAGTGAAACACAAGCAGGCTGACCCCTGTTCCAGACTTCTTTTGTCTCAGCTTCATCCCTGATCCAACCGTGTCCATACCATGAATCAGGTTTGTATGACAGTTATCTTACAACCGGGTAAATAGCAATGCTTCCAGAAATGACGCCTGGGCCCCAACAGCATCCTAGACTTTTGTGTCCTACAGTGACACAAACTGTAGGTTGAGATGCCCAATAATCCATGCATGTTTTAATATTCTTATTGCTTTAATATGCAAAAAAGAGACAAAAATAGGTGAAATAAAAAAACATTCAGAGAAAAAAAGGAAACAAAATATATCACGGTACATATCAAACCAATATTTAAACTCATCTTTACACCTTGACCACACAGACTAATATTGACCAGTCTTTCCATTACATCAAGAGAGATCCAGTTCATAAACAGAAAGGAAAGACATATTGGTAATCTCTAAATTATTAATCTGGGATCACACCATCTTTCCACCATTAAAGAATAATCTTCATACAGAGATTAGATCCAATTTGAGGGATGGTGGTGGTGGTCTGTAATTCAAAAGTACATTCACATATTTAAATTGTATTAAAGTTTGTTACACCAAACTAATACTTTTATGAGTATAAAACCATAACTAGGTAATATGGATCAAGTCCATATCATACAAGTAAATATTCCTTCACTTATTTTATATATGCAACATGTTACTAACATCCAAACATTTTAAAATATTATTTGGGGTGCTTAGCACATGTTAAAAAAATCTTTTATTGAATTAATGTCATATTAAAATAAGAAATATACCAGTGATGGCGAACCTGAGTGCCCAAACTGCAACCCAAAACCCACTTATGCATTGTCGAGTGCCGGGTGGGTGTGGTCCATTGGATGGGTGTGGCCCATTGGGTGGGCGTGGCTGCGGTGGTAATGGCAGACTGGGTGGGAATAAAAAGTTCAATCAATTCCAACTTTGCAAGATCTTTTTTTTTTCCACGAGAAGTTGAAATTGACTGATTGAACCTTTTTTTTTTTTTTTGAACATGACAGCAGAGGCCTAAAGCAAAAAGGTTTTATAAAACCCAGCTGAAGGCCTAGGACTGGGGCGACGGCACGCATGCCCACAGAGAGGGCTCTGAGTGTCGCCTCTGGCACCCATGCCATAGGTTCGCCACCACTGAAATATACTATTCTTTAAAACCCTTAACCATTCATTTTAATGAGATATTTCAATTCTTTGTTCAATTCTTTTTTTATATAATATTTTATTGGTTTTCTCATTTTACAACTGGATATTTAAAAAGCAACGTGGTGACTGGGTTAATCAATAGTTCAGTGGTATACATAAATCTTTAGTATAAATCTCATGTTACTACATCAAATATTTCCTCTCTTTTTCCATTAATATCTGTTATCTTATATTGGGCTAGTACAATTCTTGTTATCAACTAAATAAAAACATCTTTGTTACATTTATCAATAATTTTTAGCTTATACATATCTTAATTACATTTGCACTTAATCTTTGTATACAATCAATGTCCTGTTATTGGCTTTTTTCAGGCTTTAATTTCCCATCAATATTCAAAGTAATGCTATTATTTATAATTTCCAAGTATTTTATGTTTAGGTGACCAAAAGTTTCCCTTATATCAACTTCTCCCTTTTTCCTTTTTCATACCAAAGTCTAATATTCTGGTTACACATCTTATCTATTTGATTATAATATTGCTCTATTTTCTAAAAGTTATCTATTTTCCACCATATTCAACCATCATTATACGTGTTGTTTGGGTTAACCAATAATCCAGTAATATACCTAAATTTTCAGTAATATACCTAAATTTTCTAATATTAGAACATTAAATATTTCCTTTCTCTTTCTAATAATATCTGTTATCTCATATTGGGCAAACACAATTCTTATTTTTATCAACTAAGTAGAAACATCTTTGTTACATTTATCGGTAATTTTTAAGCGATATATATCTTAATTGCATTTGCACTTAATATCCTTGTATGAACAATGTCCTGTTATTGCTTTTTCCCCCAAACTTTAATTTCCCATCAATATTCAAGAAAACACTATTATCTATGATTTCCAAGTACATTATGTTTAGGTGACCAAAAACTTCCATTATATCAACTTCTCTGTTTTTTCCTTTTCATACCAAAATCTAATATTCTAATTACATATATTATCTATTTAATTATATTATTACTCTATTTTCTAAAAAGTATCTATTTTCCACCATAAGCAACCATCTAATTAGTAATATAATGTCCCCGATGCTTTGTTCAATTCTTCTTGCAAATAACTAATGTCCACCTTAGTGGAACTCTTTAATTGTTTATTTAGGAAAAAAAGTAGAATTGAATCATCCCCAACCAGTGATTTTTGGCAAGTATTTTGAAAATCTAGAGAAACTGACAATGCATTTTACATTGTTATTTTGCAATTTTTCAATCCAAATTCTTCTTGCAATAATTCAAATGGTTTAAACATTTGATTGGCAACAGCCTGAATTCAAGCAATTATCAAACTGGGATTTACAGAGTTTATGTTTACCATCAGAATAAAGGTACAAATTAGCTTTCCATTCCAATATTTTCCAAATTTACTTTGCAAACATAAACTTGGAAATACAATGGAGCTATGTTAAAATCAAGCCCTTGTGTCAGGATCTTGATCCTTGCATTCTTCTATTTTTATTCTTTCATGTCTTTTTAAATTACTTGCATCTGATCTTTACAACTGCAAATGAAGAAAGTTTCCTACTTTCTAACTATTCCTAAATATTAACAATTATTGAATAATAATAAATAAGTTAAATAATAATATGTAATTCATTATTATATAAATATTATAATACCGTAATTGCTACTTATTAAATAAATCTTTAAAAGCATTCAAACAGCAGAAACTTCAATGATTACCAATTTCCATTTAAATATTAGTTCCTATAGGAAATAAATCAAACTTATGTCACTTATCCAAACAACCTTATAAAAGACCAAACTGTTGCATATCAATAAAAATGTATATATAAAATACACATTTATTCATAAGATATATCACTGATACATAATAACAATTTGTATTCAGTGTCGTCCACTGTTATAGACCAAATATTCTCCATTTTCTAACAAACCTTAAAATCAAATAAAAATAAATAAGAGGTAAACTTTACAAGTTTCATGAGAACATTGACAAAGGAGGCCATAATTCCCTTTGAAATAATCATTCGCCAATAACTAGAATATCACATATTAATACAATTAAATTTAAAAAAGCATATTTAGGCGGAATCTAAATTTTCAAAATTTTCCATTGCATCATGTCAAAGGCTTTTTCCACCTTCAACAAAACCATTAATGCCGATTAGTGACTGAACAACAACAAATTACTGTTAACATTTTTGCCTCTATCTTAAAAAGGGAAATCAGAGGATCAATTGCAGAGTTTCAGTTAATGAAGGTGGGGAGAGAAAAGGCATTGTTACACTTCCAATGAGAGAAAGGAAAGAGCTGGAGAGATCTTATACCATCCAATGGAATATCCATTCAGACTGGAAACTTCCTTCCTTACATAGAATTAGAGGGTTATCTGTTATTTCTTAGATAAAGGCAGCTTGACCATGAGTAATCTTTAGAAGAACTATATTATGAAAGAAAATTCTTAATTTCTTTTTCAGTTATATTTGGCTTAGCATTAAAAATTGAAACCAAACATTTTTAAATTGCTTCAGTTATTCAGAAGGATTATTTATATATTTTACCCTGGGCATCTTTAGTAACAGAGATAGTACCATACTGTGCAATTATTAGCTGGTTGAGTATAATTCAATGAATATTCTCTTTCAAGTTCATAAAGGGAATTAGGTTTCTGTTTAAGAACTTTATAACATTCTGAGGTAGACTGTTCAAGAGTTTCTTAAATTTATTAAAGTATTATTTGTTTGTTTATTTGTGTATTCATTTAATTTCTATAGCCACCAATCTCAGTCAATGACAAAGAAAAAATAGCTAATGGTAAGGAAAATAATGGAATGAACAATCTGTACAATAACTGCTCCAGCATAACTAATACCAAGACGATCAAAATGAAACAATGCTATGACGTATACTTCCGAAACATGACTACTCAGAATTTCCTATTCAGTTCTTCCTAGCCCCTTCAGGCCAACCCAATTTGCCAACTCTTTGGTACGTTAGGCTCCTTCCATGAATAATAGGGTTAACCCAGTGATGGCGAACCTTTTAGAGACCGAGTGCCCCAAAACCATCCCCCACCTGTCCCTGCTCCGCCATGCCCACTGGCCCACCCACCACCTGCACGGCCCGCCACAGATCATCCAGACAGTCCAGCAGTGCCATGGTGGCCACATCCTCCACCCGTGCCCTGCAGCATTATCTGCGTGCAATGGGGTGCAAGGGCGGAGTCTTGTCCCCGCTGCCCAGCTACCATGTCCTTGGCTGCACAGCATTGCATGGGCCGTGCCTGGGGGCAACTCTCCTCCGGAGGGCTGCTGGTAAGGAGGGGGCTATGGGAGGAGGCAGGGCTGGGGCGACGGTGCGTGTGCCCATAGAGAGGGCTCCGAGTGCTGCCTCTGGCATGCGTGCCATAGGTTCTCCACCACTGGGTTAACCTATTCTCCAAAGCAATTGAGGGCAGGACAAGGAGTAATGTGTGAAAGATTATTAAAGACAGATAAAACCTATTATATTTCCTGACAATGAGAATAATTAATTAATGAAACAGCTTGCCTTCAGAAGCTGTGTGTGCTCCAACACTGGAGGCTTTCAAGAAGAGATTGAACAACATTTTTTCTGAAATGTTGTAGGGTCTCCTGCTCAAGACCTCCAAGGTCCCTTCCAACTCTTGTTATTTTATGTTCTATATTCTATACTCATGCTCCTTTCCAACTTACTGTATTTTTCAATATTACATGCCATATTCTGATTCTGGACTGCCATCTGCTGGTCAAAAACAGCCTAGCAGTTTTGAAATTTGTAGGCAAGAATAACTAGAGCACTGCTTTAGACTGGAAAGCTCAATAGAAGAACAGAACCTATTTTAAAGATTAATTACAAAAATGAGAGCCAGAGCATACACACTTTTAATTTTTCAGTAAAACTGAGTCAGAGGGAGAAAAAGAAAAAATGTACATCAGAGAGACACAGAACCCATCTGTGTGACTCACAGAGACTGAGAACTGACTGATTTGAAATGACCACATTTATTTCAGCAAGCTACAAAAAACATTTATGCAGAACTGTTACTACTGCATTTCCTTCCATTGCAGAAGATCCTACCTTCCCCATGGCAGAACATCAGCAAAAGCTAAGGGCAGGTTACGGAGAAGACTACCAGGGCCAGCAGGGATATCGTTTCCAAAGCCAGCTGACAAGAAGAAAGCACAAGGGTGCTTCAAGGGCCAGTCAGCATCACCCAGGGCGAAGTCACACTGAAAACGACCCTGAGCCACCTCCCCATGCCATCTGTTTTTTTTTTTTTCTTTAAACATCAAAACACTCAGCCTAATTTGCCAAGTGTGCTTGCAGAATGGACCAAAATATAATAAGGTTAGAAAATGGGAAACAAACATGAAAAAGAGCATCTGGAGATGACAAAAGTCTCTCTGTCCTTTTGGGCTCTCAAGCATTACCTGAAATTAATACCAGGAGAAGGTCATCTGCTGTGAGACTCTTGGCTAATTCCAAGATGGCCCTGGCCGCCTCCAAAGCGTCTTTATCAGGAAGGTTCTCCCTCGCTCCTTCCAGGACTTGGATTCGGCTACATGGCTTCAGCAACATTTCCCTGCAGCGTTTTTTTTTTTCAAAAAAGAGTCACTTATTAGCTGAGCTTTGTACTGCTGAAACCCATGATGTTTAAAACTTCTTAAACAGACGGCCAGCCAGGATAATTAAAGTGATAATGAAAGGTAAACCAAAGAATATCGATCACCTAAAATTCTGCCTAAGGAGCAACTCAAACAACAAGTTGGTTTCTGTTTTTCCCACAGGTTAAGTAAAAATAGGAAGTATCTCCATAAACTTGTTCAAGTAGCTAGTACCTGAAGTAGGAAAGCATGCCACAACTGAGATTAAAGATACACCAAGCCATGAAGGACTCAAGAAAGAATTCTTGAAGCCGGCTCATATCTCTCATCTCCATAAAATGCAGCCTTCTTCCTTACCTCATTCCTGCATGTCGCAGAGTTTCTTGAATGCCTTGAGGAATACTGATTATTCCCTGAGTGAGGTAGCCTCCAAGGATGTCCTCAGCCACTGCTGCCATGCCCAGAACAGCCTTTCCAAAGCCAACCAGGTACAGATTTGTCTTCAGTTCAAAAGGACGGCCCTGTAGCAACAGTCTGGGGCATCCACCCGGTTCTAGCACCAAGGACCTTTTCAGAATCGGCCCCGGGAGGACCGCACCCACAGCACTGCGGAAAAAATGTAGCCCATGGTCCTTGAGAGTCATTTTCAGAGAGGACATCTCACTGGTGAAACTAAAATTGGGCAACCAACAGATTTTGCCAGGGATTGACAAGCTTTTGAAGACAGAAACCATGCCCCGAATCCACCAGGAATAAGCGATGATTAATGTCCTGAAAAAAAGTGGATAAGTGATTAAGGATATCTGACTAGTTGCTTTTCACTCCCAGAATATATGCCTTACAGAAACTTTGCTTGCTATGAGCTTTGTTTTTTTTTCCTCACCGCCATCTCCTGTCTTTCTGTTCTCCTGGGAAGATCCAGAGGTCTTTTTATACATCCAATTTGATAGATCAAATAGGAAGGTTAATAATTTGCCAGTAAGAATTGCTTGAAAACAATCTATCTGGCATTTAGGGAATAGAAAAAACTAGGGTTAGTTAAACAACATAATCTTGAAAAAGAAATATACACCACATATATTCTCCTCCCTCCCTAAAAATGTAGAATACAAACTAAATTACTGATTACAAAACAATAAAACTTCAAATATGGATATTTTATGAAGCCAGGGTTACAAAATAAGAAGCTGCAAAAAATTACTTAAAAGTTCCTGGGAAAAAGCATGCTGGTTTGGGGGGGAAAGGGGGAGGAGGAGAGGGGAGGGAGAGGAAGAGAGAGAGAGAGAGAGAGAGAGAGAGAGAGAGAGAGAGAGAGAGAGAGAGAGAGAGAGAGAGAGAGAGAGAGAGAGAGAGAGAGAGAGACGTGTCTAGAAACCAGGAGACTGTGAATTCTAGTCGTCTTGCACAGGAAACGCAGCTGGGTGACTTTGGGCAGTCACTTTTTTCTCAGCCTAACCCACCTCACAGGGTTGTATTGTGTGTGAGGTATTTATAAAAATAACAAATGGGGGAATATAAATAAATAAGAGAATGAATTTTATTTCCATCTGTGAAATTACCTCACTAGTAAGGATTTTCTATGGAGTCATGCAATGAACATCAGATAGCGAGAAAGGTCTTAACCTAAGAGTGAGAAATATTGATGGTGATGAAACCATGAATGTACTAATTTCTCCTTACACACTAAACAGGAAAGAAAAATCTCCAGCTCTTAATAATCAACCTAATGATCAAGAAAGAAATTCAGCCTCATGACTCATTATCTGATCACTGACTCTCAGAAGTAATGTTTGGGGAAGGCCCCCACATACCGATCCCACCTGGTCCCTGGGAGAATCCTGCCCTCAGCTCATCAGTTCTACCATCTGTTGGCATCTTAGAACATTGGAGATGTATATGGAATCCAAATTTCTAAACTGTCCTTCAAATGAGTTTTGAGTTTAAGACATCCTGAATTCTGTGATATTTGGATCCATCTTATTGGCTTCCCAGGCCCCCGATAAGACTCCCAGCAGTCTTTTCAAACCGTATCTTTCTGGTTCTTTCAACCACACATATATGTGCATTTGCATGCGTGCACACACATACACAGAGATTTTGTTATACAGCAGTGATTTTATGTTCAAAGATGCCAACAGATGGCAGAACTGATGAGCTACAAGCTCTGACATGTTCTTTAGCATTTGTTCTTTCAATTCAGTTGATAGCAAGTTGCTTTGAGAAAATATTGTGTTTCTATTATTGGTGAAATGTTAAGCTTGCAATGAATACTCATCAATGCACACCAAGACTCGGAAAGGGTGCAGAGAAAAACAACTAAGACAGGAGTGTCAAACTGGCAGCCCGCGGGCCGGATGCATCATGAGCAGGTCAAGTCCACCTCGGCTTCACAAAGGCAAAAATTGTCATGATACGTCACATGAACTAAGATAATTAGGGGGCTGGAGCTAAAACATATGAAGAATGGTTGCAGGAACTGGGTATGTTTACTCTAGTGAAAAGGAGTAGGGGAGATAGTATGATAACACTGTTATCATAACAATGTTCCAGTATTTGAGGGGCTGCCACAAAGATGAGGGGGGCAATCTATTTTCTAAAGCACCAGAAGCCAAAATGGAAACTAATCAAGGACAGAAGCAAGCTAGAACCAAGGAGAAATTTCCTAACAATAAGAACAATCAACCAGTGGAATGGCTTGCCTTCATTTGCGAGTGCCCCATCACTGGAGGCTTTCAAGAAGAAATTGGACAGCCTTTTGTCTAAAATGGTATAGACTTTCTGCTCAAGCAGGGGGTTGGACTAGATGACCTCTAAGATCCCTTCCAACTCTGGTATTGTTAATTGATTATTCAATTATTCTATTCTCACATTAAGCCAAGAGACCCTTCAACCGAAATTTTATAGACTTCTGACCTTAGGATTAGATTTCTTGTTTTATATAACAATTTTATTAAATATTCTGTTAATCAGAATTCTGATAACTGGTTTGAGAATTGGTCTGATGATGTAGATTCTTATGTTGAAATGACAGAAATAAAAGGCAGGCTTCTGCAGGCCTCCAGGCTCATGAAGACCTTGTGAAAACATCATGAAAACCTTTTTAAACAAACCACAGAGCTTGAGGGTGAGCGCATCAGATGTGTGAACTTCTTGACATATCTACTATGAGCTGTGCTTCCTGCTTATGCAACCAAATAAAACTAAGAAATCTATATAAACGTGCATTTGAGGTTCATCCGGCCTTATGGGAGGATCCGCCTTTGAAACCAACTTTATATTCCCTCCTTTTACTTTTATCTTGATCTTTAATCCCTTCAAATGCTGTCCTAAAACTTAATTTGTTTCCTTTTTTTTGTCCCTTCTTACAAAATCTTTTTCTTTTTTTTTCTTTGTCCCTTCTTACAAAATCCTTCAAATTTAAGAAAATTGTTTTGTAAATCCAATATAGGAAAGTTATCCAGGTCACTCTTTTGATTTGTTATCTGTATATCCCTTTTAATTATTAAGACACCAGCTGGTTTCATTTGTATATCCAGTATATCATATTTTTCCATATCATTCTGTTGCAAAGGTTGCCAACAGCTAAAAAGTAATTAAGAAGCAATTTCTGAAAGTGATTAAGAAATTACTCTCAGCAACCTTCTGTCCATATAGGCTGCATTACAGCAATCAGTTTGATCAAAATCCCTCGAATCCAGCCATTCAACTCATGAACTGAGTACCAAAATCTCAATTCCTACAGTCTTCTCACAAAGAGCAGCTACCCAGAGTAGAAGTGAGCAAATCTCATGATTTCTCCTTTTTCTGGAGAGAGACTACCTACACTGGCCAGAATTCACATCTCTATCCAATACTGTTCCTGTCCTACAGGGATGTCTAGTTTGCCATAAATCTTCATCAGAACTCCCATTTTAGGACTAGATTTTATTCACTGTGGGTAAGCTGCATTTGAGCTTGTTCGGTTTGGTTTAGCAAGTTGTGTGAAACAAGCCATTCTAGTCTGTAAATCATCTGAACCTTACCAAATGTGGTTTACTCAACAAACAAGGATTTAATAAATGATCACCTACCAATTTCATGAAGCAGATGTACAGTATTTCTCTTTCTCTGAAAATAATTCTGCTTCAAATGTGAACATTTTTAGATAACCTGTTTTTGAACAAGCGATGTGCAAAGATATGGTAAATAGCTCTTATGGAAAAAGCTACTGATAAAACTTGAATAGTGACTTCTCAGATGGATGAACAACATTTTTATTAGAACTGGGAAAATCTGATGCTAACAGTCATAATTCTTCTTTTAAATTTATTGGTATAAGGAAAGTATGGTGGGATTTTGAGATACATTGTTCTGTGCTGCTTTCCTGCATTTTTGTTTCTTGACTTACCAAGTATTGAGAGTGAAAAATAAAAATAAAATCCTAAAATTACTTAATTTCTACATAATGTCTTCTCATAAGTGTGGCTAATCTGGGGTAATAAATCTCCCTTTTTACTCTTTCCTGCTATTAAGAACAGTGTACTGATCAGTGTACTGAGTGTACTGAGGTTCAGCAGTGTGCTGCAGCTGCCAAAAAAGCCAACACAGTGCTAGGCTGCATTAACAGAGGGATAGAATCAAGTTCATGTGAAATATTAATACCACTTTATAATGCCTTGGTAAGGTCACACTTAGAATACTGCATCCAGTTTTGGTCACCATGATGTAAAAAAAGATGCTGAGACTCTAAAAAGAGTACAGAGAAGAGCAACAAAGATGATTAGGGAACTGGAGGCTAAAGCATATAAGGAATGGTTGCTGGCATTGGGTATGTCTAGTTTAATGAAGAGAAGGACGAGGGGGGACATGATAGCAGTGTTCCAATATCTCAGGGGCTGCCACAAAGAGAGAGTCAAGCTATTCTCCAAAGCACCTGAAGGCAGGACAAAAAGCAATGGATGGAAACTCACCAAGGAGAGAAGCAACCTAGAACTAAGGAGAAACTTCCTGACAGAATAATTAACCAGTGGAACAACCTGCCTCCAGAAGCGGTGAATGCTCCAACACTGGAGGTTTTTAAGAAGAAATTGGACAGCCAGTATAGGGTTACTTACCTGAGCAGGGGGTTGGACTTGATGACCTCCAAGGTCCCTTCCAACTTTTTTATATTATTATTAATATTAATATTATCTTTAAAAGTGCTGGAGATAGTAATATAATAATCAAATGCCATCTTGCTATATATGTAGCTTAAGAAAATAAATCCTCCAAAGTTTTCTCTGTGTTCTTGAACTGTTTTGTCTACTTTAATCTGCTGTGTGTGATGCATTTTGGCCAAGAGCCTGATGTTTTCATCCCCACTGACATGCAAGGTCACAAGCGTATCAGGGGTGGCACTAACACCTCTGAGCCACAACAGCTTCCCTGCCGTCTTTCACTTCTGAACAACAGAGCAGACCAAAAGGGGAACAATTTATTCTCTGCACTGAAATGAGGACTTTGAGGCAAGAGTTACGGCGAGCCAGATCGAAATGAAATTTCTTCTTGTTCTTTTTTAACTTGATCGTAGCAGCTGCTCAGAAAGTGATCCAGAAGCCTTCATTAATCTTGGCAGATCAGCTGAGAATTGCATCTTCTATGACAGCATTGCTCTGGGACTGTGAAGAGCTTAGATTAATCTCTTTTAAATGAAAACTTCATAAGCTGCCATTAATGAAAACTGGTCCTAATATGCATATTAATTTGAATAAATCATGCCAACATGTTCCTATGATGGTTCCTTGCGACTCTTGTGTAGTTTCACTATATAAAAAATGGAAGTAACTTTTAATTTCTTATGTAATTCCACAGAGTGGCATACAGCAAGCATTCTAAAATAAATAACTGAATCAGAGAATAAACACTAACATATATGTGAAACAGATATAACATTAAAAGAAGAAATTAAAAAAAAATTGAATTAATCAAGGCGGTCTACAAAATCACTGGATAACGACATCATTTAACACCTACCTAGAATAATTATCTGAAATCAGACAGCTGTGGCTGTAACCCAAATAACAATGGGATGAGCCAAAAATAAACCTTTGACAACACACTCCAGCAACCTAGGAAACGTTATATTCTTTTAAACATTTTATATCCTTTTGGGCAGTCACGTGTGACCTTCTGGTTGTAGTAAATAATACACTGGAATTAGAAAACAAAAAACTGAGCACCTATTGTTATGTATATCCCTAATCATTTGCCTCCTAATATTTTTTCACAACAACCGCACTGTGGCTTTATATGCCCCTCAAATTCAGGAACTGAAGCTGGACTTCTTTGTTTCTCTTCCCATCACATTCTGCTACAGGGCTGGACACCCATACGTGAGCTACGTGACCCTCTGCTGCAAATCCTGGATCTGGTCCTGAGCCCCAACTATGTCCTAAAACCTGGTGGGGATCATGCAGGTCAGATCAGGGTAGCCAGTCTCAAAGCTCCTGCTCCTACAAATCCATCATTTCTCCCTAGTTAGAGGGAGGCACTCAATGGGAGAGCAAGTAATTGGATATAGTTTGTCCTGATGTTACCTAGTTTGGGTAATGAAGCGTCTGCAAGAAAACAATCAAGCTCAGAGAGCACCAAGGACTCCTCACAGTTTGTCCTGTTGGAAATCATCACCTTCACGCACATACGTTCACTACATGCAGTTCCTGACACTCAACTTATCAAGCAGTGAAGGGGGAGGGGGAAGGGAAAGGAGAAAGGCTGGGAACTACTACTCTGAAATGGAGCTTCCTGAAGAAGGAGCAACCACTTCCCCCTATGGAGAGGGATTGCTCTGGCTTTGGAAGGGTAAGGGTAAACACACAGGTAGTGCAATTGTGTGTGTAAAATTTAAATTGTGGGTTTACAAATAACAGTGGAGCTCTCCCCCTCATCTTCTGTTGCCCTATAGCCCTCAACAAGCGAGCCTCGAGCTAACTAATGCACCCAGATACTCTTCTTTGTCCTTGCATCAACTCAGATATCAGCTGCTGCCATTTGGGGGCAAACCACAATTAAGCACAGATTCCTCAGCTTCCATTGACAATTTGTCTATTAATAATCAGAATATGAAATATGCCACTAACGGCACTGAATTGTGTTGTTTTTTTCCCCATTAACAAAATAATATTATACAGTCCTAAAATCACCGTAGTTCCACAGTTAGCTGTTATAATGTATTCTGTAAGACAAAACATGAGGCGCATTGTGCAGACTTCTGAGTACATTTCTTGCTCAGGGACTCTAAAGTGCAGCTGTAATTTGACTTCACTGAGAAATAATTTAGGTGAAATGCATTGGTGTATGTGACCTAACACAACTGTAACCTGATTAATTTATTCTTGGAATTTGTAACAACACATAATTCCAGTGTTTACAACTAAGATCAAGATCAAGGCAATTTTGGCAAGTTCCTGTCAGTAAGAATTGTTCTTCTGTTCTTCTGTTAACTTACCACACTAAAAAAAATTCTCACAATGTTCCAGCTGTCAGAATTAGGTATGAAATACTCATTCAACAGGTCATAGAAAGGAGATTTTGCAAATGACATATAATAGAAAATAGAAAAATGAGTTTAAGTTCAAAAATGGAAGAACTGAGACCTTTCCTGGGGTTTGTTCACTTGTCTGTAACCTTCCCAAACTATTATTTAAAGTGGTAAAGAGAGGTAATATTTTCCTGGCTGTGTCTCATTTGATTATATTCTCAAATAATTTTCCCATCCATTTTGGTGCTTTTTAATAAAGACAGGGTAAGAGAAAAGAGCTTAGAGGGATGGAAACAATACAAAGAACCAGAATGGAGCAGGAAAAAGACTAAACATCTTTTCTATCAATTTAGAATTTGGAATCAGCTTGTAGGGATGAGGGGCAGCATAGAAATGAAACAAACAAACAAATTTATGCCAACATTTCTCTGGTTCCCCAAATGCCTTCCCACTCCCTGAAAGCTCATGGCAGTTTCCTATTATTCTGTAAAATATAAGTGTTACATAAACCTTAGAATAAGCATGATTTAAGTCATACTTGACTCTTGCTGGCTACAAACCTGTGGCAGCAATATAGAAGTGATTTGCCACTTGCCTGGGATTTCTTTTTTACTTTTTAGTCTAGCCAACAGCCCTAGTATTCTCTAGAGGTCTGCCATCTAAGCAGTAATTCAGGCCAAATATTTTCTTTTCTGAGATCAAGCAGGATTGACAAAGTGCTGCCGTCTGCTGCAGGCACCAAATAAGCACATAAAAAAAAAAAACCACCGCCACACAAAGACAGAGGAAAGAAGAAAAAGAGATTCAGCCACATTGCAGCTCTTAGCCCATTTAAAAGTGCAGCTGCTGTAAGTTACCAAACATGTGCTCTCCCCCTCCCTGTTATACACCAGTCTTTCCAAGTCTGCTCTGCTCTGCTCTGCTCTGACTAGTAGTGAGGTCTTCAACTCCGATATTTCCCTCTCAGCATCCCTATTATGGAGATTGATGGTGGATAAAGGAAGGCAGGCAAGACAGTGGAAAGAAGAGGGCAATGGGCCAGTTGGAAATACAACACTGGGACTTATTCTAGTTTAGAAGCCTTTCAAACAGTAAAAAAAGAAATCTGCAAAGGTTAAATTACCACAAATTACAGGTAGTCCTTGACCTACAACAGTTCATTTGGTGACTGTTCAAAGTTACAATGGCACTGAAAAAGGTGACTTACGACTGTTTTTCATACTTATGACCCCATGTTACATGATCAAAATTTGGATGCTTGGGATCTGATTCATATTTATGACGGTTGCAGTGTCCCGGGGTCATGTGATCACTTTTTGTGACCTTCTGACGAGCAAAGTCAATGGGGAAGCCAGATTCACTTTACAACTGGGTTGCTAACTTAACTGTAGCGATTCATTTAACAACTATGACAAGAAAGTTCGTAAAATGGGGACAACTCACGTAACAACTGTCTCACTTAGCAACAGAAATTTTGGGTTCAATTGTGATCATAAATCAAGGATTACCTGTATTAGCCACCATATCTAAAAGAAAACTTTTAGAGGCAAATTGCCACTGAATGGCATTGTTGAGGAGGGGTCACAGTCAAAAAAGGCTTCTGCAATTATGTTCCGCTTTCCAGCAATACAGTATTTGCTTACTTACTATGAAAGCTAGCACCCACTATTGTTACAGCTGTAGCAACTGGACTTGTGAGTGGAAGATAAAAGTTTTTGTGACATCAACCTTCCATCCTTCCAAGGTCGGTAGAACGAGGACCCAGATTGCTGGGGGCAATATGCTGCCTCTGTAAACCACTTAGAGAGGGCTGTAAAGCACTATGAAGCAGTATATAAGTCTAAGTACTATTGTTATTGATGTTGTATCAGTGCATGTAGAATACTGCTTCTATGAAACTGTATTTTTGAAATTGTCAAAAGATAAAATAAATTCTTCAGAAGGCTATATATGCATTCTCTTCCACACAAATTTCAAGCTAAGACACATTATAATTTATTCATGCACATTAAAAAATACTGATTGTTTCCAGTATGATTACTTGTATCTATATTTATCTTTATTTGTATATAAATTGTATATGTATCTATATTTATACTTACCATAAACCACGGCAGGTTTTTAGTTCTGATCACATAAGGGATCCTTTTTTAATCCCAATATGGTGAGAGATGGGCAACAAGCCATACTCACAGGCCTTTCGGAGCTGCAACAGGTAATAGTTGACTTCAGTGTAGTAAAGTTGCTGTAGAACTTTTCATAAAGTCCTCTAGTATTGCATTGTTTACCATTGATTATTTGTGTGGAATTTTTCACTCTCAGATTACATTGTTTGCAATGTTTCCATCTTGTAAAAAGGCGAATTCATCAAATGGTTATTATGTACATGTAATGTGCTTCTACGTAATTCTCATATATTCTACAATGAAAACTAGCAGCAGTCTCAAGCCTCTCCTTTAGGAGATAGATAATATAATTTGAAGTATTTTAATTCAGGAAAAAACATATCATGGGGAATTCCATAGAAGAGTCATTTGACCATTATGGGGTATGTTTCATAAATAAATAAAATATAGTCAGATACAACATTTCCTCTTCTAATACTAGAATCTGTGATCATCCAAGGAGGCTTAGAGAAAAGAACCAAGATTTTTATTGCCTATGAAAGATGGGTCTAAGGAGACTCAACTGAGGCATTCCCATACCCCTTACTCTAGACCAGTGGTTCTCAACCTTCCTAATGCTGCGACCCTTTAATACAGTTCCTCATGTTGTGGTGACCCCCAACCATAAAATTATTTTCGTTGCTACTTCATAACAGTAATTTTGCTACTGTTATGAATCGTAATGTAAATATCTGATAATCGTAATGTAAATATCCCTTAATAATGGACCAGTTTGATTCAGTTGTGTGCTGGAGATTGGCGGTGGCTATGGTGGGGGTTAAGGGGGAATTAAATGTATGTTTGGTAAGTGGGTGTGAGAGAATGAATGTCACTCCACTCCGAATATTTAGTCCGTGCATCTGAGCACGGAAAGATGGTCTTGCAATATTTGGGGGGGGGTCGTCTCTTTGGCCCTGATAAAAAATCCTCGCTCCCAACTTTCAGGGCCAACTCTGGGGGCCGTTCAAAGCTGCGAACTGAAGCACTTTTGCTAGGAGAAGACTCAAACCTGCAGGCTGACTCTGGGATCTGCAGGCAAAAGAATGTTGCCCGGATCCACAAAGTCCGGATGCCTCCCCCCAAAATACCCCATCTTGCTCCGGAGGGTTTCCAGCTGGGGAGAAGGACAATTGGATGGGGGGGCCCTTGAAGACTGGAGGGGCTCAAAGCCTCATCCACTCCGACTTTTATTCCCTCTCCAGGATCTGCTTCTCCAAGCACCCGATCCAGCTGGTGGTCAGGATCCCGGAGGGTCGCTCCCCTCCCGCCAGCGGATACCCTGCAGGGTTTACTCACAAGTAAGGGTGAGAGTCAGTCCTGGCTCAGCCCTTTACCCCACTAAGGCTGCACATTGATTAACAGGATCCCCGGATTTGTTTTTTTTTCCCCCCAACCCTTCTCCCTCGCCTTCTCTTGCGCCGCCAAAGACCCTTTTTAGGATGGGGAAAGTTAGATTATCTAGAAAGCGAACTTCTTCAGGAGGGAGCCTTTAAGGACAGCGGCGGCGAGAAGGAGCCTCTGGGATGCTTACTCGCAAGTAAACCCGACTGCTTCCTTCTCCATCCTCCCCCCTCCTTCCCCAAAGTGGATTACGCATTTGTCGAGGGAGCTTGTTTTGTGGCTCATGCGCACGCAGCTCCCCTTCCCCCCCCCCGTGAGCTAAGAGGAGCCAAATTATTTGAGGAAGGGAGGGTGGGGTGGCAAACTTTCGAAGCATCCCCTCCTTCCCTCTGCATCGCCCCCCCCAGAAAACGACGTCCTCTGCCTGTGAGGAGGCTGTGAAAGGAGAACAAGAAGGGGTTGGGTGGGTGGGATGCTTAATGCTTTTTCATGGAAGTTTCCCAAAACAGAAGGATACGACTTTACAGCTGTCCCAGATTCCAGCTATTTCATTCTCTCCTTCTAACATTTTCACCTTCCACTGAGCGTACTTGATTGTCAGCTAAATGTTTTCTGACAAGTCCCTCTCTCAATGCATTTCCTTTTTCCTAACAATTTCTGGCAGTGGAGTATACACTTCCCCAATTGGAGCCTTGCCTTTGGATCCTGACTAGGCGGGAGGCAGAATAAAAGGAAGCCGTTTAAAGGCGGGAGGAGGGAAAATCCCTAGGTTGGCTTGCTCCCAATTCACGATGAAAAAGGCAAAGGGAAGCTCGCAATTCGGGATGGCTTGCTGACTTTCTCACCTGTGCAAACTCCCTTCTCTTCGCTTGCAGCCGGGCGATTCCAAGTTTAAGCGCAGCTCCTAGCAACCCCGAGGAAAATCCCACGAATGGGGGTGAGGAGACTCAATTAAGGTGCTCCACGCAAGGGCAGAGACCAACCCCACGAATGGCCACCCTGGATCATGCCCACACAAAGCAGCAACTCCGATCTAGACCGGGGGGGGGTCAACAGAAAGGAGGCGAGCAAGTGAGCAACACCTTGGATGCACCAACCTGTCTTCTGCTGCCCACAGCAGCCCCCCCTCCCTCGCAAGCCATTATTCATTTTTAGCACCTGCGGATCCGATTTTGCCAACCAAAAATAAAAATACCTGGGGATTGGGGGGGGGGGAGAGAGAGAGAGAGAGAGAGAGAGAGAGAGAGAGAGAGGTACTAAGTCTGTGCCTTGCTCTAAGAATGCGCTTTCCAGTTTTTTTTAAAAAAAAACTAAGATTTTTAAAAAATACAATCCAAAAGCGCTATTTAAAAAAGAAATTGCACTGAATGCATCAAGGCGAGCTGGCGGAAAGAAAAGATGATCGCCGGCGCTTTCATTCACAGACACCAGATTTTTTTTCCCCCCAGATCATAAAATGTCCATTCCTGCCTCCAAAAGGGAGGGAATCAAAATATAAAGGGAACCCACCCCCGTGGCAAAGCCCTCCGGCGTGCTGATTCTACAGCTAACAACCCTTCCTTCCCTCCCTCCCTCCCTCCCTCCTCCTCCTCCTGCCTCACCCCCCCCTCAACTCCCCGCCAGCCCATCTCCCCTCTTCCAACAAGGCACAAGCAACTGCACACAAGCATGATCTAGAGCAGCTCCGTAGGCTTCACAGATTCCCCAGGAAGATACGTCACGGACGCCAATGTCCGGGCTGCAGCTTCTGATTGGTGAAAAGCCTGGGAGAAGGCGGGCTGAGTCACTGGATCTTGCTAGCTCTACCTGAGAGGTGGGGAGTTGCTCCTTTGATGCTTTAAGTCTTACCATTCTCTGTGTTGTTTTTATCCGCCTGGAGATAGATAGAGGAGCGGTGTCTCGGTTCCTAAGACTATCAGAAATATGTGTTTTCCGATGGTCTTAGGCGACCCCTGTGAAAGGGTCGTTCGACCCCCAAAGGGGTCGCAACCCACAGGTTGAGAACTGCTGCTCTAGACGGTAAGAGCTACTGTTTATTTGACCCTTATAAAATTGTTGTATGCATAGGTTTTGCTTAACTGTGTTTGATATTGACTATTTACTGTTACAGTAGAGGTGTAGAGGTGACAAATAGATTTAAGGAACTGGATCTGATAGACAGAGTGCCTGAAGAACTATGGATGGAAGTTCGCAACATTGTACAAGAGGTAACAACTAAAACCATCCCAAAGAAAAAGAAATGCAAGAAAGCAAAATGGCTGTCTGAGGAAGCTTTGCAAATAGCTGAGGAAAGAAGGGAAGCAAAAGGCAAAGGAGAAAGAAAAGATACACCCAATTGAATGCAGAATTCCAGAGAGTAGCTAGAAGAGATAAGAATGCCTTCTTAAATGAACAGTGCAAAGAAATAGAAGAAAACAACAGAATAGGGAGGACCAGAGATCTCTTCAAGAAAATTGGAGATATGAAGGGAACGTTTCATGCAAAGATGGGCATGATAAAGGACCAAAATGGCAGAGACCTAACAGAGGCAGAAGAGATTAAGAAGAGATGGCAAAACTACACAGAAGAACTATACAAGAATGAGCTTAATATCCCAGATAACCACAATGAGATGGTCATTGACCTCGAACCAGACATCCTAGAATGTGAAATGAAATGGGCCTTAGAAAATCTGAGCAACAACAAAGGTAGTGGAGGTGACAGTATTCCAGCTGAGCTATTCAAAATCTTAAAAGACGATGCAGTAAAAGTGCTACATTCAATTTGCCAGCAAATTTGGAAAACTCAACAGTGGCCACAGGATTGGAAAAGGCCAGTTTACATTCCAATTCCAAAGAAAGGCAATGCCAAAGAATGTTCAAACTATCGCACCATTGCACTCATTTCACATGCTAGTAAAGTTATGCTTAAAATCCTACAAGCTAGACTCCAGCAGTATGTGGATCGAGAACTACCAGAAGTACAGGCAGGATTTCGAAGAGGCAGAGGAACTAGAGATCAAATTGCCAACATACGCTGGATCATGGAGAAAGCTAGGGAGTTCCAGAAAAACATCTACTTCTGCTTCATTGACTATGCAAAAGCCTTTGATTGTGTGGATCACAACAAATTGTGGCAAGTCCTTAAAGAGATGGGAGTACCAGACCATCTCATTTGTCTCTTGAGAAACCTATATGGGGTCAAGAAGCAACAGTGAGAACCGAACACGGAACCACTGATTGGTTCAAAATTGGAAAAGGAGTCCGGCAAGGCTGTATACTGTCGCCCTGCCTATTTAACTTATATGCAGAGCACATCATGAGAAAGGCAGGGCTAGATGAATCAAAAGTTGGAATTAAGATTGCCGGGAGAAATATCAACAACCTAAGATATGCAGATGATACCACTCTAATGGCAGAAAGTGAAGAGGAACTAAAGAGCCTCTTGATGCGGGTGAAGAAGGAGAGTGCAAAAGTTGGCTTGAAACTCAACATTAAGAAAACCAAAATCATGGCATCCGGCCCTCTCAATTCCTGGCAAATAGATGGGGAAGAAATGGAGGTAGTGACAGATTTTATTTTTCTGGGCTCCAAGATCACCTCAGATGGGGACTGCAGCCAAGAAATTAAAAGACGCTTGCTCCTGGGGAGGAAAGCTATGGCAAATCTAGGCAGCATTCTAAAAAGCAGAGACATCACCCTGCCAACAAAAGTGCGTATAGTCCAGGCCATGGTTTTCCCAGTTGCAATGTATGGCTGTGAAAGTTGGACCATAAGAAAGGCTGAGCACAAAAGAATTGAGGCCTTTGAACTATGGTGCTGGAGAAGACTCCTGCGAGTCCCTTGGACTGCAAGGCGTTCAAACCGGTCAGTCCTAGAAGAGATCAACCCCGACTGCTCTTTAGAAGGCCAGATCCTGAAGTTGAAACTCAAGTACTTTGGCCACCTAATGAGAAGGAAGGATTCACTGGAGAAGAGCCTAATGCTGGGAAAGATTGAGGGCAATAGAAGAAGGGGACGACAGAGAATGAGATGGCTGGATGGAGTCACTGAAGCAGTAGGTGTGAATTTAAATGGACTCCAGAAGATGGTAGAGGACAGGAAGACCTGGAGGAATGTTGTCCACGGGGTCACGATGGGTCGGACACGACTTCGCAATTAACAACAACAACAACAACATTTACTGTTACAAGTTTTCTTAACAAGCAATTTCACATAACCTACCATTCACTGACCAGAGGCTTAATACTGGGGATTTAAGTTTTTTTTTTTTTTAAAAAAGGCACAAAGTATACAAAACTTTTATACTTTTTAATGTTAACACTTATATAATAGTTTTCGGTAATCATTTATATTTATTTCAGTGGATTTCTGTACATTGCCCAGAGTCATTGTCCATGAGATGGGTGTTCATACAAATTTGATAAACTGATTTTTTTAATACAGCCCAATCCAATGTTCAATGTACAAAAAGTCAGAATCTTCTCTCCATATAGTGCTTTGAAAGGCATGCCTTCTCTCCTTTTAGTGCAGTGGTTCTCAACCTGTGGGTCGGGATCCCATTTGGGGTCGAACGACCATTTCACGGGGGTTGCCAAACAACGCAATCCGCCATTTTCCCCCCCCTTTTCCTTAGCTGTGCTATTCCCTTTTATTCTATTGGCTTTTGAAAGCCAATAGAATAGACTCTCTTGAATAGAGTCTAATTCTATTGGCTTTCAAAAGCCAATAGGAATTGTCCAGGCTGTCTCTGCCCTAATGAGCCCACCAAAAGTCCCATTCTGCAAACGGTACTGCACCAGTCCTCGACTTACGACCGGTTGAGTAGTCCTCGACTTACGACCGGTGGGGGGTCACGGCATTAAAAAGGTTGAGAACCACTGTTCTAGTGTTTCTTAAATTTGACAACTTTCTTGATGAGGGTAAAAGAGGAGAGTGCAAAAGTTGGCTTGAAACTCAACATTAAAAAACTAAGATCATGGCACACAGTCCCATCACTTCCTGCCGAATAGAAGGGGAAGAAATGGAAACATTGAGATTTTATTTTCTTGGCCTTCAAAATCTCTGATGGCAACTGCAGCCATGAAATTAAAACACAGCAAACTTTAAACTTTACTTTACAGTAAAAAGCAGAAACATCTTGCCAATAAATGTCTATAGAGTCAAAACTATGGTTTTCCTAGAAGTAATGTATGGCTGTGAGAATTGGAACATAAGGAACGCTAAGCACCAAAGTACTTAATGTTTTCAAAATGAAGTGGAATAAAGTGGAATAAAGTAGAGCAACATAGAATAAAATGAAGAATAAAGTAAAATAATAATGATGATGATGAAAAATCATTATTCAAGTAAAATGATGTGTCTGCATAATTCCTGGAAGAAAGCTGTGTTAGCAAAAGCTATGTTAACAATACGAGACTGACCTAATGCACATTGAGAAACATTGTATAAAGTAAAACTCTCTTCATTGTATGCCTGTGAGAAACTGACCGAATGATATACAATGCAGATTCCATGTGAGCTTCTTTGTTCCTGAGAAAGGGAGAGGTATAAAACTGCAGTTTGAACCCACCCACCCTTGTTCAGAATTTGCTGTTGTTAACCGGCTTCTGAACCTTGTGCAAATAAACCTGTTACACCCTTTGGAATTCGTAAAAGTCCTTTCGTTTTCCACAAGAAAATTGTGGTGCAGAAGGCTCCCCAAGCCCCTTCGACTAAAAGGAGATCAAATCAGTCCATCCTAAAGGAAACCAACCCTGATTGTCTTTTGGAAGGATAGATACTTAAGTTTAAGCTCAAATATTTTGGCCACCAAATAAGAGAGGACTCATTGGAAAAAGACCCTGATGTTGGGAAAGATTGAAAGCAAAAGGAGGACAGCAGAGAATGAGATGCCTAGCTAGTGTCATCAACTCAATGAACATGAATTTGGGGAAACCCTGAGAGACAGTGGGGGGGAGCAACAGCGCCTGTCTGGTCCACAACTTAGCCACTGAACAACAAGATGCGTGGACTTTGTCAAAAGTAAGTCTTCATCCTGGTTAAATCCAAGCCGGGAATAAATAAGCAACATGGCGACTGCTTTGGGAAGAAAGTTACAGTTTATTGAAGAAGCAGGAAGATGGTCCTTGCAAGAAAGAGCAGAGGAGAGGAAAAGAAGAGTTGAGCACATGGGCACTAGGTTTTTATACCCTCTAACCTTGCTTGGAATAGTTTCCTGTTCCTGTGGCATGAACCTTGAGGCTATTTCTGAGTGTTTGTCTAGGCCTTGATATCTGTGGTTTAATCCTATTATCATATCCTGCTTCCCAGGTGATGGGGCTAATGACTCTTAAGAGTTTAGGTGGGACATGCAGATTTTCTCTTTGTCTTCTTGATTGCTCTGGCTTCAATTCTCTGATGGTTTTATATCTACATTTGTATGGGGCTAGCTCTTGCTTGGGGCAGAGAGATAGATTTGGGGCCAGGTTTGGTTTTAAAAAGTCCTTTTGAGGAAAAATATATTTTTCTGCCTTTTTAATATTTCCTTCTCTGGGCTAACTTCCCTCAATTTCAACAGTCAGAATCCCCTGGCCAGTTTTTGAAATCCAAACATGTTAAAATTGCCAAATTTGAGAAACACTGCACTGTATAGCAGGCCCTGCAGCGACTCGAACCTCTCCAAAAGAGAAGGTCGGGACGGGAGATTTTCAACTCTAGGCATGGACTGGCTGCTCGGTATGAGAGAATAGTCATACAACAACAGTACTCCCGCCTAGTACTGTATCTTTTGATCCCACAATCCATTGCCCGCGTTTTCAGTCTCTTTCCCCGCGCTAAACCACTACTCGCTTACTCACGTATCCCGGCATGCACCAGACCGGTAGCGTCGCCGTTGCGGCTCCTTTTCGTCACTTCTATTTCCTCCGAAGGCCCCATAATTCCACCCGTGCCGACACCTCCACCCCTCTCCCCGCCGCCCTAAAGCCGCAAAATGGCGGACACAATGAGCCGGAGTTGCCGCCGCCTTCTTCCCGCAGCTTGAGCGGAATCCGCCTGAGGGCAAAGTCGCTTCGGTCCTTCGCCTGCTCCGGCATTCTTCTCCCGCCATTCCCGTCCCTCCCCGCAGAGGTTAAGCCCCGCCCGACTCCGCTTTCCCCTCACCGTGGCCGGCGCCCAGGCCCCGCCGGCTGCTTTTCCCCGCGACGGCGGAGGCGGCATGAAGCTGACGGACAACGTGCTGCGGAGCTTCCGCGTGGCCAAGGTGTTCCGCGAGAACTCGGACAAGATCAACTGCTTCGATTTCAGCCCTAATGGCGAAACCGTCATCTCCAGCAGCGACGACGACTCCATCGTCCTCTACGACTGCCAGGAGGGAAAGTGAGTGCCCGGGAAAGGATGGGTGGGTGCGAGGAGCTCTTCGCGGGAAAAGAGGCCCGGGAGGGGGGACCCGAAACAGATAAAGCGGCTTTTGTTTTCATCGAAAGCCGAACCCACATAGCTGTTTTTTGTTTTTTTTTAAGAGCGGCTCTCGTGAACTTGTAAACGGTGGGATGGGAAGGGGGAGACGTTGCTTTAGGCGGATGCTCAGATGCATCTCTTGAGTTCGGCGGAGGCTTTGCGTTTCAGGGACAACAGCTGAAAAGTAGAAGAAACTACTAGGGACATTTAGTCCCTAATTGGACAAAGATGTGCGGTGAGCCTAAGTTAAACATAGGCTTTTTAAGTTGTTCACGTTTGTATTCCACTAAACTGTGATTTTAGTAATTCTAACCTAAAATGTATATTTTTAAATATATGAAAGGCCACCTCCGTTTAAAAACTATTATCCTTGTGGGTGCTGACGCTCTCCTTTCAGTTTGTATTGGCTTTTATTAAATCTTTCAGTTGTGCTCAACTTGTATATTGCCACAAATCTTGGTCAGTACTGTACTCTCAATTTCTCACCGTTTCAAGAAGTATTGTTTATTTTGTATTCACTTAGTAAAATGGGCAGTGTACACATTTGATAATCAAAAGTACACATTTGATAATCAAAAGTGTGTGATAGTATTATACTGGTGGGAAACCTAGGTAAGTATATTTATAGATTTAGTTTGAATAGTTTGAGGAACTATTCAAAAATGGGTTTGCCTTCAGATTAATATGAAATGGGCTTAACTATGAGGGGTACTTGGTGCTCTCTGAGCTTGGTTGTTTTCTTGCAGACATTTCATTACCCAAACTAGATAACATCATCAGTGCTACTAGTAAGGAATGGGGTTTGCTCTCAGTTTATATTCTAGTGCAGTGTTTCTCAACCTTGACAATTTTAAGGCATGTGGACTTCAACTCCCAGAATTCCACAGCCAGCAATGCTGGCTGTGGAATTCTGGGAGTTGTCGAAGTCCACATGCCTTAAAATTGTCAAGGTTGAGAAACACTGTTCTAGTGGTTTGCCCTGTCAGTGTTGGGGTAGGCAGCCTTGGCTCTTTTATGACTCGTGGACTTCAACTGGCTCAGGAATTCTGGGAGTTGAAGTCCACGAGTCATAAAAGAGCCGAGGTTGCCTACCCCGTCTTGGTGATTCTTTGGTTGGGCTGTTTATTGTTACCTTATTTGACAGTTTCTTGATTGGGATATTGTTTACTTCTTGAATGCAGATCTGATGTTAATCTATTCTCATCTGGATGTTGCTTACTAGTGAGGTTGTATTCTGGTCTTTATGTTTCAGTTTTTGCCTTGTCTCTTGAATGATATGTAGATGTTGTCTTTCTGTGTGCCTGTGATGGCCAGTTTTTCAGAGATCCAGGCTTCCAGAAATTCTCTAGCATTTCTGGACTTGTCTTGGTCTAGGATGGTCACAGTTTCCCAGTTGAAACTGTGGTTAAGTCTGTTCATAGGTTGTGTTTTTGGTGTTCATGGATGCATTTTGCTAGTCTTTTGCTATCCCAGTTTGGGTAAGGAAATGTCTGCCAGAAAACAGCTAAGCTCAGAAGGCACCAAGGACCTCTCATTTCAACCCTGAGCTACAAATATTCTCCTTTATGAGCTTAGCTAATTTAGTAATTACACCAGGCAATTATTTATTTGCTAAGTGACCATATTTTCACTACTGTAAACCAATGGAAATGAAATTGTGGCTGTAATTTCCTCAAGAACTGTCCTATATTTATTTTTCTGTATATCTGGGAACTCAATGATTTGGGGATCATTATTGCAAATGCAGTTTCATATTAGCAGATTTTAATGAAGTGGCTAGTGAAGTTGGAGATAGATATCATCTGTTTCTTATAATTAGACATACAGTTTACATTTGCTATAAACTATGTGTTATCTTGTCCCAAATCCAAAACTTTATCTGGCAGTAAAGTATTCGACTTTCACGCTTGCCAGGCATTCTTCAATTTTTGAGTTTGAGACTGACTTCTGAGTTTCTTAAGTAAGAATAAACAAATTTGTTAAATCTTCAAACTTGTAATGAACTGCTAATTCTTATTTAGATAGTTACTGTATCCTCTCAAGTAAATGTTATTGTTAATTAGTTTGAATGCATTTTAACATATATAATGAAAAGCAGACCAGTTGAATATTGGGGAAAATATCCAGAAATCTTTTATAGGTTAACTTTCAAGATTTCATTACCTTTTTATTAATTTAGATGGCTTAAAATCTAGAATAATGGGAGTGGTGGGATTTGGTAATTGTTTTATCTGCACCAGTTTATACTCTTAAATGGGGTTTTGGATAGCTTGCAGAGAAAAAGATATGTTTTTCACCTTTCAGCCAAGAAAAATAGCTTCACTTCAGCTACTTTTCTGGTAACAGGAACAAATATTTCTTGCCAGGCACTAAGATCCATACAGTTCCTATCACTTTGACCTTCGAAAAAGCTTTAAAAAACTGGCTTTTCTCCCAAGCATTGTGATGAGGTAAGGCTGGAGCCCTGGGATTCTGACTGTTTGTGTATTAGGGAGTACTGCTTAGGGCGCCAAAGAGCTGTTTTGTGGATGCTGGTTTTCATTGCTTCTTTTATCTTTTTATTGCTGTTGGAATGAACTGCCCATAGTTATTGCTCTTAGGACAAGCAGGCATATGCTTCATAAATAAATACATAAATACCATCTTAGAACTGAAACCTTGTGCAAACATACTATCAATACTAACCACATTGTTATCCCTCTTCATTATCGCTGTTGTTACTGTTCTTAGATTTTAATAATCTTTATTTAACCTCTGTTAATTCTGCATGGATATTTTGGAAGCCTCTTTGATGATTATTTAACTTATATTTTGAATAAATTGAGTCTAGTTGAAAAAGTATGTTTTAGATTCTCAAATGTTTGCACTTTTCTAGTATTGTATTTTAAAAAAGAATATATAGTGGAATCTCAACTGGTTTGTGTTTCCAGAGTAATTCTCTTTTCCTTCAGTTCTGTGCTTATTCATACTTTTTTGCCAGATATGTTTGTTTTTCTTTTTAAAAAATCAGCACCTCAATTGTTTCAGTATTCCTCATTACAGATTTTCTTTTTTTTTTTAATCAATTTATAGGAAACATTTTCAGATTATTCTTAAATAAATTATAAAAAGTGATATAAGCTTAAGTGAAATAGCAAAGGAAAAAACCCTTGTGAACTTATTAAATTAGCTTTTTATAAAACAGACTTTACATAATTATCAGGATCCTATTGGATCCCCTATTGATTGTTTTGGGTGGAGGCATAATTTCCAAGAGAGCAAACGGATCTTTTATTTTTGCTTTCTATGTATAGTGATGATAACACATCCTTATATTTCATTATAGTATAGTGTTTCTCCCTAAGTGTAGCACAAGAGATTTCATTAATTCGTTTTAGTTAAAATTGCATCCTGATTTATTTATTTATATTTCATATTTCTAAACTGCTCCTCTCCCTCAAAGCGGGGCAACAGAGATTATAATTCAATAATAACATTACCAGTATGGTTAGAAATAAAATACAATTAGTCCTGGATTTTATTTCATATTTAAATGTTTCATGAAATGTTATCATTAAAGTGACCAGCATTTTCCAAGTTAGACTATATCAAAGACCCTGATATAGTTCCCTAAATATTTAGGTTAAAAAGAGGGGTGCTTCCAGTTCTTCTGCTATTTGCTGAAAGCTAATAATAAAAAACAACATAATTCTTTCATTTGTGTCTGTAGCACCCCCATGCCTTGCAAAGTATTACATCTAGACTTGGAGTTTTTGACATGAAAGGACTAAATTTAAATTTTCCCTTAATTGTGATGCTCATAATTTTTTGGCTAACTGATGAACTTGATTTAATGGTTAAAAATCTCTAACAGTCATCTTGCAAAATTACAACACTGCTATTAACTGAAATAATAAGAAGAGGAGGAGGAGGTTGGAAGGGACCTTGGAGGTCTTCTAGTCAACGCCTTGCTCAGGCAGGAAACCCTATTCCATTTCAGACAAATGGTTGTCCGATCTCTTAAAAACTTCCAGTGTTGGAGCATTCACAAATTCTGGAGGCAGGTTGTTCCACTGATTAATTGTTCTGACTATCAGGAAATTTCTCCTTAGTTCTAGGTTGCTTCTCTCTTTGGTTAGTTTCCATCAGTTGCTTCTTGTCCTGCTTCAGGTGCTTTGAAGAATAGCTTGACCCCTCTTCTTTGTGGCAACCCCTGGGATATTGGAACATGCTATCATGTCACCCCTAGTCCTTCTCTTCATTAAACTAGACATACCCAATTCCAGCAACCGCTCAGTCCCCTAATCATCTTTGTTGCTCTTCTCTGTATTCTTTCTAAAGTCTCAAAATCTTTTTTACATCGTGGTGACCAAAAGTGGATGCAGTATCCAAGTGTGGCATTACCAGGGTGTTATAAAGTGATATTAACAATTCACATGATCTTGATTCTATCCCTTTGTTAATGCAGCCTAGCAATGTGTTGGCTTTTGTGACAGCTGCAGCACACTGCTGACTCATATTTAAGTGATTGTTCACTAGACTCCGAGATCCCTCTCACAGTTACTACTAATGAGCAAGGTAGCACCTATACTAGAGGTCCCCAACCTTTTGAGCATCAGGGACTGTGCTATCAAGATCCTCCCGTATCTTGAGCCTATCTTCTGGAGTCTTGTTCAGGCTGACTAAAGAGTTCACATATATTTATATACATGCTAATGTCTGATTTGACTTGGTCATCTAATGTTTTAATAGTTTTCTTTTTTTTATGTTAACCCAAAAGTAGTTTTGCTGAGGAAACTCCAAATCACTAAATGTAAACATATCTTAGTTGCACACAGTAGCAATATAATGAAAATGTCAACACTATCAACATTGGATGTTTTTACTTTGACAATAGTTAGAGATGCAATCATAAGAATTGGCCGGGCTGGAGAACTGGAGGGAGAGCCTGCATTTCAAACTAATTGGAGAATGTGATTTATGACTGTTAATTGGAGGAGGGAATTGTGCTTTGATACTATGTGCTCAGGGGAGGAGAATCCAGTTTTTGGCTTGGGCTGTGTTCGTGCTGAAGCTATGCTTCTCAAATTAAGATTCTTTAAGGTAAACAATGCCTCAAAGTTGTTTGAAGAGTTTCATCTGTCAGAACCATGACATTCAGGTTGTCAACAGCAGCAGTGCTGTTCTAACTACTAAGATACACCTTGGGTATCTTTTGAATTTTGATGCAGTACCAGTTATTTGCTCTTTACAATGTAAGGCACTTTTGAATGAAATGAAAAAAAAAGTAATTCTAATAAAGGGGATTGGATACTATGAATAACAGAGTTGGAAATGATATATAATATATAATATATATGCTTATAGTTATTCTGTCTTATGAGTTAACATTGTGTACAGCTAGTCCTTGACTTACAATCATTTGCTTAGTGATCGACCATTTGAAGTTACAACAGCACTGAAAAAAGTGACTTGTTGACCATATTTCACACTTATAAATATCGCAGCATCCCCCCTATCACATGATCAAAATTCAAATGCTTGGCATCTGGCATGTATTTACGACGGTTGCACTGTCCTGGGATCATGTGATCACTATTTGTAACCTTCTCAGCCAGCTTCTGAGAACACAGTCAGTGGGGGGAAGTCAGATTTGTTTACTGACCGCATGCTTCACTTCAAAACTGCACTGACAAAAAAGGCCATAAATGGGGCAAAACTCAGTTAACAACTGTCTTGATTAGCAGTGGAAATTTGGGGCTCAGTTGTAGCCATTAAGTCGAGGACTACCTGTATGGCAAAATGGAATTTCTCTATTCTGAATATAATAATTATTTTTTTCTCCCCCTTTGGCAGGCCCAAGAGAACACTTTATAGTAAAAAATATGGAGTTGATCTCATCAGATACACTCATGCGGCCAACACGGTTGTGTACAGTTCCAATAAAATAGATGGTGAGTGAGCCATTCTTCCTGATAGTTGTCTATGCATATTGGATGTTTAACACTTTAATAAGTATTGAAGACTTGAGAAGACTGATTTTGACTGAGGTTAAGAGTGTAATTCATTGAAGCCGTTAATTGATAATGTAATGTTTCTTAATTTTAAATCCTAATTCTAAAGTATGGCTTTTAAGGTAGTTTCCTGATCAGTTTTTGAATCAGAAGTAAATCAGAATGAAATGCAAGCATATACTAGCAATTTAATATCAGTTAAAAAGAAAGTGTTTTATTTGAACAATTAACAAAGTATTTGTCAAGGAATAAACCAGGCTTTTATTACTTTAACTTGCAAACAAGAGGAACAGACTTTCCTGCTTCCCCCTGATCGTTAGATGACAATAAATTATATATTAATTGGAACAGTGCATACCAGCAAAAAACACAAATCATTGTCCTTTATCAAATCAATAAAAGACCCGTGGACCCTCTTATCATTTAAGCAGTAATTTTGGCCCTTTCAAAGTTTCCCTCGAAAATCTTTGGGTTTCTGCAAGTTCTTTTGCCTAATTCAGCAATTTCTTCATTTACTCTGGAGACATTGCATGCCTTTCTTAGCAACCATAGACAACACATAAATGTCATTAAGGCTTAAAATCTTTTACATGTTCCTGTGAAGTCTGAAATCTCACCAAGTTAAAATTTTAACTTGAAAATCTCTGCATTTTTAAAGTTTACATCTAGCTGGCATGTCTTTTTCTTTCAGGACCTCCTTTTCATATGTTTCCTCCTGATTCTTTGATAACAATTACCGTATATGCCGGCGTACAAGGCGACCCGGCGTATAAGACGACCCCCATCTTTGTCGCCGAGTCGCATTCCTAAAATGTTGTCTTATATGCCGGAAACTACCAGTATTTCCGGTGTATAAGACAACTCGGCGTATAAGACGACCCCCGTCTTTGGCGCCAATTTTAATGCTTGCGGAAGTCGCCTTATACGCTGGCATATACGGTAGTTTTCCATGTCTTTTGCTTTTTCTAACTCCTTCACAGACAGTTTTTACATTTGGTTCAATGCAACCCTCAACTAATAGTTTAGGATTATTATTGAACAAATTTGTATTCTGCTAAAATCACAAAAGCGAGTGGCTTACCAAATACAGGGAGTTAAAATAAACATACGCCAATTAAACTCAGACCTAATTCATAACTTCAGGACCCAAAGGCCCTCTGGAAAAAAAATTTTCAGCTTTTTTCAGAAAGTGAACAGTGTTGGAGATGGAAAAATCTCCATTTGGAGGTCATTCCAGAAGGCCGGTCCCATCATGGAAAAACAATGCCTCTGGGCTTCTCCCCCCAACTTCCCCCAAATAGGAGACAAACAGCTGCTTCCAGCATGATTCGAAGTGCTGAGACCAACTCTAATGTGGAGATGCAGTCCAGGTGTCAATGCATAAAGGGCTTTATAGGTTAAAACTGGCACTTTAAATTGTTCCTGGAAGCTAATAGGAAACCAATTAGAGACCTAAAAAAACAAGTATAATTGGTTCACTCCTATAGGCACTTTATATTGCATCAGTTGAAGCTTCCAGATTGTCACCAAAGGCAGCCCTGTGTAGGGCACATTGCAGCAGTCTAATCAGGTGGTAATGAGGTCATGAGCTGTTGTAATCAGGTCTTTCTGTCTCATGTAAGGTCACAACTGCTGCACCAGCCAAAGATGGGCAAAGATCCTCCTGGCTGCAGCTTCCACCTGCAGATTAAACAAGAGAAACAAATCCAGGAGGATTCTCAAGTCACAGACTTCTTCCTGGGGCAATGCAACTCCATCCAGAGATAAAGAGAGTGTGGTGGAACCCCAGAATATAAACCGTATTGTAGCTCCATCTTGCTAGTATTTATTTAAGGTCTCTCGTACAGACCTACACTACTTCCAGGCACTGGGACAGAACTTTAACAATGTCTCTAGCCTATATCAAGACTGTGATGTACAATTAAATGTCATTGGTGTATTCTTGTCTCTTGTCAGAAATGCAGGAGCTAGAAAAGGGGTCATTATTAATTTAATATCTTTTTAAAAATAAAAACTTTAATAAAATATAGATTTATATAGTTCTAGCCCAGTAAATGGGCAATGTTAATGATAGAGAAATTTCTGACCAGCAAGTCAGTCCCAGAGGACACTGTAAAAGGTGGGTAATTGTTTGAACAGTACCACATTAGCAATGAATGTGTATTGATGCAGCCATATGGGTATTGGATGGAGCATTTTAATGCATCTTTATATGTAACTCATTATTGTGCTTAATCTACCTTATTTACTCTATGTTACTATTACTTTCCTGTTTGTATCACAAACTTGTGAGACTTAGAATCAGGGTCCAATCTGGGTTGATCACTGGGACCAGAGGTTTTGTCTTCCAAGAAGCTTCCTGAAGATGGACTGGTCCAGCACGAGTCCAAAAGCTTGGAAGACAAAACCTCTGAGGTCCCGGTGACCGACCCAGATTGGATCCTGCAACATTATCCTGGGACACGTCTGTTCACTGAGAATCAATTTCATATGCTGCAACGTGATGCAGGTGGAATAATCCCAATCAAATTCTTTGCTTTCTAAATGCTTGATGTTTAAAAAAAATATTTGAGAAGAGCATGTGTTGTGTTGTGTAATGTTATGTTTTATATTAATCACAGTGTTTAATACATAGTAATGGAAATATACATTCTTTTTTCCAGCTAAAAATTAGTGTGTCTGAATTATATCTTGAACCAGGTCTATTCATACCATCCTTTATGAAGAATTTTTGATTTTTTAGCTTTTCTTCTGCTTACTGCACAGTGCCTGGTTCCAGGCTGAGGTAGTAGTTTGTACAGTTTGAGGGTCTATGATACCACCCGGTACAGGAGATAACTGTACAGGCCACTGCCTTGCCTGGGGCAGAGCTTTACGACTCAAAGAAGAAATTTTCTGCCCATGTTTGTTTGGTGCCAGTGGAAAGCAAAAAATTGTCTCAAATGCTTGTATATGTTACAGATTTCCTTTGTAGCTCCTTTGTTTAGTGGAAGGCGGGCTCTTCAGACTTTTAGGTCTAATCTTGTTCATTCATGTTTCTCTGTAAAACTATTAGAATAAATGCTTGATGATTCATCAGAAAATTCTGGGGCAGATATACAAAAATTGCAGAAATATGAGCTTGCAGGCATAAATTGATATTTAGTTTATCTTTGAAGAAAGGAAAATTGACTTATTATCCTGTGGGGAAAGTATACTTAATCTGTTGTACCAGCTGACTTACATATACTTTGAGACTTAGTCACCTCCAGATAATGTTTTTTTAAGAAAGTCCTATTATTTAGCAGCCTTCCAATGCATTCATCCTTTATTTAACAGTCATCTGTATTTAAATTAGTTAAGAAATGCTGCAATAAAATATTACACATTATTCTTGATTTTATGTTCATGGTTTATATATATGCTATTAAATTCTTTCCTTTTACATTGTTTATCTGCTTTGAAATATAAGGTATAATCAGTGTTTCATATACAAACTTTTTATAGCAATTACTGAGCTAGAGATGAATTCTGGTTCTAGTAACTGAGAGGGACCTCGGAGTCCTAGAGGACAATCACTTAAATATGAGCCAGCAGTGTGCTGCACCTGGCAAAAAGGCCAACACAGTGCTGGGCTGCATTAACAGAGGGATAGAAGCAAGATCACGTGAAGTGTTAATACCACTTTACAATGCCTTGGTAGGGCCACACTTGGAATACTGCATCCAGTTTTGGTTACCACGATGTAAAAAAGATGTTGAGACTCTAGAAAGGTACAGAGAAGAGCAGGAAAGATGATTAGGGGATAGGAGGCTAAAACATATAAGGAACGGTTGCTGGAATTGGGTATGTCTAGTTTAACGAAGAGAAGGACAAAGGGGGACATGATAGCAGTGTTCCAATATCTCAGGGGCTGCCATAAAGAAGAGGGAATTAAGCTATTTTCCAAAGCACCTGAAGGCAAGACAAGAAGCAATGGATGGAAACTAACCAAAGAGAGAAGCAACCTAGAACTAAGGAAAAACTTCCTGACAGTTAGAACAATTAACCAGTGGAACAACCTGCCTCCAGAAGTGGTGAATGCTCCAACACTGGAAGTTTTTAAGAAGAGACTGGACAGCCATTTGTCTGAAATGGTATAGGGTTTCCTGCCTGAGCAGAGGGTTGGACTAGATGACCTCTAAGGTCCCTTCCAACTTTATTACTACTACTACTACCACTACTATCATCTGTGGATATAGAAATACTGTATGTATCTTTTTGAGCCAGATTCTTAACAGAAGGTTACACTTCGTGACTGTATTGTTTACACCCACAATAGCTGATTGAATTTACATATTCTATTTAGCCATGGTTTGTTTTTACTGATTTTATATCTGTTTAGTTCATATGAAATACCAAATCATATATATGAATTCATACAAAGTACTAAATCATTTTTTGTGTGTGTGTGAATTAAGAACTATGGTTCATGGCTGTGTGTGAACTTGGACACCATACTTAATTCCATTATTAAAATATGAGATGTGCAAACCTACTCAGCTAATATTAATAAAGTCTTACCCTAATAAGTAAGCTTCATTGGAGAGTCCTTTTGTATAATGTTTACCTTGTTGATGTTTCCATACAGATACTATCAGATACCTTTCTCTTCATGACAATAAATACATTAGATACTTTCCAGGACATAGCAAGAGGTAAGATGAGTAGAGTATAGCTTACAACAGTGGTTCTTAACCTTCCTAATGCCGCGACCCTTTAATACAGTTCCTCATGTTGTGGTGACCTCAACCATAAAATTATTTTCGTTGCTACTTCATAACTGTAATTTTGCTACTGTTATGAATTGTAATGTAAATATCTGATATGCAAGGTGTATTTTCATTGTTACGAACTGAACATAATTAAAACATAGTGATTAATCACAAAAACAATATAGCAATGCTCGCTGGAGAAGCTTACTCTTCCTTGCTCAAAAATGTTGGGAGGGAGGGAAGGGGAAGGAAGGAAGGAAGATTGTAGGGGAAAGGAAGGAGATGGAGAAGGAAGGAGATTGAAGGGGAAAGGAAGGAAGGAGAAAGAGATTGAAGGGGAAGGGATGGAGAATGGAGATGGAAGGAAAGAAGGAAGATTGAAGGGCAAAGGAAAGAGATGGACATGGAAGGAAGGAAGGAAGATTGAAGGGGAAAGGAAGGAGACTGAAGGGGAGAGGAAGGAAGGAAGATTGAAGGGGAAAGGAAGGAGATGGAGAAGGAAGGAGATTGAAGGGGAAGAGATGGAGAGAGATTGAAGGGGAAGAGATGGAGATGGAAGGAAGGAAGGAAGATTGAAGGGGAAAGGAAGGAGATAGAGAAGGAAGGACATTGAAGAGGGAAGGAAGGAGAGATTGAAGGGAAAGGGATGGAGATGGAAGGAAGGAAGATTGAAGGGGAAAGGAAGGAGATTGAGGGGGAAAGGAAGGAGAGATTGAAGGGGAAGGGAAGGAGATGGATAGATGGAAGGAAGAAAGGATTGATCTTTGGAGAGTCATGTTTTTCCAGATGAACTGCAACTCCCAGCATTCCCCACTCTTCCACAGTGCTTTTTAGGGCTGCTGGGGATGGTAGTCCAGTAAGATCTGGAGACACACACACATGCCCTTCGACGGTGAGGGAGGCGGGGCAGCCGGGCAACCAGGAGGCTTGGGGACCAGCTCAGTGCCTCAGCTCAGACAGCAGCAGCATGCAGCAGCAGTAGCGCGTTGCTAGAGCAGGGCGGGAAGAGAGGGGGCGGTGGTAAGTCATGAAAGCAGTGTCCACACGTTCAGGGTGCAAACGCCTTGGACGGTTTGGCTCCCCCACCCCTTTATTTACTGATCTGCCACAAGCTCGTGCAAACAAGCCCTGAGGAGTTCTGAAAGAGCGGTCGTTTAAAAAAAAAAAAAGCTTTAAGCAACGAGGCAGAAAGGGGAACTCGCTCACGGCTCTTTTTTTCCCCGGCTCTTTTTTTTCCCCTTTCTCGGCAACTGGGAAGGCAGCAGCCAGAGACGCCACTGCACAAAGGGAGGCGGAGAGAGGGGCGAGGGGGAAAACCTCACTCAACTTTCACCCTTATCAAACCCGGTTCCCTTCTGGTCGACACCCACCCGCCCCCTTCACCTCCCGCTACAGATCGACGCTACCCCTCGGGAGTATTTCACCAGCCTTTTTTTTTTTTTTACCTTGGCCCTGCGCTTCTCCTAGACAGAAGCCAGGCAAGAGGACCTGAAAGATGCCAAGCAGGAGGTTCATAGCTGTGGCGACGCAACAGTAGCTACTCTGTGATGGGTAGCGCAGCCCCGCCATGCTGCTGAGGCGGCTGCTTTCCTATCTGCCTGAGCTGGCTGGCAGAGCTAGCCTTGAGCAGAAATTCTCATTAGTGTCTCGGTTCCTAAGGCCATCGGAAATATGTGTTTTCCTATGGTCTTAGGCGACCCCTGTGAAAGCGTTTGACCCCCCCCCAAAAGGGTCGCGACCCACAGGTTGAGAACAGCTGGCTAACAATTTTATATTGCTATGACTATAGGAAGAAGTAAACATAAATAAGAGTAGTTATAACTAATCCACAATAGATTTTGTTCTGTTTTTACTTATGTTGCCTAAATTTTCAACTTTTTTCAAAGTATAAAATATTAGATATGGCATATGATGCAGACTGCTTTGGCTATATTATTTTTTTCTCTTCATTTCAGAGTTGTTGCTTTATCAATGTCTCCAGTAGATGATACCTTTATATCTGGCTCACTTGATAAGACTATCAGACTTTGGGATCTTCGGTCACCAAATTGCCAGGTAAACTTTTAAAGTCCACATGAAGTATGTTAATGCATGTCAAGTGTTGTGTAGATTTTGGATTACAGACTTTATTTCCTGTGCAGTGTAGTAGTACATATGAACAAAGTATACACCTCTTTATATAAAACCAACATATACCTGAAGCCTGGCAATGTTAAAATGTGCACTTTGTCTTAGGCGATTTTTGAAGAAAAACAGAAACAGTTTTGAATAATAGTTCAACAACAATTAAAAGGATTCAAATCAAAATGAGTCATAATGTCCAAAGTAAAGTATAACAAGTAGAAATTAATGACTGGAAGAAAAGGAGGAGGAGCTATCAAAATATAGATCAATCTGTCTCACTTGTTTGTGTATGTGTGTATCTTACCTATTTACCACATAACTGCTTATCTTATATTGAACTCTGAATGTCTCTGTGTGTATTCAAAATCTAGGGTCTGATGCATCCACAAGGAAAACCTGTATGCTCATTTGATCCAGAGGGGCTGATTTTTGCAGCTGGGGTCAATTCCGAAATGGTGAAACTTTATGATCTTCGGTCCTTTGATAAGGTAAGTAGTATGTAACGTTAAGGTGTAACCTCCTCATAAGATTTCTAAATATGGCATCTTTTTTGAGATGAGATTCCTGGGATCATAGATTTATATTCAGACATATAAAAGTAAAACACCGAACTTGGGATTTCTAGGAATTGAAGCTTAAATAACTTTATATGTATCCTTGGCAAGTTCTGTAGAAAATGAAAATTCCTTCCCACGTCAGACAGTCTGCCTAGTGCAGTATTTTTTTGCAAAATGATCTGAACATCTGGAATAGTTTTGCTGCATGCCAACATCTGTCTTTCTTTTTTGAAGGGTCCATTTGCTACCTTTAAGATGCAATATGATCGAACCTGTGAGTGGACTGGCCTGAAGTTCAGCAATGATGGAAAGCTTGTTCTTATTTCAACTAATGGAGGGATCATACGACTCATTGATGCCTTTAAAGGAGCAGTTCTTCACACATTTACAGTGAGGGATATTTCTATATATTCATACATGCTCTTCGTTTTGGATGTTCTTTAGAATTAAGACAAGATTTATGGAATATTGAGTTAGCAATTCAGTAGAAGACACTTTTATAGCTGAAAATAAGGGTACTGTATCCCTTATGTCAGTGATGGCGAACCTATGCACTTCGAGCCCTCTCTGTGGGCAGAGGCAGCACTTAGAGCCCTCTCTATGGGCACATGCGCTGTCGCCCCAGTCCTAGGCCTTCAGCTGGGTTTTATAAAACTTTTTCACTTTAGGCCTCCATCGCCATGTGCAAAAAAAAAAAAGTTCAATCAGTCAATTTCAACTTCTCATGGGAAAAAAAAAAGATTTTTGCAAAGTTGGAATTGATTGATTGAACTTTTTAGTCCCACCCAGTCTGCCGTTACCACAGCAGCCACGCCCACCCAATGGGCCACACCCACCCAGCACTTGACAATGCATAAGTGGGTTTTGTGTTGCAGTTTGGGCACTCAGTCTCTAAAAGGTTCACCATCACTGCCTTATGCAAAACTTAAGCCATTAAATTGGGATACCTGAGAGTAACTTTTTAATTGAAAGAAATCTACTGGAATAAATAGATGAAAAGATAATTGATAACGTGAAAAGCACTTTATGAAACTGTGCTTTAGATTGTGTTTTAGCACCCTCCCTTCCTCTTACACTCTTTTCAACCCATGGAGTTAAGAAATAAATTATTCTAAATTTCACAACCATTCATAGCTACAAGTATACATTCTCATTAGTCATGACAAGAAGAAAAGCTCCTGTCCTGTCCATTCTGGATTTTTAAATAGTCCAGAGTTGGTAACAATTTTTCTACTCTTCGATTTTTAAATTTTCCTAGGGGAAATTATAGATGGTGTCCTTGTAATGTTATTCGGAATTTCTTTTCCCCAGTTAAGGCCTAATTTGAGCACTAGAAACCAATAGAGTATGAGTTCTAAATCTCTCTTAGACATGAAAGCCAGCTGGATGACTGTGGGCCAGTCACTGTCTCTCTTATCCAGCTCACCTCACAAAACTCTTGTTGTAGGAAAAATAGGAGGCAACACTGTTACGAATGTTTGCTGCCCTCAATTGATCAATATAGAGAAGTGGGCAGTAGAAATTGCTGTCCTCAATTGATCAATATAGAGAAATGGGCAGTATGGTGATGATGATCTTCTGAGTGATGCCTCTTTCATTCTGTTATCAGCCATAACATCTTAGTTCCAGGTCTTTCCAAGACTAACCCTAAACTTAGATTAATGGGATAGCAATTGGTTTTACTAAATGTCTTTGATATTGTACACCACCTTTGTAAGGGAGATGGATGGTTAAGAAATATGTATAAATAAGTAATTTATTGCTTGAAATATCCTTAATGCATATGTAATTTACCTAATTTGCCATGGTTATTCCCATGTCTTAGAAGCACTATTTTGTGCTAAGGCTGTTGAAGAATTAAATCTTCTAGAATACAAGTGATAATGTGATAAACCTTTTTAAAAGCTTTCAGAAGACTTCTTCTCTGAAATGAAAGGACAATGCTTTGAAGGGGCTTCTTGGGCACCCTAGCGTTGCAAACCAATTTTTTGTTTGAGTTAAACTTTAACTTTTCTGTTAGATTTTATGCTGATAATCTTACTCTTTTTGTTATTGTTATTCAGTCGCTAAATGGCGTCTGACTCTTTGCAACCCCATGGACCATAGCATGCCATCTCCTTCTGTCCTCTACTGTCTTCCAGCGTTTGCTCAAATTCATGTTCATCTTACTCTTTTTTACAGGGATATAATAATAGCAAAGCTGTCACACTGGAAGCTTCATTCACCCCAGATTCTCAGTTTATAATGATTGGTAAGAGAATTATATTTCCTCTGTATATATTGATGCAGCGCCAATTATATAAAATAATTTCAGGGTCACTTCCATAAAGGTTCCAAGTGATTTGTACCTTTTGGGGAGGGTGTTTTTTTTTTAACTTGATGCTTCATTTTTGCTACAGTGTTTTATCTTATTGCTGTTTACTTGAGTTGCATATGAATCAATCTTGGATGAATCAATCCAGATTCTGTTGATTCTGGTTGACACTGCAGGATCAGAGGATGGGAAGATTCATGTCTGGAATGGAGAGACTGGAATGAAGGTAGCAGTGCTTGATGGGAAACACACAGGACCCATTACCTGTTTGCAATTCAACCCCAAGTTTATGACATTTGCCAGTGCGTGCTCCAATATGGTAAGCAAACCTAAGTTGATTCAAAATTTTAAGCAAATCAAGTCCTCCAGGATTGAGGGGTCCTTGGTGCTCTCTGAGCTTGGTTGTTTTCTTGCAGATGTTTCCTGACTCAACATCTGCAAGAAAACAACCAGGCTCAGAGAGCAACAAGGAACCCTCATTTCAACACTGTCTTACAAATATTCTCCTTTATTTGATACTTTCTGGATTGATTATACTTCAGTTAAAAAGATCAAGATATTATCAATAATATGTCACTACCATTTGTAATTCTTCTTAATTCTCTACATTATCTTGAAATTTTGAGAGCATATTATTAATGATCTCACAAAATGGCTACCATGGGGAGCTTGCCTATTTGTAAAAATGCTTCCAAATTAAAAACAATGCAGCAAAAACTTCCAGAGCAGGTACAATTACTCCCAAAATGTCTTTTTACCGGGAAGCAGTCAGGTGCATTTGTTTTCCACTAGTCTGTATACTCTTTGGCACGAGGCATCCAATATCTGGAGGCAAAATAGTAACCATCAAATACCTGAAATAATATTGAAGAAGGAATGGGCTTATTCTATATTGTCCCAGATGGAAAGACCAGAACAGGTTAAAACTAAAAGAAGGTAGTGTAGGTAAGCTAAATGACAGGAAGGACTTTCTGATTACACAGATTGTTAGCCGGTGGAACAGGTGGACACATGATATGGTAATTTTCCTTTCTGGAAGTTTTCTGTATAACTGTCAAAGAACCATTCTAGCAGATCTGCACTGGACAAGGGTTCAAATTGATGACCTCTAATGTCATGTACAACCTTATAATTCCATGGGTTATAACTATATGGATAACTCTAAGACAGTAGCAGAAAAGTGTAGAAAACTATCTAGTCAGCATCCATTTTTGGCAGCCCAAATATACTGCCTATATTCCACTTAATATTCCTAATCTTTTTTCTAGGCAGATAGAAACATTTTCAAACAAAGCCACTAGGCTGCAGTCATTTTTATTTTCTGAAAATTCCTTTTAGGCATATCTGCTAGTTGAATTTATTACTGCAACTAGAACATGGTGTGGATCTGGAGAAGTGGTCAAGTGGTGCTCATGGGATATCATCCTGCTACCTTGATTTACATACATTACTAAAATGCTGTTTCTCGAATATTTAAAAATGAAGCAAAATATAATTCCATTTTTCACACTGTCATAAATGTGTTATTTCTGTAAGGAAGCTGGAAGCTACTCCTCACCCCCCACCACAAGTCATATACAGGTTAAACAATAGACAATTATTTCCGTATACTTGGATAGATGGGTAGGCAGAACAATATTTATTTTTCTATTTAAATATTTAAAGAGTGGTAAAAAATACTCCCGATGATGACTATTCTGAGGCAAAACCTTCCTTTAGTATTATGTAAAAGCCCTGGTATATGGAAGGGTATCATTTTAATGGCCTAAGAATGGCCAGTCTAGTAATGTGGATTGAAATAGTTGAAATAGAAAATGTTTGGCACTCAGATTGATTTAAATAAACACCATTTATTTTTGTCCTATTTATATGCATTCTGTTTTCTGTATTATACTAAAATGATATACTGAATTTGATTTTGTGGTTGATCTTCTCCCAACATTCCTATTTAATAAAAACCAAAATAATTTATTTTAACATATATTTGGGTTGTATTAATGGATCACTTACATTCAGAATGTAATAGTGGTGTTAATGATAAAGATACTGTTCCATATATACATAATAATCTTCTAGCCTGTTTTTCTTCTGCCAAAAAGTTGCTTACAAATACACATTTACGAATACCCTCGTGCACTTCCACTTAGAGAATTCTACTGACACAATAAAACATAAGTAAATTAAAATGGTCTTTTCTCTCAATCTGAACTGTGTTATGTCACTTTGTGACAGATGAAGCTAAGCTGTTCACGAAGCTATTCCCCCTGCTTTACTGAACTAGTAGTGGCTGGAAAAAAATGTGTAGGTGCATTGTTTGAATCTTGTAGTATCGCATCAATCAGTCACATTGTAGTATCAGAAAAGTCAAGAGTGTTAAAGATAGTGCTACCTGAGAATATGTGAAGATTCTGACAAAGTAAAAACTGTGTATCGGGCATGTTTTTCAGTTCACTGATCTCTTGTCAAAACGCAAGATGTGTTACCTCTAAACTTCGCAGAGCTGAATTTCTAAAGGGCCATGAATGCTGGTTGTCCACCGCTGTAATATCCTACAGCAGTGATGGCGAACCTTTTAGAGACGGAGTGCCCAAAAACTGCCGCCGTCCCACCCCTCCCCCACCTGCCCGCAGGGCCACTCACCATCTCCATGGCCCGCCATATCGCCCAGGCAGCCCAGCAACGCCAAGGTGGCCATGCCCTCCACCCACACCCCGCAGCATCATCTGCACATGATGGGGTGCGAGGGCGGAGTCTAGTTCCCGCTGCCCAGCTGCCATGTCCTTGGCTGCGCTGCTCTGCGCGGGCCACGCTTGGGGATGACTCCTCTGGAGGGCCGCTGATGAGGGGGCCACTGGGGGAGGCAGGGCTTGGGCAACGGCATGCGTGCCCACAGAGAGGGCTCTGAGTGCCGCCTCTGGCATTCGTGCCATAGGTTTGCCACCACTGTCCTACAGCCTTGCCTGCAGGAAGTGCTAGCAACTTGGGTTACCTCTCTGATGCTGCTTCCCTATTAGTGATAGAGTACTAAAAATATTGTCTCTGCACAACTGCTGCATAAACATTTGGACAGCTGTTAAATAAAGGGCATAGGTGGCCATCACAACATAGCCAGGATTGCCTGCTGATGCTGTATGTTAGTTTTTGGCATTGTTTCAAGACAAACCTCCTTGAACATTAACATTATCCTCTCTTCTTTATTCAGGCCTTTTGGTTGCCAACTATAGATGACTAGTCTGAATTAACCACTTCCAATGGACAGTTTCCATACTGTATTGAAAGCAATGCAGTATTTATAAAGACAACTGCGAAAGTATTGGAATTATGTCACTTGGAGATGAATATTCCCACCTAGTACATTCTGCATATGTCTCCTTTTGTCAAGCTCTTTGCTGCATCTCCTACAAAGGATTTCTTCATGTGGCTATACAGTTCCTGTTCTGAAAATCTGAATATTTCTTCAGACATCAAATTGAAGCAGAACTATTACAGCTGAAATCAACTAGCAGCTTTGCTTTGGAGTACATTTGGAAAGAATTTTGCCAGTCCTTTGTCTTTGTGGCTGACTTTTAAACTCCCGGGATTTTGGACTTTGTTAAAAGTACAATTTCTAACATATTCTGTCCTGTTTGAAATATCAACAGTATCCATGCTATGTACTCTTGTGCTATGAAAAGATACTTTTGTGCCATACATACATACACACATACATGTATATAGAGATAGACAGAGAGATCAATATCAATTGCTACAGGAACATTGTTAAAGATGTTTACCCTTAAGTGCTCCAACAGGTTCTGAATCTGTAGGAAACTATTCTGATCCTCTTTGCCATGGGCAGCTTCTGAAACGAACAGATACTTGGTGTGTTTGGGTAGAATGCCGAGCGATATAGAAGTCTCAGATGGGCTGGATAGAAATGCACTTCCTGTATCTCTTCCTTCAGTGTATCTTTGCAGATTTTATAAATATAGGGAAGGGGAGAATGTGGAAGGGTCACTATTGTTTTTTACTAGCAGGTATTAAAAAGTAGTAATATTGGACCAACACAGTATTCTGGAATGAGTGTTAGTGTACTTGTCTTTCTCAGAGTATTCCAAGTTTCTGTTCTTCCAAGTATAAAACGTCATTCTACTGTTCACAATGCAAATAGTGCAGCTCCTCCCTCTGCCTACACAGGAGATCTCCATTCATTAAGCACTGGGATATTCGGTACATGGAAGTCGGCCTTTTTCATTAGCGGGTTGGATGAAATTGTACAATTACCAGCTGATCTCGTTTTTATTTCTGCTGTCACTGCAGTAGAATGAAGGGCCCTGCTTTAACTTTGTCTAAGCATCCTTTCCAAGAGAGCAGAAAACTTAAACTCACGTTCTTTTAACTTCCTAAGATTTTAATTTTATAATATTGATGCTGCATTTCCTATGTCAACGGTGTTGCCTCCGCTACCATAATCCGTCAGGACTTGGTAACAATCTGTACGCTTAAAAATGCATTTCAAAGAAGCATAATTTCAATGCTTCACGCTCTAGTTTTCTTAATATTAAAATGCTGCTGTATTTCCATCCATCAGAACATTTGGATAATATCAGCACCCTTCTTTACTACACTTGGTTTTGCTTGGAAGTGTTCAGATTCTATGGAAATGTTTGCATTATTGGTATTGAACTACAACCTCCATGGAGTTGTGATGCATAAGTCAGCCTGAGCAATATAATAAGGGAAGTTTGTTTGGGTGAATAAAAGAATGGGAGAGGGAATCTTCTAGCTGACATTAAGCTGACTGTTGGATTTGTATTTAAACTGGGTTTTGTGTTTATATCCCACAGTACGTTCCTGAGTCAGCGAACATCTAATAATATAGATAACTCGAGCTTAGGGAATGACTGTAGATATATCAATGTTCTACCTCTTGGCTTATTTGTGAAAGATTTTGCAGGCCAGTGAGCGGCAAATTTGGGACACAGGGAAGGATTGTTGTTCACAGTGCCCTTTGTGACAATTCATTACACAATACACTATATGTTCTTTTTTATGGCCAGTTCATCTAGTAAAATATAAATACCATTTAATCATCTTTAGACTTGTTTGTAATTTTAGCATCATTTCTTCACTGACACAAATCAATAGAAACATCTTTTTAAATCTTGAATACACTGCCTTTGACCTAGAACTGCTTTTCATTAAAATTAAATTGAGTAAAAGTTAATTTTTTACTGGGAGTTGATTGTGGGATCATTTTTTTTCCTTTAGAAATGTTATCATTTGCAATGTAGTCTGATTTCTTACATTATGCATTTTAATAACATACTGCTTTTTTACATCTGTATTTGCAGCTTGAATATTTTTTATAAATATTTCCAGTCAAGAATAAATTACAGTATTAGGTATAAGAGAGGATTGCTGTCCTGTATAAATTGATTTTTATTCCTTTTTATTTCATCTCTTAAGCATATCCTTGTGACAAAATACATTGGTTGGCTATTTTATTACTATTTTAAAAGCATAAATAAAATCTGAAGCAGCTCAAGATAGTAACATAAATATGCAATTGCATCCAGCCCATTTTCATAATTGTAACCCATTTGGATGTTGAAAATGCAGTGTTATATTTTGACTAGCTTGTGTATTTCCTTCTGTCTTAAATGTTTTTGGACAAAATACCATTTTTTAAAAAAAAATTGTCAATTTAGTATTAAGTGATTTCGCTAAATATACTGCCTAATTCCTCAAATGTTTTCTAAAGTACGTCTAGTGTAATTCTGCAGATTGCTCTAGTGATCCTCTCCTTCCTCTACTATTTTGGTGGCTGCCATTGTAATATTGTAATCCAAAAATGAAAGTGTCTCCATTGCAAGGGAGAAAGTAAAAGGAAAGTTACTTTTTTCAATTTTATTTTCCAGTGCCCTTTCCAATTTGTTCAAAAGCATTTTCACAAAATAATCAAATAACATCTCTTTTAAATTTTCTTAACATTAGTTCAATCTTATGCTTTTTTATCAAATGTTTTTAAATTTTAAATTTTCCTTTTGTAATCCACAAACGTTGATTCACCAAGTTGAATTCTCTTACCCTGCTGCTCCAAAAATCTCTATAGCTGTAAATTAATTACATCCAAGTTTTTAAGAAATTATTGCATCGCGGTTATGAGCTTGATTGAAATCCCTCAATTCCCAGCCACTTACTCATGGCCCAACAACCACCTTAGTTTCTGCAATCTATTCACAAGGAGTAGTAATCCAGAGTACAAGTGGGCGATCTCACAATTTCTTCTTTATCCAGAAAGCCTGTTGGGAAGTATTTATCTGACCGCCAATCTATGCTTCAGTGCCATCCCAGCGCCTTCAAGGATATTTAGTCCATCATGAATTTCTCATAACAAGATGTCAATGCTGCTAACATTCCAAAAGAAGCTCTTCACAAGAAGCATCAAGTTACACTATACAATGTGCAAATGACCAAATTAAGGGAATTAACAGCAGGTAAACATTATTGAATGTATTTTTCAATGACACGACTATAATTTCCAATGCAAAAGAACTTCAAGAATGTGTCAGTCTTCAGCTTAACAGTTAATTTCAAAAAATCCACAATAATTGGCATTTATACACTCCATAAACAAAAATATTTCTTATACCTCAGATCTTCCCCTTCAAATTTAGGCAACTGGGAATTAGCATATTAAATAATTAAAGCTACTCCATAATGATCATAGCCCTGCTTGGAATTTTTAAAAATATGATTTATGTAAACATTTTGAATGGTATAGCAGCAGCAAAGGTGTGCTTCCATAATTGATTTCAAACCCTCTCAAAAAATAAATGTTGACAAAATTCTAATTGGCAGAAACAAGTTTAATTTTGTTTTAAATCAACATATACCATAAAAAGAAACATGCCACAAAAAAAAGGGCATCTCTTAAAAATATAGTAAACAGTTGACTGGCATGAACCATGCCTTGAATTCTACCAAACAAAGGTCTGAAATATAAAATGCTCAGTGCTGGAATAAGTATCTCTTTTCTCCCCAATAGTTCGAATTAAGAATTTCAATAACTACCCAATTTGGAGGATGACGGTTTCAGAATTTATTCTACATATTTCAGTTCTAACTCTGTTGAGAGTTAAGGCACCAGGCTAGAAGGAATGAGACCGTGAATTCAAATCTCACCTCATAGGGTTGCTGTTGTGGGGAAAATGGAAAGAAGATGTGCTGGATAAGTTCGCTGCCTTGACTTATTTGTAAAAATAATGAAGATGGACTAGAAAAAACATACTTGAAATATATGATGGCAATATACGATGGACTAAAAGAAACTCAACTTAAGAGCGAGAGGAACAATTGGGTTTTATTTAGAAATAAAGATTAAATATTAAATTAAAATTAAAGGTATTTGCCAATCTCTATTGCGCATCAAGGATTTTTTATCAGTATTCATAAAGAAATTATATCTTAAAACTTTTACATCAGTGGCATCAAGCTCCTATATGTCTTCTCAACATTTAGTGAGATGCTGGTGAAGCTGACAGTCAAAGGGAACATTCTTCCATCTTTGGTGAGAATGCAATAAAGTACTGGAATTTTGGAAGAATGTGTTTAAAGAAATATATAACTAAACAAAAGATTCAATTGCTATGCATATTTGATGGCTAGATTAAGAAATCACAGAATAAAAAACATTAAATTTTTACCTATTGCAGCTCAATTGATTAGTTAAGCAATTTGGAATACCTGGAAAATAGTTCAATGGAGAGATGGAAAGATAACATCTGGTTATACCTTTATCTGAAAAAGTATCTGATAAAATCATTTCTGTGACAAGCCAAAGGAATGAAACTTTATAATGAATCGTGAAATGTCACTACTTACGTAAGACAATCATCCTGGAAATAGCTTATTTCAAAGACTGGGTATATTAAAATGTACCAGTACTATGTAATTTTTTAAAAATGCATTTAAAGCTAATAAATAAAAATGAAATGACCTTGCTATTGCAGACAAATGAGACCAATTGTGTTGTTGTGTATTTTATTGAAAATAAAATTATTTTATGATATTAAACACATTCTTTGCTATTAAGCCCATGCTTATACGATTACAATTTAATATGCACATGTTTTATATATAAATAAATAAAATCACACACATAAAATGCAAAGATAACCTGACCTACAGTAAAATCTTTCTCAAAAGCCCAAATCAGCATGTTGACTTGACAGATTCAGCCTGAAGTCATACAATGAAGGTAGTAACATTTTAATACTTCTTAATTTCTTGTACTTCTAATTTGTAAGCAACTTTAAGACCGATATTTTCTAATTGCTTTGTATTGCAATATGTTTTTCTTCCATTTTATGATATGTTTTGTATTGCTGAGGAAACTCTGGCTATTGCATAAAAGTTTAGGCCACAATACAAAAATTATCTCTTATGAAATAGATGTAAATTCCTATTAAATTCTTCATCTTAACAAAAGCATTGTATGGTATTACTAAGCATATGCTAATCCTTCCATATTTAGGTAACAAATAGACAAAACTAAAACTTTTTTTCTTAAATACTAAATTTGTGGTAAGTTATCAACTTGTAAAACCAAGCAAAACATGAGATTAGTGTGAAACAAAATCAATGTCCTTTTCGGATTTAGACAGCATCACTACCAGATGGATGCATAACTGTTCGACCAACCATCACCACCAGATGGATGCATAACTGTTTGACCAACCACACCCTCAATGGAACTGCATCTACAGGGTGGGAAGTAAAGCAGTGGGGTACCCCCCAAGGCTCTGTCTTAGGTTCAGTACTCTTCAACATTATCAATGATTTAGATGAGGGAATAGAAGGGGCACTCATCATATTTACAGATTACACCAAGCTGGCAGGAACAGCTAGAAGATGAGCTCAAGATACAGAAAGATCTCGGCATACTTGACGACTGGGCCCTATCTAACAAAACGAAATTCAATGGTAAGGAAATGTCTATGGAGATTCTCAGTCATCCAGGTCATAGTTGTCCCAAAGGTGCTTTTTCAGGAGGCAACTGGACTTTCCTGTTTTTCTATAGGGAAAAAAAAGGAAGTCCAGTTGCTTCCTGAAAAAAAAGCACCTTTGGGACAATGGTGAGGAAAGTTCTACATTTAGACAAGAAAAGCCAAATGAATATGCACAGAATAGATGGTACCTGGCTTAATAGTAGTAACTGAGAGGGATCATGAAGTCCTAGTGGACAATCACTTAAATATGAACCAGCAGTGTACTGCAGCTGCCAAAAAGACCAATGCAATCCTAGGTTGCATTAACACAGTGGTTCTCAACCCGTGGGTCAGGACCCCATTTGGGGTCGAATGACCATTTCACGGGGGTCGCCAAACAAGGCTGTCCGCCATTTTTTCCCCCTTTTCTTTGGCCACGCCCCTGGCACCCGGTGATGTATAAGTGGTTGGGGGTCACCACAACATGGGGAACTGTATTATGGGGTCGCGGCATTAGAAAGGTTGAGAACCACTGCATTAACAGAAGGATAGAATCAAGATCACATGGAGTGCTAGTACCACTTTATAATGCCTTGGTAAGACCACATTTGGAATATTGCATCCAGTTTTGATTGACACAGTATAAAGAAGATGTTGAGACTCTAGAACAGTGGTTCTCAATCTGTGGGTCGGGACCCCATTTGGGGTCGGACGACCATTTCACGGGGGTCGCCAAACAACGCAGTCCGCCATTTTCTTTTCCCCTTTTCCTTAGCTGTGCTACTCCCTTTTATTCTATTGGCTTTTGAAAGCCAATAGAATAGACTCTCTTGAATAGAGTCTAATTCTATTGGCTTTCAAAAGCCAATAGGAATTGTCCAGGCTGTCTCTGCCCTGCTGAGCCCGCCAAAAGTCCCATTCTGCAAACGGTGCTGCACCAGTTGAGTAGTCCTCGACTTACGACCTGTTGAGTAGTCCTCGATTTACGACCGGTTGGGGGTTGCGGCATTAAAAAGGTTGAGAACCACTGCTCTAGAAAGAGTGCAGAGAAGAGCAACAAAGATGATTAGGACTGGAAGCAAAAATATATGAAGAACAGTTGCAGGAATTGAGTATGTTTAGTTTAACGAAGAGAAGGACATGGGGGGACATGATAGCAGTGTTCCAATATCTCAGAGGTTTCCACAAAGAAGAGGGAGTCAAGCTATTCTCCAAAGCACCTGAAGGCAAGACAAGAAGCAACAGATGGAAACTAATCAAGGAGAGAAGCAACCTAGAACTAAGGAGAAATTTCATGACAGTTAGAACAATTTATCAGTGAAACAACTTGTCTGCATAAGTTATGAATGCTCCAACACTGGAAGTTTTTAAGACGAGATTGGACAACTATTTGTCTGGAATGATGTAGGGCTTCCTGTTTGAGCTGGAGGTTGGACTAGAAGACCTCCAAGGTCTCTTCAAATTCTGTAATTCTGCTTTCAAAGCCCGAATTTGCAGTTTTCAGCAACTGTATGTTTTGATACAGTTCCATTACCATCTGAAGACAAGTTGTGCCTCCTTTAACAGCAGCAGATTGTTTAATATTCATTCTTGTTATACAATGGAATTGCAAATACAGAAATGTCATCATAAGAAGCAGGCTCTTTACTCTCCTTGATCCAGTAATAACCATCTTCCTTCCCTTTTGCTTTTTGCACAAGCAATTTGGCCAATTCTGAAAACCTGTGAAAATAATATTGGATTTTATGCAGTGCTATTATAAACAATCCTAAAGAAACAGCTAAAAAAGAAATGGCATAAACTCCATGAATGGTTGGGAAATACAATATATTCTATGTACTAACCATTTTGACTGAAATTCAGAAAACTAATTTATATCAGGCTTGAGACAAAAAAAAATATTCTAAATGCTGTGACTGGGCTTGTCTTAAAATACAGACATTCTATTTCTCTTGGAACAGACAGGGCAAGGAGGAAAGTGAAACTAGAACTATTTCCAAGTGCCTTAAGCTTAGAGCAACCATTTCTGTCTTTCCCAAAGACAGGGCAGCAGACTGTGTGAATTATCCAAGTGTTCCAGAAATGTTTTTGAAGCTCTACTGTATATTTAGATACAAAAATTGTGTTGATTATTTGAACTTTAATGTAGATTCTTTCTGCATGTGCTTGCTGATAAATTTTCAGGTTGCCTTACAAATGGAAAAAATACATAGTTTGCTAAACACTGCTGCCTGACAGGCTGCCAATACAAAAATATGCATTGTACTTATGCATTGTGACTGCTTAACCCAAAAGCCTTAAAATACAGTTTTGCTATTATATTATTGATGAGCTGTGCTGTGTGGTTCTTTACCAACAAAGACTGAAATTAATGTGTAACGATTTTTTTATATTTTGCTGTGAACATTTTTAATGGCATAATTCCCATGCCTAACTTTTTATTCTAGAATGGGAAATAGATAGCAGTCATCATAGACTGTCACCTTTATTTCATTTATGAACCTAGATTTAAACATGAATTGGCAGAGTATTCTGAGTCCCTCTTTCCCATTTGTGGCTCTTCTATTGTCACTTACAGATATCTGAAAAACATTCCAAGTGGGGCAATTGTATCCCAATCTTCACATTTTATTTGTCATTTCATGCATATCCCATTATGAGAAAAGTTACCTTCAAGCCAGTTTATTGTAGCAGCAAATAAGGGCAAAATATTGTTTAAACTTGAACAAGTTACAATAACAAAGAAAAACCAGAACTTTTGCTAATTGCTTTTCCTCATCTTTATAAAAAGTAGTTTAGAAATGAAAAAAAAATAGCAAATCTGTTTATTAAGAGATGGATTAAATTCTATCTCTCAATATCCTAACCAATTTAGGGCGATATTTTGCCAGCTGTAAAGAATCATGAAGAAGAAAAAATAAAAAATCCTATACCATACTGGGATAGAAAATACAGTTATCTACAAGTTAAAGAAGTAAATTAAAAAGCAAAGACCAAATTTAACCCAGAATAAATGTTCACCCTACCACATATAAAAGATTCGTCCAAATTTAGTTCAGGTGGGGTTTTTGACCCCTATAAGTCTCAGGCAAAATGAATGCTATGCCCTCTTCCAATACAAAAATGTTTTAGTTGCCTGGTATTCTAATACTCTATAACAGGGGTCTCCAACCCCTGGTTTGTGAAACGGCATCGGTCCGCAGCATGCCAGCAAGCAGGCCGTACATCCTCGGGATGCAGGCAGTATTCAAAACCACACCCCCTCTGGTCCACGGAAAAATCTTTCTCCATGGCACCAGTCCCTGGCGCCCAAAAGGTTGGTGACCTCTCTTCCATAAGCAAAGGATACTGATAAACAATCAGAATTTATTTCCTACAATAAGCTGTATAATGCAGCTGTATAGCTGTATTATAATTGTACAGATTGACTAACATGTTTCACTTCCTACATTTTTAAAACCAGTATTTCTGCCAACTATTTTCATTGCCATGGATTATTTAAGGATTCCTTCAAAATTTGTACTGTTAATGTTAAAAAAATGTGAATCCTAAAGTTGAATACAGTTCACAAATACACATTATAATTAACTATCAGTCAACTGTTACAGAAAATGGACTTTATTAATTATTGCTACAGCTCTGTTCTATAAAGCTCCATAGAGAGATCTATTCTGGTATTCCCAGAATTTTTGCAACCTGATTAGACTGATTGGTTGTTACAGAAATGGCTAGTTTATACTACTACAGAAATTTTAAAAGTTGAGGTCTGATGCTAATGCCTTATGCTAATGCAACAGAGGGAATTGGAAGTCAACGCTTTTATTTTATTTTCCCTCCTCTATTCCACACTTCTCTTTTTCCCTTCCCCTTTTCTTTGTTCCCTACTATTTGCTTTTGTATTTTTGTATTTGATATTATAAGCTAATAAAATATTCACAAATGAGAATTTTTGCAACCTCTAATTGTACCTGTATGGATCAGTTGTATTGTTCTGAAGAAAATTTGTGACAATTTGGGCTACCTCTTCATTGGACAAAACATCCCAAAGGCCATCTGTTGCCATGATGAGGACATCATTTTCATTAACATTTTCTGATATTAAGTCAAATACTTCCACCTAGTCAGAAATAATGAAATGAGAAAAACTTTTTCAGTTGGGATTCCTAAATGTCTAGATGCTGAAATTTTATAAACCCACACACTGAAAAGCTGTACCCTATTTACAACCACTCAGTGTTTTTGTGTTTTAGAAGCCCTAAAGATTGCCCTACCAAAATACAACAGTAAATCAAATTTTGAAGGTGTAATTTGTAATCAATTTTTGAAGAAAAAAAAAATCTAAATATTGTATAGATTTGCAATTATGCGATACTACAACGCAAAAACCTGGCAGTACTTAGCCACAGTGGCATCTGCTCACTGAAAAAAATCTGAATTAAAAAATGCATTCTCTGGGACCAAGAAATTGTCTCCCCAGTAAGATCCTGGTTCTGTGTTCAAGAAGACACATCCACAGTTACATTAATTACTTTGCTTAATTAGTTGAATTCCCAGTTTCAAGATTCCTCCTGCAGGATACATGGGTTGGGTATGTACAATACTTTATTTAAAACATGGTTATCGCTTGAGTGAGTAAATCATACACTTACAGCTTTAGGAGTGTAACCATCTCTATGAAGGCATTTGAGTTGATTAAAATATAAGAATACTTGTAAGGAAGTGAGATGCACACATCAACAGTCTTGCCCCCAATATCTTACGTATGCCACTTCATTTCTCAAGTCTTCATGTTAAGGTGAAAAATATGCAAGTGAATTCTACTTGAAAATCAGAAGAACCCTTCCTGTGATTTGGGACCTGATTATCCTAAGGCTTCTCATATTTAATTTAACCAATGCGAAAGATTATTGCAGACTTCCCTACAGTATTCATTCCAGGAAGATCTTGGCAATGCTATCTATTTTCTTATATAAACACCCACACATATTTACATACGCAGCCTATCCAAACATAACACTTCTTAACACTGTTGCAGTTTTTTGAAATAGAGTCACTGTTCTAAAATAATGAATAGGCTAAATACAGAGAAGAGGAAGTATCTAAACTACAGGCTGTTACTATCCATGTAGCATAGTACTTTCTTACCTTAGGGATGCAGGAGAGAAAAGGCTTAATTTCAATATTTGTTTCAATTACTTTCAACTGATGATCTCCCAGGCCTCGAGATACAGCCAGGGTGCCTAGTAAACGAGCCTGAAAGAGATGAGAACAGGTCCAGGTTAAAGATGTAGTATCTTAAGGCACATGAGACAATGTCACCCAAGAGTAAAGTAAGCAGTAATGCATAGTAATTTACAGTGTATTTGTATCCAAATATTTATTTTGCAGTTTGCCATATCAGCACAATCAACAGTATAATTATCATGAAAAAAGTAGCATTTTCCCACAGCATAGGAAGCATACCGGTAAAGGACAACATTGTTTTTACCTAGCATTTTAAAATCAAAATGGAGATGGAACAGCAGAGGGCAGAGTTTTAATATCTTAGCAACTGTGCTTTTAGCCAACTGTTCTACTTTAGAAACAAAGAGATCCCAAGGTCAGCTGTCCAATAAGGGGATCAATAAACTGGCTGCTTTCATTCTTCTAAATATCCAGAAGACTAAACCAGTCTTCTCCCATCTGGTATCCATTGGATTACGTTGAAATTGTAACTGCCAACCCACACAGCGAACAACTCTTTAGGCTAGTAATTCTAAACTTAACATAACCAGGGAACATCTGATTATTGAAGGTTATTTAGGTTTTAACACACAGATTACACATTCACAATTAAGTTCCTCTAAATTACTTCCCTGAATTAATTTGCTTACTCCCAAGTACATGATCATAAAAAATAGTGAAAATGTTGAAACATGCCTCCACATAGCAGCCAGAAAAGCTTCTGCTTTTGGCCTAACCTGTTCTGGAGAGCACATGTGACCAACATGTCCATTAGCTTTCCAAGTGGCAAGGATTCCCTTAATATAGCTTTATAACTTTTTTTCTTCTACACTTTGTGTAGAAGAAAAATAGTGTACTGTAATTATTAGAATTAGAGGATTCATGGCCAACAAAACCACAGACAGTAGCTTCCTGTCTGTGGTCACGTCAGAGGATTTCTCTGACTGTTGCAGCCAAATAAGAAGGCTGTCCCTCAACAGTGCTGTTGCCATGAACACCATACTGAGAAATGTCATCAACACTTCAAAGCCATCAGCCGTCTCTGATGAATTGGACAGCTGGGTTAGCAGAGAGAAATTGGCAGGGCTATATGTCCCATCTCCTCACTTCTTTTCACCTAAGGATTTGTAATATCCACAAAGCCCCTGCCATTCCACTCATCAGAGCTCCCTGGGTGACGAAGGGATCCTCATCGGTCCTATCGTCAAACCAACCCTCTCCACTGACTATGCCCCATGAGAAAAGAGAAGCAAAGGGAGGGATAGGAAAGTGGTGCCAATTCCTTCATCCTCCTCTTCCTCAGAGGTTTCCTGTCTAGCTCCCAATGAGACAGTGAAAACTAGGATGACACCCCATTGAAGAGATAGGCCACCAAGTTCCCTGTTATGCAGCATAGATGCTTCCCTTGTCAGATAGAAAGTAATAGGGAGTTGTCCCTAGACGAGAAAAAGGAACAACAGTCAGGTCTCAAATCTACCAGGTTTTTCTGGGAAATAAAATAAAATTTCCACAATCAGAAGTTCCTAGGCCTGAAAAAAATGTCGCCTATTCTCTTGGACAGAGGTATTTCCCTCTGTAACTAATTGCAGGTTTCCTGTTTCACAAGATAATAATTATATTCAATTGTGTGTGTAAGGCTCAGGATAGTGAAAGTGTCCTTGATTGTCATACATCTTTCCTCAGCCAGTGTTAGATCCTCTCAAGAACTCTCTCCACAGTATGCATTTTGTGGTACTCTTGCATTGAACTCTTTGTTAACATAGGAAGAAACTTCAATAATCCAGAGAATGGGCAGGAGGAAATTTTATAACCCTGGGCTACAGCCAGATCTGCCTCATAAATGCTAGCCTAGATGGCTTTCTGTTCTCAAGTAAAAGGACAGAAGCCAACATGGCCACTTAAAGGCAAGGTCAAAATCCAAATCTGTCCCTCATGCTGAGCACATTTAAGGGTGGCAAACTATTTGGAAAAGCCCTGAGATTAAGGAAGGAAGGAAGGGGGGAGAGAGACTCTTGAAAAAATGGAAAAAGAAGGTACATGATAGTGAATTTGATTTTCTACTAGGATCCACAAAGTAATCTGCTCTTATCCCAAAATGCATCTAGAGAAGAATTGGTCATCAAGTTCTACAAGAACAAAAGAGGATAGAGTTTCAGTACAATCCAAACTATGAAGGCCTGAGGGACATCATACCTGTTTCCCATTTCCATGAATCAGAGGGTATTTGAGATCATCTTTCATTACTGTTTTGTATCCCCTGAAACAAACCAGACAAGTGAGTCTTCATTTATTTGTCCTTTCACTACACTGTGTCTACAAATTAACATGGATACTTAAACCATCTGATCTTAATGGACACTTAATTCTGTGTTGAAATCTAAGGCCTTATCTCATAGAGATTTACAGCAACATTGTATTCATTTCTCTAAATGATTGAGAAACTCTATTTGCAAAGAGGTCAACATTTACATGACACCACACATGAATACATTATATGAAATGTAATAGGAGCAGCAGTTCTAAAGCAATTTCAGTCTTCAGGCTATAGAAGGCCACTTCACCAAATGTCAAATTATTTTTTTATTAGCAAACCTATTTCCCATCCCTCCCCCATCATTTACTGTTCACCACTGTTGACACTAAATATAAGAAATCTGGCCCAGAGGAGTCCTGATTTCATTTCCACTTTTAAGCAAAGAAAATAAAAATTAAAGACCATTGAAACTCTGAATGGCATATTTATCAGTGTGTAGAAAGGAGCAAAAAAAATTCTCTTTTGTGTTTTGCAAACATCCCCTCATTCTGCAACCAGTATCCATTCTAGTTTCAATATTATTAATATGCAAGAAGAACAATATGGTTGTAGATAAACTGGTCACTGCACTGTTTCTTGGGATTTTCTTAACCTAAATGGTCTAATTTAGAACAAGGATTACAAACACGAGGAAAGAGTAAAAGTAGGTAGGGCAAATAAATGGATGTAAACCATAACTAAGACAGGTTGTTAAAAAGCAACCTAAGGCAAAAAGGAAGGGAAGGACTACTTATCCAAAACAGAAAGACTCAGAAGATTATTCATATAAAATATCTAAATCTAGGCAATTCAAGAAACTCACCAGCCTTCCATTGAGTAATCTCGATAGAGGACCTTCTGGCCTAAATCATCTCCTTTCAATCTCCTTGGAAACTCAAACCGTGTGAACTCATCTGCTAAGAGCTTTGGGTAGATGAAAGCCTAGGGGAAGGAATGAAAACAGGGAAAGATTCAAAATACTGTTTTCAGACTACAAAGGTGAGCCTTGGGAAGTAGAAGCTGAAGAATTGGCCCTTGTATTTACAGTGTGATTTTAAGGAAGTCATTCAATCTTCCCCATAAGGATGTTTTTTTACACATACTTTTCCTCATAGAAAAAGATAAAAGGTGTGAATTTCATCCCTGGGCAAACAATTTGTTGTTCCAAATGATAAGAATATCAGCCTAATGTACTCTTTGTCTAGTTATATATAATTTCATTTTCCGGAATTCTGCAGCCAGCATGGCAGTTGGGCTAAAAATGTAGAGAACTGAAATGATCTGGGCAGTATCAAACTGGGGAAGCTTGTACTAAACACGGCTCAATGTAACACTCAAAATAATACAGAATAGATACAATCTGCAATGTTTAGAAAAATCATAACATTTCTTTACTCTGGACCCTTCTAAGAACAAGAATCTTGAGTTTACCACACAAGTAAAATGTTTTGGTTATTTTTTTTTTTAAAAAAAATAGAAAATGACTACACTTACCAGGTGCTGGATTCTCTTCCTGTCTGTCTCAGGGGTAAATTCAGAACTCAAGGGAATGATGCTCCGTTTTCGAACAAGAAGTGCCCTGAAAATCAATATTTTTTCTTTTCAAAAAGAGGAGTTTTGCCACTTTTAATGGTTGTCTCCCATTTCATGTTTAAGATGGAAGAGTAATTACATGCTAAGGGAAGGTTCTTTTTTGGTCACTCCAAGACCTCAGCTGCTTAAATTTAAGGCTATTTTCTTTTGTGTAAGGCATCTTACTCTGTAGTTCACAATTAAAAGGCCCACTTTCCCAGTAGCTGGGAATGGGATTTTTGAGAGGAAACCAACACGGGTAGGATTAAAATAAAGCCATCTTTCTTGTAATCCAACCTGGAAAGAGATCTTCTGGTAGGGTTTTGGAAGATTGTACCTGTTCTACATGCCACATTTCTACACCAAATCCGGGTCATATGAAGCTGCATTGTTTTTAAAAACGCCCACTTTAACTACCCTTTTTTTAAAAAAAGCATGCTTATGCTTTAATTCTATTAGAAGGAAACAACTCTGGCATGGTAATTTTTTAAATGCGTGGGTTTTGTTATTCTTTGAAAATACTCAATTTTAGGCTTAATAAAATATAGGTATTTAGATAACTGTAGAAAATGTATTTGGCTAAAATAAAGTGCTAAATGTCTTCCGTACCCATATTAAAGGAACATGCTAGAACTTATCCAATGATCTTCTGGGTTTTGAACTCACCTGCTATCACCTGCATTTGCCACATAGAGCCTTCCCTGCAGATAAAGAGCAACTAGTGCAGTGCAGCCTGCTGATTGGTTGCTTGCTTTCATCTCTTGGCCTATCATTTTATCCTGTTGGTTAAAAACAGTATTTAATGATGTAAGGCAGATATCAGATTTCCCAGCACTGAAGCCTAATTTCATCACCATTGTTCCCCACTGGTGGTTGATGAAAACAAGTAATTGCCAGTTAATGTTTCAAGTATGCTAAATTGTAAACTGCAAGTACAGAAGTTTAGTATATCATTGTGCACAGGACATATCCTTATTGGTATAAGAATTGATAGCACAATATAGAACAAACAGAAAAGATGTAGGCCAAAGATAAGACAACCAAAAAGTATTCACAATTCCTTACCATCAGCCATACTGACTTGATGGTTGGGAACTGAAAAACAGGTCACCAGGAAAACATGGTTTGTTTTATCCTGATCTAGCAGCCAGGCTGCCAAAATCAGAAACAGTAAAATTAACTCCATCAGCCATCTATAAAATATGGCTGATACAAACTGCAATGACACATAGTGTAAACTGCACTCTCTCATAGCTATGTCCTAAAGTCGGTTGCAAATATGTTCATGTTACGACATCATTTGCATTCCATGATTTGTTCCTTCCCCATAGTATACAATGTAATTCAATTCTTGGGACAATAATAAAAAAGAAAATAGGATAACTCACACATTCCTGGAAGGCACTCTCCAAAGCTCCAATGACCACATTTTCCTGCTGAATTTTCTTCTCTTCCACAAACAGTGGATCATTCTGGCAAATGCATTGACCACTGAGGTGCATTGGAGGATTATCTTCAGCGATGCCTTCGATCACATCCTCTAGTTTCTGCTTGATGCAACAATGCAGGTAATTGGAGGCCAGAATTGAAGCTTCTGAACCACCATGGCCATCAAACAGTGCCCAGTAATAGCCTGTCAGATACTGAAAGCCAAACCATTGTGAGAATCATCATATGGGACATTCCTTCCTGTTACCGCAAGGACATTTGTGAAACCCAGATTAAATTATCTGCTTGGGTATGAATCTCAATGAGAAGTCTTGACAAGTCAACAATATTTCAGCTTTATCTTCATCATAGTAAGAGATGAGTAGAAGGCTTAGGAAAGTATGGATGTCTGCAAGCTAGTTATTAGAAGTGGGTACATGCCTGCACATTGTACTCCTACTTCACAGAACTGACAAACCATCTCACATGAGTATTCTTTACATACAAGATGCATAATGTAGATCTGGCAAATCAAGTTTATGAAAACAAAGCAGCTTCTGTGCAAGAGATCCTCCCTCCCCTCGAGTTTTATTCTTCACAAAAATACCTGAATAAAATTAAAGATAAAATGGGTGATAACCACAACTTTGAGGGAAAGCAGTTGTTTCTTTGAGCTGGCATATGGAAGAGCTCACACATGCTTCTTAGGCATTTCAAGCATTATTCACACCATGAGGAATGGCAATCTCTTGTTTACTGTAAGCCAGTGGTTCTCAACCTTTCTAATGCCGTGACCCCATAATACAGTTCCCCATGTTGTGGTGACCCCCCAACCACTTATACATCACCGGGTGCCAGGGGCGTGGCCAAAGAAAAGGGGGAAAAATGGCGGACAGCCTTGTTTGGCGACCCCCGTGAAATGGTCATTCGACCCCAAATGGGGTCCCGACCCACAGGTTGAGAACCACTGCTGTAAGCTGTCAAAATAATCAAGAGGAAGCCAGAGAAACTAAAGCAGGGATTTGGTTTGCTTCATAAGGACCTCGGCTACCCACCTCATAAAATATAAAGATCCCTCTGCATCAAACTTTATTCTGGAGATAATTATTTTTATTTAATTATAAAAATGTAAAGCTTGTTAATTCAAAGCTCATGCCTTTGGGGAGATGTTCATAATGGTTTACTAACACATTTAAGAACAAACAAGTCATTCATAATTGCCAGCATGAAGCTGCTATTCAAATACTCTAATAGTTTGTGGAACAATGCAGTCTATATTAGCTAGGAAACATGATTACCAAGCTGAAACAAACAGCCCATTGAAAAGAAATCTGGCACTGAAAAACAGTCCCACAAGATAAATATTGAAAGGTTCTTAAAGAAAATCTTGGAGCCTATCATGGCAGTTGGTAATTGCAATTCTATCTAGTTCTTTCCTCTGTCCTTAAAGAAGTTCAAATTCTTGCAGCTCCATGGGATGAATGGAATGAAACATACCGAGTTGGGTAACATTATCATTCAGTTCCTTCCTCCTTATCCTAAAATAGTGGAATATCTTAATGAAAAGAAGCATGTTTGATTTTGATCTCTGAACTCACCTCATTAGAACACAAAATTAGCCATTCCTGGTCTTCCTCTCTGCCATGCCCAAATTGTCTCTTCCTGATAGAAATTTGACAACATGTTGCTTGGTCTTCATTAAATTCTGATTTTTCTGCATTAACAGTTCTGATGAAACAAACATATAGTTCAAAACAAGATAGCTGAAGCATGCCTCAGGTAAAAACAAGCCCGATTAATTTGTGTAAAGCAGGGGTGTCAAACTGCTGGCCCGTGGGCCAGACGCGTCATCCAGAAGCCACACCCACCCCATTGCCGGCAATGACAAAACTGTCCCGATATGTCACGTGATGTTGCTAGTTTGACGTATCTGGTGTAAAGGAAGCCTGATCCATCATTAGGATATCTTTTACACTGTAGCCCTATACATATTTACTTAAAAGTCACGTCTAATGAATTTGGTGGGATTTGCTTTAGACAGAGATGCTAATAATTACTATTTAAAGTGACATATATGGGGGAAAAAACACAACATAATCTTGGTCTGTCATTAAAAACAAAAATCAGTGGAACTGGGGTCCTGAATATTTCTGCTTACTATTCACACTGTCTTCCTGGGCTTCACACAGGAGATGATTCTTGTTTCATTTTTCTTCTTCCTTTATTCATTATCAGATTCTCCGAGCCTCATAAGAACAGTGTGAAAATCATCTTCAGTGGTTTATCCCACTAGGATTTTAAACATCTCTTTGCAGTTCTGCAAGAATCCTACACCTTTCCTAACTCATCATTTCTCTTTTGGACATGGTCATTTCTGCCTAAAATACTGCTCCTATCTTTGAACAATTGCAGAGTCACTAGGCTAGGGCCTTCCTCAAGTTTTAGCTATCTGCCATCTGTTTTTAACTGGACAACAATGGCAGATTCCTAGCAATGGGTTCTAGATTTACTATATGCAACAAGAAATAACAGGAGATGTAGGAAACTATCAGACAAGCCATGAGGATTATCAACTTGTAATCAGTCTTTTTTTGGTCCCTTAATTTATGCCTCTTTATATAATTAGCCATTCACTTCCTTAACACAATCTAATTCATGCAAGTCACCTGCCTAGTTTAAAACCTGAAGGACCTCTATCTCTATAGAGTAGGGGTGTCAAAACTCTCAATGTCACGTGATGTGTTGTGACGTATCGCAACACGGGCTGGCAGTTTGATACCCCTGCTATAGAGGATATGAAACAATTTTCTGATCTCACAGCTTCTCTAGTTGCTGTAAGCTTAAGTGCTTTGATGGTACAAGTTTTTGTAGGCTAAATAAGGCTAAAATAAAATAAGCTGATTAGGTCAAATAACATGAATCCTAGTTCTACAAGAAATCCCTCAGTTCAACTAATACATCATCAAGTTTCAGACAATGTCAATGCATTAAGCAATCATATATCTTAACAGGGAAATACAATCACAATTGTTCAGGCCCCAAATCTGGTAAGTAGGGAGAGCACATTTAAATCTCTACAACTTGGCATGAACTTAAGTCCAATTTACAGATTCTCATAACTTGTGATTATATTATCAATGACATGGAAATAGTCTGCCTCTGCCTATATCAGTGGTTCTCAACCTGTGGGTCGGGACCCCATTTGGGGTCGAATGACCATTTCACGGGGGTCGCCAAACAAGGCTGTCTGCCATTTTTTCCCCCTTTTCTTTGGCCACGCCCCTGGCACCCGGTGATGTATAAGTGGTTGGGGGTCACCACAACATGGGGAACTGTATTATGGGGTCGCGGCATTAGAAAGGTTGAGAACCACTGGCCTATATGCAATAATACCAAAGTATAGTACAATACTGTACCAGCAACAAAACAAGGTAATGGAGACTTCTCAGGAATAATCAAAGCATGAACAAATTGGTTTCCAACATACAAGTAGGGAAGAAATCTTTCAACTGGCAATATTTCATGGTACTAATGTAATACCTTTCAGATGCATTCAAACTATAAGGCCAGAACATCCACTTCCAGCTTTAGCTATACTGACAATTCTGGGAGGTGGGGTACGGAGGGTAGAATTAGGCTGAACAAAGCTGTTTGACTTCTTGTCTATGTGTGTGCCTTCAAATCAGTGTGAGTCCTGATGGCTATCTGTATAAATCACTGCTGATTTCTTAGCAAAATTCCAAAGTGGTTTGCCTTCTTCCTAGGGCTGAGACTTACTGGCCCAAGGTCCCCTGTCTGGGTTTGTACCTAACATGGCACTAGAACCCGGGGCTTAGCTATTACCCCAATCTGATTGTACTCCTTAGAGCTCTTCATTTATCTGTGAATTCCATTTGAGAGATGAGCCCCTCTCGTCTTCCTCTGTGTCCCTTTAAATCAATGGTTCTCAACCTTCCTAATGCCGCGACCATTTAATACAGTTCCTCATGTTGTGGTAACCCCCAACCCCCCCATCCAGCTGGCCGGGGGGGGGGGTATCAAAAACTTGACTAAAAAAAAAAAGGAAAAAATGGGAAAGTATAGGTAGTCCTCGACTTACAACAATTCGCTTAGTGACTGTTTGAAGTTACAACAGCACTGAAAAAGCGAATTATGATCATTTTTCACACTTATGATTGTTGCAGCATCCCCAGGGTCATGTGATTTACATTCGGATGCTTGACAACTGATTCATACTTATGACGTTCACAGTGTCCCAGGGTCACGTGATCAATGGCTAGGGGTCATGACCAGCTGATCACTCAGGTTGCAGAGTGCCTGTGAGAGGGAATTTGTGGATCTCTGGGATGGGACTGGGGTGGGTGCCTGCCTTCCTTCCCTCCCTTCTTTCCCTCCCTTCTCTCCCATTGTCCCTTCCTTCCTTCTTTTCTTCCTTCACCTCCCTCTTAGTCTCTTCCTCCTTCCCTCCCTCTCCCATTGTCCCTTCCTTCCTTCTTTCCTTCCTTTCCTTCACCTCCTTCTTAGTCTCTTCCTCCTTCCCTCCCTCTCTCCCATTGTCCCTTCCTTCTTTCCTTCCTTTCCTTCACCTCCTTCTTAGTCTCTTCCTCCTTCCCACCCTCTCCTATTGTCCCTTCCTTCTTTCCTTCCTTTCCTTCACCTCCTTTTTAGTCTCTTCTTCCCTCCCACCCTCCCCCATTGTCCCTTCCTTCCTTCCCTCCCTTAGTCTCTTCCTCCTTCCCTCCCTCTCTCCCATTGTCCCTTCCTTCTTTCCTTCCTTCCTTCCCTTCACCTCCTGCTTAGTCTCTGAGGGAAGAAAAGGACACCTGCCTAGTCAGCCAGAGTAGCCAAATCAACCCTGGGAATCAACGGGGTGACAGATGTTGCAGTCAGATCGCCCTCACATCCATCCAACTTCCTTTAAATCAGTTTCACAGTGCTAAAGTTCATAAACACAGGAAATAGCTGACATGCAAAATGTTCTTCTTAATCAGCATGTACACACAGTGTACTCTATTTCAAAAGACAGAATTTTTGATTCAATATTTATGTCATAACAAAACTGATGATGTGAATCCTTTGTCATACAAAGGGAGCAACTCTAGCAAGAGTGGAAGCTAGTCACACAGGAAAGTAATATAAAAGCACAGACATGAAGGCTGAACAATACAACATCTTAAGAAATCTCTCTATCCCAGTAGCACACATGATGTGATGGATTAGGTGATTGATTTTCAAATACAAACAGAAAGGACCTAGTGTTGTTTCTTTCTTTCAAAGTTATCAACCAAGATGAATCTTAAATCAACTTTGTCCAAGTAAGAATATTTTATATTCAGTATTTTAGATAGTTAGGTTCTATCTGATATCGCTCAACTAAGTAACTATATGGCCAAGTGGTCTCCCTCTTCACCTGACTGCAGCAACAATCTACAACTCTTCTTGGGATCCCAAAGGTGCTTTTTTCTAAAAGGCAACTGGACTTTCTTGGTTTTTTTCTTTGAAAACATTTTGCTTCTCATCCAAGAAGCGTCTTCAATTCTTCAGCTTCTTGGATAAGAAGCAAATCATTTTCAAAGAAAAGATCAAGAAAGTCTAGTTGTCTTTTGGAAAAAAAAACACTTTTGAGACAACCATGACCTGGATGATTGAGATTCTCCATAGAACTCTTCTTGGAATATCCCTGATTCATCAATTCACCTTATCAATTATTTTCCCTTCCACTTCTTTCAACCAATTGCTTGCTAATTGTCCCCTCAAAGGAACAGTCCTTTTCTTTCTATAATTTGCCATAATTTGAAGGCATCATGTTTTTCTTGCTCTTTTTTAGCATTCAACTTTCACAGCCATATGGATTTGTGAAAATTATGAACTTTTTGTATTTCTTTGTCACTGAGTATTGACACTGTGAAGAGCAGGTTGCTTAGAAAAAATGCAGGTATCTGTTCTGCCTCTCTCACTTCCTTCCCCACTGAGCCTTTACTCCAACCTCACGACCCAGCATCAGCAGAGTTACCAATAAAGCTGCAATCTTGAAACAGGTGTCAGAGGAGCTACAGGTATGAGTTTTGGAACCTCTGGAGCCACCAACAAACCAAAAAAAAGCAGTTGAATAAAAGGGAATGGGTGGCCCAAAGGAAGGGAAAAAAGGCAAAACAAAGCATCATGTGGAAAGCTGCAAATACTCTATATGCTAGCCCATTAATAGAGAAGGGGAAAAATGGAATAAATTCCAAAGAGAGGAATTAAAGCAGAAAGGAGAACAAGATACAATAAAGATACATCATGGCAATAAGCCACAGAATCCTGCTTGAACAATATTTAAAGATATTCAAGATAATTTTATGAATCCTCTATTATAAAAGGTAATGGAAATTTATTCAATCATATAGAAATACAGCATATTTGTTTCACTATGGATTGCTGCACTCTGGATGATAGTCACTCGCTTGTTAGAACAGAGAAAAATCTGTCTCATTGAAGCAATGTGTTATTTTTTTCCCCTTTAAAATGTAGTTTTCAAACTAAGCATTTAATTTATTGCAGTATACTTGACAATTAATGTTTTAAAGGCATGAACAACCTAAAGACACTCATCCACTTCTTCACTACTTTATTCTTTGTAAGAATTGTTTGCTGTCCTCTGAATGATGAAGTTGCTGAAGCAAAAAATGTCCTTACCTTTGAAAACCCTTCCTCATCACTTGCCCTGGGAAAGAGTGTATTATTTTCAATCCCTGATCCTAAGTGACCGTCAGATTTATATTGGATCCAGCAGCTTTACAAACAATGAATATAGCAGTGTGACTTCCAACCCCACTGAACTATTGGATAGAAGCAATTAGCTAGTTGCAATTTTCAACCCATCTTCAAGAGTAGCTCCATGGAGAATAGGGCTCTATCTGCAATAATGCTGCAAGTGTTGCATTAACAGAAAAACAATATAAATTTAGCTGGAATCAAATATGTTCGAATCATCCCACTGAGAAATTTTAAAGGCAGAGATACTGAGGTTATACTGGTTCAAAGAAGGTAGCAGATGGCACACCAGGAAAAGCTGACCATAATATTGCCTCTAAAACCCCACAAAGAGGTTTAAATTATGGTCTAAGTATCAAGTTTCAAATGCAAATAATGAAGTCATTAACAATATAAATGGGGAAGTCCAAACTCCCCTTTTTTTCTTCTCTCTCCTAACAGTGCTCCTAAAACATCCTTGCAGAAAAGGAATTCGCAACAAACCTAGGCTAATGCCATTAAATTAACAACTGACAGCTGTGTAATAAAGCAGTTATAGTTCCAGGGAAGCCATTTCTCTGCCCTGCAGCTATTAGAAGCCCACATTTCTTTAGGCAAACGCAATGATAGGAATCTTCACTAGTATAAATACAACTGGTGAAGTTATGTGTTAACTTCATGAAGGTATTACAAAACTCTCATACAAGTAGAAATTCTCCTTATGCTAATTTTCTGCACATAAGACCCCAGATATTATATTACACTATGGCACAATACCATTGGCAATAACTATCATAATGTTTTGCCATGAAACACTTTACAATACCCAAACAATTTCTACCTGATTATTGTATAAAAGATGCTATCATAATGAAGTTTTGGTTTTTGAACTTGGCAGCAGTTATTAAATAGATATTAATATGATCCTAGGCACTGTAGTGCTTTCTGTCCCTAGTTTAATATTAATATCTTTTAGAAATTCCAAGGTAATGGGTGACCTCATAATAATGTCTAAGTTCTAAAGTTGTGATAAACTAAGGCTGAGAAAGTCTATGTTAGCCAAAGCCTGTCAGCCCATCCTAATGTAAACTAACTTTGATAATTTTCCAGACTCATGATTAGGAAAAACAATGGGACACATTTTCCTTTCAATACCCTGGCACTATTCATATTTGGATGTCTAGCCCTCTGTTCATAACCCAAAATCAACATTTGTTGTTCTTGCCTTATTCTTGTCTTACTTTTATTTGTTCTTATACTCAACGCAGTTGCTGAAATGTACAAAAACTTGCTAAACATGTCACCGGTATAGACCGGAATAACAGACTTATTAAACTGAAATACTTTATAGTAGTTTCTACCACCTTAATAAGCCTGTTTTTCAGCAGAACAGTAGCAGGGGCACGTTTCAAAGTGCTTGCAAGATGCATGACTGTTGTAGCTTGCTTACAGACACAACATTTAGTTCGTCCCTGAAGCGAGTGTGCAGCCTTCCCCTGATTAACTAAAGAAAACCCGAGAGAAGCCACCAAGCCCGGAGGCAGCAAGAGTCAGGTTTCTCACGGGAGCGTCTCCTCATCCCGTCCTGTTTTTGGCAAGTAGTCTTCTGCCTAGAATACTCACTCGGCATAGCCCGTGTTCCACTGGAGAGGCCTGTCCCGGGAGGGGCAGCAGATGGGTCGCTTCCCAGGCAACTTCTCCGCGCAAACAGCTCCACGCAGGAATTTGGGCCGCCTGTATTGCAAAGGAGCTGGCGGCGGCTTCGGCTGTTGCGAGCCTCCCTCCTCGGTTCGTGGCTGCTGTTTATCAGCAGCGCCTTTTCTGCGCCTCGTCTCGCCGTTCAAGAAGCACTTCTTAAACCAGTTTGAAGACATTAACTGAGGTGACCGAAGCCCCATCCGATCCCCTTTCTTCTTCTACTTCTTCCTACGAACTGAGCGGACTGCTGAGGCGGAGCCCCACCCCAAGCGAACAGCACCAGGGGCGGAGAAGAGGCGATTTTGCAACCAAATGAATTCACGCGACTAGCCAACCGCGGCTGAAAGTCTGTGGTCCTAGTGGGCGTGGAGCGGCACTGAGGCCTGGCTCTTAACGTCCTTAATTTGTTGCTCTTTGCAACCGTGCAGGGAACTGTCTGGCCTCACTCGACGTGCTAATCCAGTTTACTAATAGGGACTAGTCAAGCTTGCCTTTCTAGGTAACTCAAAGGGGTCTTCTCCCCGCCGTTCCTCGCGAGGGAATTAGTGAAGGAGGGCGCAAACATCCCCCGGGGGCGTCTCCTCTAGGCTGACCGGTCGCTACCTGTTGTCCAGAGTGCTCAGACGGGCTGAGATCTAGGATCCCTTTCATCAGAAATTGCGTCGCTTCTCTTTTCCACCAAACGTTGCTCGGATAAGTCCGTTTCAAGAGAAAGAAAAGTACACCAAGTTAGTCTCCAGCTCTGCAGGGCTAACCAGGTGTTGGTTTTAAAAGATGTGGCTGATCTGCAGTAACTTTACCCCTGTCGATCCACATCAGTAATTGGAATTTTGAGATACTCTCCTTTTCCTCTATGAATTTATCTAACTTTTTAAAGTAAGTAGAGTGTAAATTTTTGTAGTAGTTTTTTTTTCTGACTGCCATTATTTCACATAACTGGCTAAGTCTTAATTACAGTAACATGAGAAAAACAACTATATAATTTATTTTGACCTAACACACCTCAATAATCCCCCCCCCTTTTAAAAAAATAAATAAATTGCTCATAGAATTTGTTCCATTTCTGGATTTTTCCATTTTTCCCTTTGCTAACCTTTTTTCAGGTCAACTGTACAATTTTGTTTTAGAAGTTCTGTGACTTGAAATAAATACTGTATATAGGCAGGTCTCAGTACTAATAATGTGTTGAAAGAAAAATCTTCATAGAGTCCAGGCTGGGAATAAACAAAATGAAGACTGCTTTAGAAAGAAGGTTGTAGTTTATCAAAGAGCAAAGCCAGTCAGAAGTGTGGCTCTGGGAAAGCTGACCACATGGAGCAGGGAGTGCTGGGTTTTTATACCTTCTTGGGCCTTTGTGTTTGGAGTTGTTTCTGTGGCATGAACTTTAACCTGCGGTTCAGTGTGCCTTTCTGGTATTTTGATGGTGTTGGGTTAAACCTATGTCCTAAAAATCATATCCTGCTTCCATGGGGCTGGGGCTGATGGCTATGTCCTGTGTCCGATTTTTTTGAGGTCAGAGGTTGTTCTAGGGATCTTTGTCTTTATCCTATCAGCTCTAAGCTTCCTGGTGCCAGTTTTTCTGAAAGGATTATGATATCTGCATTACTACAGAGCTGGTTTCTGCTTGGGGGAGGGAGACTTGGGGCTATTAAGAAAAACTGGGCATGCTTTCCTGCCTTTTTAAGATCCTTTGAGGAAATATAATATTCTTTTTAATATTTTCTTCTCTGGGGGGGGGGGGCCTGACTTACCACAAATGAATAACACCATATGGTTGGTTCAAATTCTCACTCTACAAAGAGTCTTTTAAAAACAGGGCAAACAGGGCATTTCAACAGAAATAGGCAATGAATTTTTTAAACATCAATGTCTATGTTTATTAATGAAATATAACAGTAAAAGATTAAAAGACTATACCTCCAACTTGAATTTTAACAAAATCACAGATAAATCAAAGGAACAAAAGACATAAACTTACATCAAAAACATCCCTGCTATCTCCTGCATCCTGCTGTAGTTCTTCAAAATAAGCCTTTGGGAGTTTTTAACCTTTCTCAAACAGAACTTTACTTTCCTCCATTTTGCACACCAGTGATTATAATCTAAAACTCCAATGGCAACTGGACCTGTTGCATGCAACAATCTTGCACTAACTGAATTTTGGCTTCCATTAAATATGGCTTGGTATCAATTTATAGTTTGCACTAAATCAAATATTGCATTGTTGAACTTGTAACAAGTATGGCTGCGCTATCCAGATAAAACATCAGTCACTGCATATTTTTGTTCCAGCATGCAGTTGCTTATTGTCCAAAACTTAGATTTTGCCATTTTCATATTTGCTTACATTTTCACTAAGCATTTTTTTCATAGTTCTTACTAGTTCAGATTCATTGCCATATTTATTTTTATATTCCACATTTCTTTTATACAATTCAATGCAGTATTCATAATACTCTTGCTTCCTACTATCCAGACAACAACAATACTGTGAGATGGGTTGGGCTGCCCAGGTGGTTTTCATACCTAAAGGGCAGGGGTGTCAAACTGCCAGCCCACAGGCCAGAAGTGTCACGTGGAAGTCGTGCCTATCCCATTGCCAGCAATGGCAAAACAGTCCCGATATTACGTGACATCATGAGTTTGACATGTCTGCTAAAGGGGGTCTAGAACTCACAATCTTCTAGTTGCAGGTTCAGCATCTTAACTACAGGTAATCCTCATTTAATAACAACTGGTTCCCATGATGATTAAGTGAAATGATTGCTGTGCAAATATCTAACTGAAAGAGAGGCTGTGAAGATTGCTGGTTGCTGTCATCTTGTTCTTACACAGTGTCCTGTATCTGACCCATTTCTTCCCCATTTTTGTCCCCTTTCAGGGTGGAGACATTTACATAGACAAGGTATTCTTTCTGAGCTACTTTTCTCAGTAGCACCAAGCATCTCTAAAAAGTGCTAGTCACAAGTTAACAAAATCAGTTGCGACCTTAGTTGATATGAACCCTTCCTGAACTGCCTGAAACTGACCAGACCATAATCAGTTTCAAACTTAAGCTTTCATAGTTGTAAATGTGCACATTGGTGGGGAAATGTTTTTTTTCAATTACTATTTGTTACCATGCAATTTGTAAAGGGAGGTTATCCAAGGCAAACAAGGACTAACTGTACTACTACAAATTAGTATCTGTATATATATGTGTGTGTGTATGTATGTATGTATGTATGTATGTATGTATGTGTGTATGTGTGTGTGTATATATATATATATATATATATATATATATATATATATAGGTATGTGACAACCTAGCAATTTTGAACTCTGTGTGAAATATTTTATACTTATATGAAAAATCCAATCTGAAAATCCCTTTAGAGATTTTATTTATTTAATTAATTTATAAAGTTGTCCACTCAGCACAACTCAAGCTGACCTATATCAAATTTCATAAAACCACATAAAAACATATACAGTAAACATAAATGAGCATGAAAATATGAACACATGAAATGCTGGGGGGAGAAAACATCTTTTGATACTTCAAGCAGTCCAACTCATTGGCTCACTTGCAGTTTCCTGTTTTGCTGTTTCTGCTCAACATACTTTTAAAAATAGTTTAAATCAGCGGTTCTAACCTGTGGGTCGCGACCCCATTTGGGGTCGAATGACCGTTTCACGGGGGTCACCAAATAATGCAGTCCGCCATTTTTTCCCCTTTTTCCTTAGCTGTGCTACTCCCTTTTATTCTATTGGCTTTTGAAAGCCAATAGAATAGACTCTCTTGAATAGCGTCTAATTCTATTGGCTTTCAAAAGCCAATAGGAATTGTCCAGGCTGTCTCTGCCCTGCTGAGCCCGCAAAAAGCCCCAGTCTGCAAACGGTGCTGCAAGTTATCTGCAGCGAAGGCGAGCTGTCTGGAAGCTTCCACCCCTCCCTGCTGAGCAACTACTAAAAATGTAAGTAAAAGAGGGCCAGAAGTGGGAGGCTGGCGGGCGCAGGGAGGGTTGCTGGCGCGCATGGGGCCCGGCGGGTGCCTTACCTCCCTTGGGCTGGGCCAGCTGGTGGCCCAGCCAGTGGTCGCCCTGCACCATCACTGCCCCTTGCCAGCTATGCCTTGGCCAGCGCAGGGGGCGGCACTACGCATGCGCGCCGCTCCCGGGCAGGGAAAATCCTCAACTTATGACCGGTTGGGTAGTCCTCGACTTACGACCGGTTAGGTAGTCCTCGACTTACGACCAGTTGGGTAGTCCTCGACTTACAACCAGTTGGAGTCGTGGCATTAAAAAGGTTGAGAACCACTGGTTTAAATGGTTTGTTACTGCATCCTTTATAATCTGATTTGCATTTATTTTGCCCAAGTACATGTTTCTTTTTATAGTCTCGTGAGTAGATAGTGCTTCTCTTTTCTGAATAAATGTTCCTTCCTCTTACAGCTTCTTCAACTGAGCTTATTATTCATACTATTTCTCTGCTTGGGTGAGTTCATATCCATGCTGAGTTGCGATAGACATTCCAGATAAGTGTTGATTGCTGTCTTGAATAACTTCCAAAGATTCTAGACAAAATTGGCCCTCTTAGAAAATGTCTGTGAATGTGTGTATGTACGCATCTGTGTGTCCACATCTGATATTTCCTATCAGATCCATAATCCCTACACCTTTGATGACCAAATGGAGTGATGTAAGGCACACATTGCTGCTGAGAGTGGCATACAAGCTTAGTAAATTATTATTTAAACTAGATTTTCTTTTAGAGTCAGGATACCATTCTAAATATACTTTGGCTTGATTCAACAAAATAAGACTTAAAAGTTTAGTTCCTTGTTTTGATTTCCACATCCAGTTCAAAGCACTGGTTTTC